ACGGGCAGCGAACGGTACTCAAAGACCCTCTACTCTGAGCATACCACTCGTGAAGCTGCTGGGACGTAAGTGTCTCGCGCGGACGCCGCTGCAGCTGCAGCTGGCCACCGCCAGACGCTCCCGACTGGCCAGCTCCAGGGCGACAGCCACGACGGCTGCCGCCACAACCCCAACTAGCGTACCACTCACGAAGCTGCTGAGGCGTGAGAGACTCGCGCGGACGTCGCTGGAGCTGCATCTGGCCACCGCCAGGAGCAACAGTAGCAGTAGTAGCAGCAGCAGCGCGGGCAGGGCAGGCGCGGCAGGCAGGCAGGCAGGCAGGCAGGCAGAGGGCGCGGCAGCGCGCGAACAAGGCAGGTGCTCACCAGTGGCGGGCAGGGCCGGCGCTCGGCGGGCGGCGGCAGGGTAGGCACACGACGGCGGCGACGGCGGGGCCGCAGCAGCGGCTGCAGAGTAGGGCCGCGGCAGCTGCAGGGCGGGGCCGCGTCTGCGGCAGGTAGGGGCCGCGTCAGCTGCAGGGCTGGCGGGGCCGCGTCGGCGTCCGGGCGGGGCCGCGTCGGCGGCAGGGCGCGGCCGCGTCAGAGGCAGGGCGGGGCCGCGTCGGCGGCAGGGCGCGGCCGCGTCAGAGGCAGGGCGCGGCCGTGTCAGAGGCAGGGCGCGGCCGCGTCAGAGGCAGGGCGCGGCCGCGTCAGAGGCAGGGCGGGGCCGCGTCGGCGGCAGGGCGCGGCCGCGTCAGAGGCAGGGCGCGGCCGCGTCAGAGGCAGGGCGCGGCCGCGTCGGCGACAGGGCGCGGCCGCGTCAGAGGCAGGGCGCGGCCGCGTCAGAGGCAGGGCGCAGCCGCGTCAGGGGCGGGGCGGGGCCGCGTCGGCGACACGGCGCGGCCGCGTCAGAGGCAGGGCGGGGCCGCGTCGGCGGCAGGGCGCGGCCGCGTCAGAGGCAGGGCGGGGTCGCGTCGGCTGCAGGGCGCGGCCGCGTCAGAGGCAGGGCGCGGCCGCGACAGAGGCAGGGCGCGGCCGCGTCAGAGGCAGGGCGGGGCCGCGTCAGCGGCCTGGTGGGGCGGCGCTCTGGCCTGACGGGCCTGCAGGGGCGGCTCGCGGGCCTGACGGGCCTGCAGGGGCGGCTCGTGGGCCTGACGGGCCTGCAGGGGCGGCGCGTGGGCCTTACGGGCCTGCAGGGGCGGCGCGCTGGCCTAGGGCAGCAGGAGGCAGCGCGAGGGCTGCAGGACGGCGCGCGCAGCGCAGCACGTCACAAGGCAGGGCAGGCAGGCAGGCAGGCAGGCGCAGGACAACACGTGGGGTAGCGCGGTAACCGCAACGGTAGGTGGGCCCGAAAAAAAAAAAGACGGTCCTACGGACCTAGTGCTCTGAAACCATGTTAGAATCTAGCAGCAGGAATGAATGAACTATGAAAGAGTTGGGTACAAGTATGAAACCCTAAAAGGGGCTGTACCCCATGTTGGCTACCCCACTACAGCCTACACATATATAACATGCATATGCTTTGACAGTTCGTTCCTGCCACGGTCATGTACACCCCTGACGACCTCCACACCTTGTGCCGTCTCCGCTACAGCCCAAAATCCTTGCGGATCGGGATAAAATTTATCTTCCCTCTGCTCTTCCTGCTTGCCGAGTCTCCCTGCAGGATTGCCGTGCAGTGCTGAATCGACTTCACATGTGCTAACGCTTGGGTGAAACTGGAGCCATGCGCCTTGCCACATGCCTCCTGAACACACAGCCAGTCCTCCCTGCTCCCCCCCGTAGAAACCAGCGCCACAGCCGGATCGCGTAAAATCCGCTTCAGCCGCGCATCTAACGGCAGAGACGCAGCTGCTCAGGGATGAGGCGACGAAGCCGTCAGCAGACTCGAATAGGGCCCCAACAGCCTGAAAAGCGAGGTTAGTACTCGACTGTTTACCGTTGATCGCGTGCAGACGCTGTAGAGTCAGGTTCCATTTGCCGATGTTCTTCTGCCGCTCCGTAACGAAATCATCATGGAATTCCGTCATATGCATGCCGTTGCAGAAATCACAAGAAAGCGCGAGGTAATGTACAAGAAGCTGCTTGTGGTGCACCGAGTCAACCAACAAATGCCACCAGCGATACTTATCCCCCGGGTGCCCCTTAACTAGGCCCCTGATCTTGTCAGTGTCTGCACCAGTAACCGGATCCACCACCCTGTGGAAAGCAGCACCGCTGAGAAAAGGCGTCCGGCCGCGCTTCTCCAACACTGTCTTCACCAGGTATTCGTACACCATCTCCGACGTGATGGCAGCCGGGACGCTCTTCAACAACACTTCAATGGAGTCCGGGTTGGCTGCGCGTTCCTGAATGTAGCCAGGGTTCTCCGGATATTGCCAGTCCAGGTAAATGCTCTCCTCGTTCACCATCTTATGCTGGATCCTGCGACACCATACGTAGTTTGCGTCCGATGCCTGCTGGAAGGTGACCTGCAGCCTTCCGTACCGCTTCTTAGACAACCATGCCGGCAGGAGGACCTGACACTTGGTCGTCGTCAGAATGTGAGCTGACATGTACTTCCTCCACAGCGCTAGGAGTCCCTTGATGGTGTCAATAGTGCGCGGAACCTCCTCCTCGTATTTGATCGGGACCAACAGCGTGATGGAGAAACCCGCACGCGCAGCAATCTCACCCGCCTTCACCGGATCAAATCGTTCCTCCGGGTCGTCACTGAGATACCCGTCGTCCTCATATTCCACCTCTTCCTCCCCTTCCTCAGGTGCCTCGGGAGCAGCGATCGGCGACGTCACCTCGTCCTCGTTGTCCTTTTCTTCGCGAGCAATGCCATCCCCTCCCTCAGCAGGCGCATCAGTAACAGGGAACTTCAGCGCAGTCAGCCTCTTCACCAGCGAAATCCGCACGCCATCCTCAAAAGGACCTTCCGCATCCTTCAAGTGCGGCTTTGGCGTCGCCGGCTCTGAATGATGACCTTTAGCAGCGAGATCCCGCGCATCAGCTCCCGCGGTCTTGGTAGCCGGCTTAGCACCCTTCTTCGGTACACGCGGCATGGTGCGATGATGAGAGCCAGAGAAACTGCGACCAAAAAAAGTCAGTGAACGCGAAGCTGCGAGATCTGACCTGACTGCTCTGAGCACCGTTTTTAAATAGCCGAGAAGGTGATACCAAGGCCTTGGCTTTTTCCTTGGCCGGTGCTGCTTGAAACATATATCCTTGATAACTGTGTGAGCCTTGATGTTTGCTAGTCGCGGTAGAATCTTACGTAGAAATCTGACATCAGCCCTGAGAACGCCTTCAACAAACCATCCCTGGTAGTTACGAACGGAGGAAACGGAGTGCCTGACAATGAACCAGAAGTTACAATGTTCGTCATTTGAACACATAGAAAGTATCCTCTTGTTCGCCTTGTCATGTAGATTCCGAAACCGTTATTAAAAAGAGTAACTGATAGGAATTTGGTAGACATTGGAGCATTCTTATTGCCTGTCAGAATCCATGGCGGAATCCGAGAGAATCATTTTTTTCTTCCGTCTCACTCGCTGTTCCGCTGTTGATTACCGTCTCTAACCCCCATGTACAGACAGGTGGTTTTGAATGAGAATGATGCACAGATGAGAAATGCAACTCTGTCCACTAGAGGTGTTGTCCACATTCTTGTAGTTCACTGTAGTACACGGCACATCTCTGTGACACTAATCGTGGTTGTAAGGAGGGAGTTTCCGCCTCACAATATCTGCCATCTGTCAACCTTGTTCACCAATCCCTACACACTTTCTCCACCGCGTCGCCACGTCACGTCTCGTGGACCACCATCATCCGAACCGTCACATTGCCCCCTTGTTCACTGGACGACGCTCATCCCTCGTCAACCCCTCGAAAGCCGACACAGCCCAGCTCCTCCGTGAGCGGGAATTCGGGTGATCGGCGATTTCCATCCGTCCGTCTTCGATAATCTCGAGGTGGTGAGGTCAAATGACAGCCAGCCAGCCCAGCTGGGGGGCGAGTAATCTCGAGGTGCCTCTTCCTAGAGGCACACATTTAGGCGGGCCGCCATCAGCGCAATGACGCTCGAGTTGCCAGCCACCAGCACGCAACGCAACGCAACCTCCCTGACCAAGCCATCGCATAGGGTACAAATATTGTTTGTGCGATGTAGTCCGTTGTAGTCCGGTTCGAAGCGTTGGGATTGGTGCTTATGGTCCCCCACAAGAGATGCAATCAACGCCATGGCGTCTGACTGCTGACTGTCGTGTCGAGGATGGCGTCTGGTGGGAGCTGACGGCAGCCTCGAGATACGCCAGGGTGGCGTAGAGTCCCCGAACCCAGCACCACTAGTGGTTTCAGCGGTTTCAAGTCTCGAGTATTGATCAGCTCGAGTCGCGGTCAGTTCAGTCAGCCGTTGTGCTGCAGAGACCGCTGAATGAGCAGGATCAGTGAATCAATCGCGGAGTTGAATTCATGCATTCACGATAGAAGACAATCAATCTGAGTTGGCGAGTCCGACTTGTTAGTTACCTCGAGATCAGCTTTTCACTGTTGAGGGATCTCACTATATTAGTAAACTGTTTCTATAATAGTGCGAAGACACTGGCAGAAGTGAAATAGATTCGTCAATTAGTCCTGCGATTTTATCGTTCCTGAGTCTTTGCGAAACCTTTTTTTCCATCGACAGTAGCGTAGCATAGGATTGGTTACTCGTCCCTCATCTCTTAGAACGGCTGTCATCTCACCAACATGTCAGCAACATCTCTTGTCTCACGGCCTCAAACTGCTGGTTACACCAGCAAGCTATGTACCAGCACCGCGCGCAATGACTGCACGCGGCTTTCAGTGAACCATGCTAGAGTCAAATTCCCTCGCCGGCGAGCGTTTCGAGGAGTTAATGTCCGCTGCGATGCCCACGAGAATACGAAAAACCATGGATCCAGATTAGTCGACGAAGAGTCTGCTTTGAAAGAGGAGCTCCGGAAAGCGACGCGGTTCGAGAAGCGATTAGAGGCTCGAGTTGGTGTACCGCAAGAGCTGGAGACTTTTACGGGCGACGAGCTGCACTATGTGGAGACGTCCGACGGATGGCGACTCGCGCTCTGGCGTTATCTCCCTTCTGAATCCGTGTGTATCTCCTCCGCTCCTGTTGTCCAGACCCTTTTATTCCTCTCCTCTCTCTTCTTAAATAAACGGCGCTTCCGTCGCCTCGCTTTGATGTCTCTCTTGCGTCAAGATGGTCCAATTCAATTCACCGTGTAATGTGATTTTGTCGTTCTTGCTGGTGTGTGCGAATCAGGTTCCTCGGAAAGCTCATCCAGTCCTTCTCCTTTCCGGAATTGCCACCAATGCTCTTGGATACGATTTATCACAAGAGGTAACTTCTTTCTCATTTCAGCCATTGAGTAAATGTCGTTTTTCCTCTGAGTCTTCCATGTTGCCTCCCTGATTTTGAAGCCAAACTTTGTTTTGGGGATTCCAAAGAAGCCACCCTGGTTGACACGTCAGCATCTGAGCCCTGTTTTCCTGCAGGTGTCTCTGGCTCGACATCTGGCAGAGCAAGGGTTCGATACCTGGGTGCTCGAGCTGCGTGGAGCAGGCTTAAGCCAGTCTCCCTTCTCTGTAGCAGGGGCGAACGGTTTGTCATCTGCCAAGAGTTCTGCTATTGGTCCTATAGAAGGACCCCCTATTACATTCGTTAATGGTTCTGTAAATGGCATGATGAACGCTGCCATTGATACTGGAAACTCAGTCAATGGGTTTCCAGTTAACGGAGCTTCTACTATCGAGCACGTGAACGGAGCTAGTCCGAATGGCTTGGCTGTTAGTAGCAGCAGCAGAACAGATGGTACGACAAACGGCTCTGTGTTCACTCCGTTGTTTTCAAGTGATGACGAAGATTCAACAGCAGCTGCCGCTGCAGCAACATCAACAGCGACAGCAACTGCAACACCAGCAGAAGTTCCAGAAAGGCCTGCGGTGATGAGTTCCGATGTGGCAGAAGGTTTCAGCGTTTCGAGCAGCTTATCTCGAACCATGCAGCAGCTGCGAAATTATTTCGACCAATTCACCCGTTCAGAACCAGCCATGGACCCCCAGGCACTTAGGCCCAAGCGGACCAAGCGGAGCTGCAGCAGCCAGTGGCGCTGCTTGACTTGCAGCACATGCTCGTGCAGCTGCAGACCTGCAGTGACGTGGAGCTGACGTCATCTGGCGTGACACAGCTGAGGCAAACCCTGGATTCGTTCTTCCGCGATGCTGAACAATCACCTGATGTTTCACCTGAGGCTTTTGCAGCGATGAAAGATCTGGCTGGTCTGGTAGGCCCACTGAAATCCGACGCCGCTCTCCCCACTGCCGCTTCTTCCTTCCTACAACAGACCACCCGCCTGCTCAGCAGCAGCATCGCCTCTTCCAACATTGAGAAACGGCTAGCTGAGCTTCAGAAACGGCTGGGGGAGATTGTGGAGTCTAGACAGGGCGTGGCGACGCCGGGAGTGGCTGAGCTTTATGAGCAGCTGATTGGCGTGATTCTGCAGATGCAGGACGTGACGAGCCTTGCCAAGGAGTATAACTGGGATTTTGACACGTATTTGTATGATGACCTGCCGGCTGCCATGCAGTATGTGCGGAAATGGTCCCGGCCGCACGATGGGAAGATCCTGGCCGTCGGTCACTCCATGGGGGGGATTTTGCTGTACTCCCGAATGGCTGCTCTCGGTAAGAATGTGCTCCATTAGCTGGCGCTGTAGCACTCATTTGAGGCTGTTATTTTCCTGGTTTTCCATGTACCTCTCTCTCTCACTCGATCTCCCTCTCGCTTTCTTGCTCTCGTTCTTTACGAGTGTGCAGGTCCGGATGCGGGTCTGCTGGGGGTGGTGACGGTGGCATCGTCACTCGAATATTGGATGGCCAACTCCAGCCTGAAGCTGCTACGCCCACTCGTGAGTGCTTCTGCTCAACATGGCCGTATTGAGGATACAATCATGCACACTACCATACTAGTATTACCACCAATCCAGTTACACCACCAGTTGCACCACCTGTTGCACCGCCAGTTGCGCCACCAGTTGCCCTAACGAGTCACACCATCAGCTAAGCCACCACTTTCCCCACCAGTAACAGTGCTGGCGCAGGAAGGTCTGCTTGGAAAGATCACAGGCCTCATGGGAATTCTTTGTCTTCCAAGTTTCCTTTTCACACTCACACCCGTTCTTTCCCTCCTGAAGCGCCCTAAAAAAACTTCACCTGAGGCCCCTCAGAAGCCTTTTTCTGAGGCGCTCCAGAAGCCCCTATGCTCTCATTCTCGCGGCTTCCTCCCCCGCCGGCCCTGGCCAGGTTTTCAAAGCTTCAGTCCATCCGAAAGTATTGTTTTCGCAGTTAGCCGCCCCCCCCCCTCTCCTGGTAGGACCCAGCTGTCACTCCCCTACTCCTCTCCCCATTCAGGCTGGCCCTACTCGAACCACTAACAATCCTCTCCCCTGTTACCCCACTCCCTTTCCAAGTCTGGCCCTGCGCGGGCCCTCAACTTCCCAGTCATCCAGGTGGCAGTGCTGGCGCGAGCAGCCCTGCCCCTCATGACCACAGGCACCACGATAACCATGCTTCTCTCCCCTCCCCGCCTTTTCTTCCCATCCCAGTCCAGCCCTGCGCGGGCGCTCAACTTCCCAGTCATCCCAGTGGCAGTGCTGGCGCGAGCAGCCCTGCCCCTCATGACCACAGGCACCACGATGCCCATGCTTCTCTCCCCTCCCCGCCTTTTCTTCCCATCCCAGTCCAGCCCTGCGCGGGCGCTCGATTTCCCAGTCATTCCAGTGGCACTGCTGGCGCGAGCAGCCCTGCCCCTCATGACCACAGGCACCACGATGCCCATGCTTCTCTCCCCTCCCCGCCTTTTCTTCCCATCCCAGTCCAGCCCTGCGCGGGCGCTCGATTTCCCAGTCATTCCAGTGGCACTGCTGGCGCGAGCAGCCCTGCCCCTCATGACCACAGGCACCACGATGCCCATGCTTCTCTCCCCTCCCCGCCTTTTCTTCCCATCCCAGTCCAGCCCTGCGCGGGCGCTCGATTTCCCAGTCATTCCAGTGGCACTGCTGGCGCGAGCAGCCCTGCCCCTCATGACCACAGGCACCACGATGCCCATGCTTCTCTCCCCTCCCCGCCTTTTCTTCCCATCCCAGTCCAGCCCTGCGCGGGCGCTCGATTTCCCAGTCATTCCAGTGGCACTGCTGGCGCGAGCAGCCCTGCCCCTCATGACCACAGGCACCACGATGCCCATGCTTCTCTCCCCTCCCCGCCTTTTCTTCCCATCCCAGTCCAGCCCTGCGCGGGCGCTCGATTTCCCAGTCATTCCAGTGGCACTGCTGGCGCGAGCAGCCCTGCCCCTCATGACCACAGGCACCACGATGCCCATGCTTCTCTCCCCTCCCCGCCTTTTCTTCCCATCCCAGTCCAGCCCTGTGCGGGCGCTCGATTTCCCAGTCATTCCAGTGGCACTGCTGGCGCGAGCAGCCCTGCCCCTCATGACCACAGGCACCACGGTGCCCATGCTTCTCTCCCCTCCCCGCCTTAACTCCTCATTCCAGTCCGGTCCTGCGCGGGCCCTCAACTTCCCAGTTATCTCGGTGGCAGTGCTGGCGCGAGCAGCGCTGCCTCTCATGACCCAGCCGCCCTTCACGCTGGCCTGGGTGGCACAGCAGCTGTCAGCCCGTGATGCCATGGACCCTCAGCTCTTTCAAAAGCTCATGCAACACAACTTCTGTGAGTGCGGGATGAGGTGGCATGCGGTGGCATGGAGTAGTATGGGGTAGTCACTTCCCTGTTATACCCTGCAATATGTCACTTCCCCAGGCACCATCCCCATGAAGCTCCTCCTGCAAATGGAGTCCCATCTTCACATCAGGAAGTCTGCTAAGTCACAGTGGATTCACTCACTTCTTTGCCACCCCCTCTGATCTTCCACCAGGCACCATCCCGGTGAAGCTCCTGCTGCAAATGGAGTCCATCTTCACGTCAGGTGGGCTGCGCAGTCGCAGCGGGTCCATCTCGTACCTCAAGGGGCTCAGGGACTGCCACACACCCGTGCTCGCCCTTGCTGGCGACTCCGACGGTGTCTGCCCGCCTCTCCTTGTTACAGGTCAGTCCATGCAGCTCTGGTTGTCAGAGGTGAGTGTGCAACATGTAACTGTTGGTCCATCTCGTACCTCAAGGGGCTAAGGGACTGCCACACACCCGTTCTCGCCCTCGCTGGTGATGCTGACGGTGTCTGCCCGCCGCTGCTCGTCACAGGTCAGTTGGTGCAGCTCTGCTCGTTACAGGTCAGTCGCTGCTGCTCTTCTCGTCACAGGTCAGTGCTCCTATAGCCAACGTGGAACTGCAACGTGGTCCATCTCATACCTCAAGGGGCTGAGGACTGCTACACGCCCGTGCGCGCCCTCGCTGGTGACTCCGATGGAGTCTGCCTGCCCTTGCTCGTCACAGCTTGGTTGTTGTGATTTTCGTGCTCACATGTGAGTTGGTGCATCTCTGCTCGTCCGAGGTCAGTAACTGTAGTTCTCGGGGTTACGTGTCAGTCTATAACCCATGTTCCTACCACTTTGTCAGCCTGAAAAGTCGTCACAGATGTGTTGTCCATGTGACTGTCTCGCAAAGTTTTCTCTTTTGGAGTCGCCTCAAATGTTGTGTCTGTGTGCCCCTCGTAAAGCTGATTCTGACTCTCCTCCACCTCCTCTCTGACCCCTCTCTGATGAATGCCATGTGTGGACTGCAGAAACCCTCAAGGCCATCCCATCTTCTAGCGTTGAATACCGGCTGTTTGGAGGGTCGGACAACCGCCGTTACGGACACTACGACATGCTCGTGGGCAAACATGTGAGTAATTGTGCTGTGTGAACATGTGGTGCAGCCATGCCATGTGACTCTCATGCCGCTACGGACACTACGACATGCTCGTGGGCAAACATGTGAGTAATCGCGCTATGCGAATGGTTGTGACATTTGAGTGTGTATGATGTGTGAGTGGTTATGACATGTGAGTATTCATGCTATGTGATTGGTCATGACACGTGAGCATTCGTGCTGAGTGGTTATGACATGAGTATTCGTGCTATGTGAGTGGTTGTGACATTTGAGCAATCGTGCCATGTGAGGGATGCCATGCCATGTATGCAGGCATGCCATGTGAACATGTGGTGCAGCCATGCCATGTGACTATCATGGCATGTGAGCAGCAAGTGAGCAACATTGCCGAACCATGTGACTACAGTTTTTTACCATTCACACTAATGGCATATCACTGCTGTGCTGTGCCATGTTTTTCCACATTCCAGGCACCCGAGGAAGTGTACCCTGTCATTACAGATTTTCTGTCGAAGACCGATGGTGCTAATGCGGAGCCGATCAGGGCTGCAGACGAGTTTCCTTCCACCATGTCTCCCTTGACAGTCCAACAAGATGCTGGCATGCATGCAATCTAATCACTGTAAATAGTTGGCCTCAAAATTGCAGATTCATAGGGTAAATCAGGCATAGTTTGTTTACCTCCATGCCTCAGTGTTCAAAGCGGTAGAACAAACCTCTCCAGGATGCACAGCACCCTTTTCAACGGCAGTGAAAGAAGTCTGACCCCTTTTCAACGGCAGTGAAAGAAGTCTGACCCCCCTGAAGGTCAGGCGATCCGTCTTGGATTTGCAAGAATTTCACTGCCTGGTATGTGTTCCAGTGAAAATGGGCCACACAAAGTGATGCATGAAGTCAAATTGCATCCATTTTGATCTGTTTCGTGAAAGCATGGATGATTCAAATTACCGTAGACAATTCAGATAATACCGCCCGTCATAAATTCATCAGGTTTTCGTTACAGAAGCAATCCCCCCATTTGCAAGAGGCAATCCCTGAAATTACGCCTAAGAGTACTTGATGCCGATACCACAATGGATAAGAGATGCGAAGCAAGTGCCACACCGCGCAACTGCAGTGAAACCTGCAGATACAAACGCATAACACAACAGCTGATTAAGCACAGCCACGGAACCCGTTGAGACGAACGGCAATATCCGTGAGTGATCATACGACAAAATGTGGGGAGGGGGACAAATGCACAACCACTTATCATCTGCGTGCCTGGGTATAGTTCCGCCCCGTTTGACCGTGCTCTAGGCGACCTTGAGCGCTGCATGTGCCACGGTGAATCAGGCACACCAGTGACTCTAATTGAGTCGCCATGCGGAAACATTCAACTAAGTCCGACTGACCACGCCCACTACTTCCAGGGAGTAATATAAATTGCGAAACAAAAACAAAGGAGCGTGTGAGACGCGCGGTAGCGTACCTTATGTAGTTCGGAAGCCAGTCGTTCGATAAGTGCATTCGGATCGGCCTGTTTATCCGCATTTCGCGCTTCACCATGATCCTTGAGCCGGAACCGCGGAGCCAAGCCGGATCTGAAAGGGTACGTCGGATGGTCGCAAATCGTATCAAGGGAGCAAAACGAACATTAGTTAAGAATGGATTAAGTGCAATTAAAGGAGCAGGAACAGAGCAACGAGAGGAGTGTAAGAAGCTGATTGTCGAGGGGTGACTAAGCCACCTCATGAAGGAAATACAGGTGGCATAAGATAGTGATGCCCTTTCGCCGACCCGGCCATTCTTTTAGGAGGCTTCGAGCGCTGAATGTGTCACGTAATGGACGCACCAGTGACTCTATAGAAGCCGCCAAGTTGCATGTATAAATGGAAGTCATTGCAGTAAAGACCACTTTAGGCGCGATACAATGTGAATAACGAAATCCGTGCTAAGAGAATGGGCGTAGGGATCGTCGTACCCACCATTAATGCGGTCGAACTTTCAGCGCATTTGTAGCCGCGCGTCGAGCCTCTCGGCGCTAAGTTGACGGTGTCATGATCTCAGATGCACTCGGCCATTCAGCTTCCAGAAGGTCGCCGACTCCGCATCAGCCGCATTCGATGGGAAGCCTGAGCCCCCACTTTCACGGCTACGGCATAGTGCAAGCTTCGTCTAACTTCCCAGCTACGTGGGAAAAATACAGGAAAGGATGGTAGAGAAACAGGATGTGCAACAGGAAATAATGGTAAAATGGAGATGGCGGGTTTTTGGTCCCAGCACCAAGGTGGGAGCTGCTGTGGCGAAAAGTGATGGCGACGGGATACAGTTCGCCTGGTGGCTTACCCCAACCTCGCATCACAGATAGTTGGGTGTGTATAAAAGCAGATTATATAAAAGTATTGAAACGAGTCGATTCGTTTTCTGTACAAGCATCACACATCCAATCCATGCAGACTTGTGGCGCATATTTACCTGCAAGCACCAGTGGCTGCAGCATTTGAAATGGGGCTTCTGACGAAGATAAATTCAGTTGTATTTGATACCAGGCCAAATTGCTATATCCTCCTTTTTGATTCGGATCATCAACTTATATTTTCGTGCAATCGAAATATGAGTCTCAATTGGGTTTCCTGTTACCGTATCAAAGATTGATACAGATACTTTACGGCGTACGACACATAATACGGTGGGGTAGGGTTCCACCAACTCCATCCCACATGTCTCTGCCATCCTCCACTGCTTTCCCACCAGGCTCGAAATCCTTCCGTCAAGCTCGCTCCCGTCTGTCCTTTTTTCAAGCCCGCTCCCGGTCCATCCTCTGGCCTCTAGCACCTGCTGCATCACAAGAGGACCAGCAATATCGTGCATCTTAGTTTTTCGGGTTAGAAAGGTGAGGTGAGGCTAGGATTCTCATGTCCTTGCATGTGAGTATGCGTCAACCAAAGCTGGCTATTTTGTATGAGGTAACCCCTCTAATCAAAACTGCCCATTAACTCTCCAGTTATGTTCCGTTATCGACGTTTCGAACTCCAGTTCTGCTGTTTTGTTTTTCGTGTGTTCCCCTCCGAATTTCTTGTTGCGGGAGGCGGAAACAGTGTCTATCAATGTTAATTTTAGTAGCGAAGAGTCAGGCAGTGCTTCAACAACGGTTCGCAACATGCCTCAGAAAGTGCAATTCGCTTTTTCTAGGGGGAAATGACAGGAGTGTCTGCAACAGAAAATCGAGCGTACTCAATCGTGATGTGCTCTGCTCCTTCCTTATCTCCATCACCATTCGTCCTGAATTCTTGTTATCATTGATCACGTCTTCAATCCAGGCGCTCTTGCAGCCGCGTTGTCTCTGCCAGGGTGACAAGCCTTCCTCCACTTGACCGTTCGCCAATCCTTCACCGATTCAATCTGGTTGCTGAATCCACTCACAAAACTTTCACTAATTCCCATGGAGGGCGAAGGCAACGCCAGCTCTGGAGGACCAGGTGCGGGGGCGCCACGGCCAGTAGAACCCGCAGGTAGCACCCTCATTTCGCAATGTTCGTTTGCCCCACACCACTCCTTCTAGATTCCTTTCAAACCTGCACATGCGAATCCCTTTTGCCCCTCCCCCTCTCCCTCTCCCCCTCCTCCCGAACCCCCTTTCCCCTTCCGCTTTTCCTCTCTGTTTCCTTCCTTCCCTCCGGCCCAGCACTTCCACTAGCAACGCCTGCTATGGCACCTCAAACCCCAGCAGCACAGCCACCAACCTCCACAGATGCCGCTCCCGCCACACCTGACAGCACTCCCAGGCCTCCAATAAAGCCCTATGAGTCTGCTGCTGCCGCATCAGGTAGCAGCGCTGCCAGCGTTTCCGAGCCTTTTGTCCCGAAGCAGCCGGTTCGGGAGGACATGGTTCGGCAGGCCGTGAGCTTCCTCTCCAACCCTAAGGTCCGGAGCTCCCCGGTGCGGTTTCGCCGAGCCTTTCTGGAGCGCAAGGGCATGTCAGCTGAGGAGATTGACGAGGCTTTTCGCCGCTGCCCGGTAAGATACTTGGTTCTGTTCTTCTTGGGAGGGAGAGGGGGGGGGAGGTGGGGAGCGCAAGGGCATGTCAGCTGAGGAGATTGACGAGGCCTTCAGACGCTGCCCGGTGAGTCACTTACTCTCCTTTCGAGGCGCCCGTTTGAGGCGCCCTTTTGAAACGCGCTTTTGAGGCGTCCCAAAGGCCTTTCTGGAGCGCAAGGGCATGTCAGCTGAGGAGATTGACGAGGCCTTCCGGCGCTGCCCGGTGAGTTATCCTCGTTTTTGGGGTACTGAGAAGGGGGAGGGAGAATGATGGAAGGGGGGAACGGGGGAAGGAGGAAAGGGGGGCAGGGCAGGGGGGGAAGAGGGGTGGGCAGGGCAGTGGGGAAGAATTAGCGATTGCTAAGGAGTTCTTTTGAGGCGCCTCAAAAGACGACTTTTGAGGCGCCTCAAAAGAGGGGTGGGGGCAGGGCAGTGGGGGACAATTAGCGGTTGCTAAGGATTTCTCCCCAGTGTGGCTCCGCCGAGCCTTTCTGGAGCGCAAGGGCATAACGGCATAGGAGATTGACGAGGCCTGCCGACGCTGCCCTGTGAGTCATCCTGATTTTGGGGGAGGGAAGTGGAAGGGGGGGGGGGGGGTCGGGAGAGAGAGGGGTCGACAGGGTAAAGGGTATGTTGGCAGAGGAGATTGACGAGGCCTTTTGACTCTGCCCTGTGTGTCACTTCATATCGTTCTTCATGAGACGGAGAGGAGGGAGGAGGGATGAGGAGGGGAGGATGGAGATGGCAGGGAACAGGACAGTGGGAAGAAAGAAAACCTGATCTGACATTTTGTCCGTTGCCTTCCTCCTGCCCCCACACCAGGACCCATCAACAGGGTCAGAGGACGTGGAGGTGGGCTCGTCTTCCCAGCCCCTCCCTGCTGCTCGCAAGGCCCCTGCTGCCACTGCTGCCACTGCCACTGCTGCAGAGCCAGCTGCTGCTGCCGCTGCCGCTCCTCCTCCTGCTGCTGCGGTTGCTCCTGGTCCGCAGCAGCAGGCACAGGCACAGGCACAGCAGGCGTTTTCATGGACCAAGCTGGCAGTGGCTCTGGCTGTTGTGGGGGCAGGCACTGCCGGCACTGCTGCTGTTGCAAAGGTGAATAGTCTGAACAGATTGATTCCCTATCCGAGCTCCCATGCGCTCTCTTTATTGTCCATTGTGTTGGACCCCGCTCTCCCCCCCCCCCCCTCCCTCCTGCTCTCTCTATTTCTCTTTGCATTCCCTTGTGTTATGTTCTCCGCAACTCCCTCTCTCGTTCCACATTCCCCCTTTTCTCTCCTCCCCCCCGTTGTCCTAGTCCCTCACCTCACCTCACCCACCATTTGTGTGTCTCATCATGCTTCTGTCTCCGGTGCCATGGACACCGCCATCATCATCATTGCTATCTCCCTGCCGCCCTGCCATGCCATGCAGCGTCTCGTCCCCTCACGCCTTGAGGCCTGTTTTGAGACGCCTCGAAATTCCACCCCCCTGCTTCCTTCCGTTTCACCGGCTTGTTCCTCTGCTCCCCGTGCCACCACCACCGCCATCATCATCATTGCTATCTCCCTGCTCCCCTGCCTGCTATGCAGCATCTCATCCTCCCACGCCTCCAGGCCTGTTTTCAGTTGAGACGTCTGGAAACTTTTTTTTTTTAATCCATTCCATTGGTATCTCCCTCTTCGTCTGCTGAGCAGCGACTCGTGCTCCCACGCCTCAAGACCTGGCTTCAGGAAACTGCAGCACAGGAATCGTCCAAGAAAGGTACACTTGCTACACTTGGCGTTGCACCAGCCAGCACGTGGCAGGGCTTCACATGGCCGCTTCTTGCTATGCTTTGCTCTGTTGTTTTCGTGGGTTCTGGTTTTGAGGCGCCTCAAAACTCTTGCTACACTTTGCTCTTTGTTGCTCTTTGTTCTTTGCTCTTTGTTGCCGTGTGTGCTTGTGGCCACCGCCTATCACTTCACTCTTTTTTTCTACCTTTTCGTTTTGTCCTGGCACACTTGGTAATCCAATTCCACGTTTCCATTCGTGCGTGTGCGTGTGTGGGTATTTTCCGTGCGTGGCCTGTCTGCATGTGTTTCCGTCCTTCTATGTGCAAGTAGGCAAGCGCCGAGGCAAGCAGGCAGCAAAGAAGAGCAGCAAGGGGAAGAAAGCAAGCAGGCGACGAGGGCAGGCTACTGACCCAGACAAGCTGGAGGAGGAACGGGAGAAGGAGGGGGCGGAAGAGGAGGAGGGGAGTGGTGACAGCAGCAGTAGCTCTGGCAGCAGGAGTGAGTCAGAGAGTGAGTCCGAGACAGGGGATTCAGAGAGTGAGGAGGAGAGGGGGAAGGGGAGGAGGGGAAAGGGAAGGCGCGGTGGAGGGAGGAAAGGGAAGGGGAAGGAGAGAGAGGGGGGAGGGAGGAGGCGAGGCAGGAGGGAGGGAGGCAGCAGGGATGAGTCACAGGCGGCACTGTTGCGAGCCCTAGAAGCCATGACTGCAGAGGTGCAGCAGCTCAAGGCCGCCAATGCTGCTGGCTCTGCTGGTGCTTCCGGTGCCGGTGCTGTGGGAGCAGCAGCGGCTGGCATTGCTGCTGCGGGCTCAGACATGCGCTCTGGTGAGTCCATCTGGCACCCGCTCACACAAGTGGAGACGGGGGTTTTTTCCAGAAGAAGCTCATAATGTACCGCTTGCAATACCCCTCCCTCCCTCCCTGTCCCGCTGGGCCCCCTCATGCCCCGTCTCTTCCATTTCCTTCCCCCCCTCCCCCACCTCTCCTCTCAGTCTATGTTTCTCCCGCTGTTGTTCTCACTCTCCAGATCATGTTTCTCTCTCATCAATCCGTCTTTCCATCTTCCCTATACCCACCCGCTTCCCTTCATCCATTCACAGCCCTGGCATCTCGCCAGCCCACCCAGCAGCAGCAGCGCAGCGACGCACCCTACTCCCAGCCCTACTCGGCTCAATCCTACTCCCCCCAGCCATATTCCGCCCAGCCGTGGCGCCCGTCTAGTGCCCCCGCGCCCTCTTCATCCTCTGCTGCTCTGGGCGCCGGTGGCAGTAGCACTGCGACTCCTGGCGCGCCTGGTGTCGGATCTGCTAGTGCAGCCGCATCCGACGGCCCTCCCCATCCCAAGTCCTTTTACGAGGTGAGGATCGCTCTCCCTCAACCAGGGTGCCTCGGTATACCCTATAGGGCCTATACCAGGAATCTCCTCCGTCACGACCTTACTGCCGTTTCTCCTAGCCTCGTCAGGTTGTCTTTCTTTGTCTGATCGGAGCACTCTCTGCAACCCTCCATTCCCTCGTTCACCCTTATGTGTCATCCTCTGTATGCTGGTACTGATGATCCATGTGCTACTGGGGGCGGGGGGGGGAGTTAAATGAGCAGGTGATGGAGATGGTGAAGCGGGGAGAGACGCCTCCGGGAATCAAGGTACCTTGTCTAGTACCTTCTTTCTTCTCTCAACTCGTTTTCAGAGCATTTGCGCCACGCGTTGCTGCTCAGGCCATTTCTATCACCTTTTTCCCTGTTGCTGTATGCTGTGATCTGTTCATCTTTCGACAAGGGTATGAGCACGACTGTATTGGCATGTTTGCCCTAACCTCTCACTCACGCCACATATCTGTCTCACTCACTCACTCACCCATTCTGCCCATGCCTGCAGTGCCCTAATGCCTCAGCAGTACTTCATTCAGCCACTTGAAGCCACTGCCCGTACATCCCCATCCCCATCCCCATCCCCATCCCAATCCTCATGCTCATCCCCATCCTTTTTCCTGTCCCTCGGTGCATCAACCACATGCCCCACATGCCCCACATGCCCCACATGCCCCACATACAAACCGTGTGAGATGAGACGATTTTTGAGTCGACTAAAAAATCATCCCCATCCTTATTCCCATCCCTCAGGACATCAACGACAAGGCCCCCAATCCCTAGCATCGATGTGTATTTTGCAGTGCCTCAGAATACACATCAGCAACTGCCTGCCATTGTGCCCCTTCCCCCGCCCCGCCCGCATCCCCATCCCCATCCCACATCCCCATCCTTATCCCCATCCCGCAGGACATCAACGACAAGCCCCACATACAAACCGCGTGAGATGAGACGTTTTTTTAGTCGACTACAGGATCATCCCCATCCCCATCCGTATTCCCATCCCCCAGGACATCAACGACAAGCCCCCCAATCCCGAGCAGCCCCCTACAGACTCCCGCCTAGCACGCCCCCTCAAGGTATGCTGCCTGGCTGCCTGCCCGGACACGCCTCCTAACCTTATCCTTATTCCCCCACGCCCCTGGGGAATCCAGCCAGCCCCTTGCCCTCTCTCAGTCCCTTGCCCTCTCTCAGTCCCTTGCCCTCTCTCAGTCCCTTGCCCTCTCTCAGCCCCTTGCCTCTCTCAGTCCCTTGCCCTCTCTCAGTCCCTTGCCCTCTCTCAGTCCCTTGCCCTCTCTCAGTCCCTTGCCCTCTCTCAGTCCCTTGCCCTCTCTCAGTCCCTTGCCTCTTTTGCATGCCATGCCACGTGATAAAAGTGATGTTTTCAGATGTCTCAAAACATCACTTTTATCACTTGCCCTCTCTCAGTTCCTTTCCTCTTTTGCGTGCCACGCCACGCCTCCTCCTGCCCCATCATACCCTCCCCGCGGTTTACCCTTGTTGATGCCGCTCAACTTAGCCCACTCCCACCTTCCCGTTTCCCATTCTTTTCTCCCATCCGGCCCCCTTCTCCCCCTGTTTTCCCTTGTTCCCCCGGTCTCCTTCGCCTTTCATCCCCTGAAGTAGCCCTGGGAGTCTGGAGCAGCACAGCAGGGACCTGGCAGCACCGCACCAACAGCAGCAGTACCAGCAAGAGGAGCAGCAGGAGCGGCAGCAGGAGCGGCAGCAGGAGCAGCAGCAGGAGCAGGAGGAGGGGGGTTCCCAGTGGGGGGTCAAGCAAGCAGGCCACTGTCTGCTGGCATGAGCTCTGCTAACCCGCCCTACCCACCCAACCAGCCATACCCGTACGGACCGAACCAGCCTTACACAGCCAGCCAGCCGTACCAAACCAGTGCCCCGTACACGACTAACCAGCCGTACCAAGCCAAGCAGCCTTACCAAACCAACCAGCCTCACCAGCAGCAGCAGCAGCAGCAACAGCAGCCATACCAGCAGCAGCAGCAGCAGCAGCAGCAGCAGTTTGGGCAACCGTCTGCTTACAACCAGGGCGCCATGGGCTCAGCGTATGGTGCTACTAACGGGGGTGATTATAACGGAGGGATGGGCTATGCTGGTGTGAGTGGTGGTGCCGGTAACGGCTCTGTGGATGATGCTCCCTGGTCCCGCCGCCCGCCTGCCACGTCATCATCAGCTGCTGCTGCTGACTCAGCAGCCGCAGCCGCTGCTTCTGGAATGTTCTCCGATTCTCCCAGGGGAGAAGCATCAGGGGGTGCAGCGGTGGAGACAGCAGGGGGGCCACCAGGAGTCTCAGGTGTCCCATCAGGTGGACCATCAGGGGGCGCATCAGGTGGAGGGGGGTGGAGGCCGCCAGCCCTGCTGAAGCCAGTGCTGCCAGAAGCAGCCACAGCCATCCGCCAGTGGCCCGCTGCCAGAGCCCCTAACTACTGGGGCGGCCCCGCTGCTGACGCCCCTGCCGCTGCTGACCCGGCTGCTGGTCCTCCGGGTAACCCTGCTGCGGCGGCAGCGGCGGCGGCGGGGACCCTACCTGATGTTACCGCTGGTGTGGCAGATGCTGCTGGTGGTCTTGCAGGGTTTGGTGCATCGGTACCAACGTCTGCTGCTCCTGATGTTGCTCCTGCTGCTGTTCCTCTCCCTCTGCCGCCTGCTCTCGGTGTGCCTTCGGCTGCCCCAGCAGCACCTGCTGCTGCACCGACTGTCATTGATGTTCCTGCAGCATCAGCATCAGTGATTGATGTTCCCTCTGGGCCTGCTCTGGTGCTGGGAGGGCTGCAATCCAACAATGGCAACGGTGAGGTGGCAGAGATGGGGAGTGCCGGAGCAGCATCAGAGGGAGTGAGTGCAGCACCAGAGGTGTAGCACTAAAACTGCTGTAGCAGCACCGGCTGTAGCAGCATCTGGTAGCGGCATGCATGACAGGGGTCAACGACAGCAGGGGTGGACCACTTGTGCTGCACAAGACAGATTCATTGCCTCATAAAAGAGAAGGTTCTGGTCATGCGAGGTCGCACTTTCTTTCCTTATTCGTTTTTTGGACATAATCTGTTGTAAATAGAATAACGACATCGGAACCAAATTCGTTGTGATGCCTGGGAGGGTGTTGGCCAATGCCGTATTGGGGATTGGTTGGGGAGTGCTGTAGTAAGGGGAAGAGGAGATCGAAGGGTTTAGCAGTTTTGACATGTGGTGCTCTTTTGCTAGCTAGCAAAAACCTGTTCTCTTTGAAACGATGCCTTTTTATCGGAGTATTGCTTCTGGTGCTTTTGAGATTGTTTACAGCTTATGTAGAAAACGTTTCGTAACAAGCGGTTCATCCGAACGAAGTTTTAGATCGGGTTACCTCCATAGCTCTCGCGAAGGAGCAACACCCCAGCGAGAGGGCACCATCCTCCCGAGCGCTACACAATGGCTCGCGAATCGTAGACGTCACACTGCCGTCGCATGCGACGAATTCAGTCGCACGCGTCACTCGCCTCGCACTTGCGACTGACGACAAAGTTAGCAACTGTTGCCCACAATGTCATTCGCCCACGCGTTTCCCCGTTATGACCATAAAAATATTTTCCGTCACCGTCGGATCTTCGTCAGCTTGCTGCCTTCCCCCTCCGCTTCCGCTCCCGCTCTCCCCGCCTCGCCAGCTCCGCCTTCTCCTCTGACCCGCCCTTGCTCCGGTCTCCACGTGCATTCCCTTTCCCGCGCGCGTTCCTCCGAAAGCGCCCCGCCGCCGCCCTCCCCGCCACATCGAAGCCCTTACGCGACTCACCCGCATTACGCGCAACACGTGCCGTTCCCCTTGCCCTTCCGTGCTGCATGCCGCGCGCTTTACGATTTCCGGTGGGTAACCGTGCGCTCAGCAGTTGCGGGGGATGCGGGGAATGCAGGGGATGCAAGGGGAACGAGCGGGGGGCAGCACCGCGAAACGAGCGCGCGCGTGGATTCCCGCGGGTCAGCGGAAGGCGGGGTCGCGAGTTCGGACGCGCGGGGGAGAGCGGAAGCGGAGAATGGGGTTGGGGCGCCAGCGGGCGCGGGGTTGCAATCTCCTGCTGCTGTTGAAATGTCCGCGGATTGCCAAGCCGGGGAGAGGGGGAAGGGGGACTGGGCGGAGGCGAGCGGGGGAGCGGGGGGGCTGGAAGAGCGGAGAGGAGGGGGGACGAACCCTGGGGAGCCCATTGCAGGTCCTGCTCTGGTGGCGGATTTTGAAGCGTGTGAGAGGGAGCAGGCAGCGTGTGTGGTGGTGGGCGCGGGGGTGGTGGGGCGGGAAGGGGAGAAAGTCGAGCCCCTTACCCGTTCTGCAATGCCCGTGGATTTCGAGGCGCAGGAGAGGGAGCAGGCGGAGTGTGTGGTGGTGGGCGCGGGGGTGGTGGGGCTGGAAAAGGAAAGAGGCGGGGGAGCGGAGACTGGCAGTTTCAGGCCAGGTATGGTAGCAGATTTCGCAGCGTGTGAGAGGGAGCAGGCGGAGTGTGTGGTGGTGGGCGCGGGCGTGGTGGGGCTGGCGGTGGCGCGCGCGCTGGCAGGGGCGGGGCGGGAGGTGGTGGTGGTGGAGGCGGGGGGAGGGGTGGGGGGCGGTATCAGCTCGCGCAACAGCGAAGTGATTCACGCAGGGCTGTACTACCCTCATGGGTCGCTCAAGGTGCGCCTCTCGTATTAGCGTGCACGACGAATAGACTCATAGTCCACACACATACGGCGGGGTGAGGTGTGCGGGGCGGCATCAGCTCGCGCAACAGCGAAGCGATTCACGCAGGGCTGTACTACCCTCATGGGTCGCTCAAGGTATGTGGAAGGATGCAGGTACAAGCACTGTCCTGCAAGGTGCGCCCCTCTTTACTCTCGCTCATGGTGTTTGCTACTCGATCAACGTATAGGCCTCTTTACTCCTCGCACGCGTATGCCTTCCTCCCCCTTCCTCTCACTTCCCCACACCCCCTTAACCCATACCCTCCTCACACACCCCCACACCTGGTGCCCCTTTCCTCCCTCCAACTCACCTTTCCTCCCTCCAACTCACCTTTCCTCCCTCCAACTCACCTTTCCTCCCTCCAACTCACCTTTCCTCCCTCCAACTCACCTTTCCTCCCTCCAACTCACCTTTCCTCCCTCCAACTCACCTTTCCTCCCTCCAACTCACCTTTCCTCCCTCCAACTCACCTTTCCTCCCTCCAACTCACCTTTCCTCCCTCCAACTCACCTTTCCTCCCTCCAACTCACCTTTCCTCCCTCCAACTCACCTTTCCTCCCTCCAACTCACCTTTCCTCCCTCCAACTCACCTTTCCTCCCTCCAACTCACCTTTCCTCCCTCCAACTCACCTTTCCTCCCTCCAACTCAGCACCCCTTGCCCACGTGGATCATGCTTCCACCACCCTTTCCATCCTCTGCTGACGTGGCAGGCGCGGCTGTGTGTGGAGGGGCGGCGGCAGCTGTACGCGTTCTGTGAGGACAGGGGAGTGCTGCACCGCAGGGTCGGCAAGCTGGTGGTTGCCACGTCAGCAGACCAAGTGCCGCAACTGGAGCAGCTTAAGGCGAGTACAGCTGCTCTGCAGTGCTGTCATGTCCCCGTGCTGTCATGCTGCACTGTTCACCCTCTCTTTCCTGTTCTCAACCCTTCAATGCCCCTTACCCATACTTTGCTTTTTATATGATCCCACCTCTTTCTCTGATGCTCCTTGCTCACCTTCATGTGGCCGTGCCACCAGACCCACGCGCAGGGCAACGGGGTGGAGGGGCTGCGGATAGTGGGCCAGGAGGAGACTTGTTAATCTCAACTCAGTACGGGGTGCATCCTTTCAGTTGAAAGGTCCCATTGCATACCATTGCTTGCCTCTCTATCGCCATGCCACCAGACCCACGCGCAGGGCAACGGGGTGGAGGGGCTTCAACTGTTGGGTCGTGAGGAGGCAAGGCGGATGGAGCCCTGGGTGGAGTGCCATGCTGCGCTGCTGTCGCCACACACAGGCATCGTGGACTCACATGCTCTCATGCTCGCCCTCCAGGTGATGAGACGACTTGTGACGCACATAAGAGAGTGATTCTGACTCACTCCACAAGTCATGAGGCGCCTAAAAAAATTACAGGGTGATGCTGTCTCGTCTCACGCCACAGGTGACTTGTGGCTTGTGGCTTGTGGCTTGTGGCTTGTGGCTTGTGACAGCACCTGTGGCTTGTGACAGCACCTGTGGCTTGTGACAGCACCTGTGGCTTGTGACAGCACCTGTGGCTTGTGACAGCACCTGTGGCTTGTGACAGCACCTGTGGCTTGTGACAGCACCTGTGGCTTGTGACAGCACCTGTGGCTTGTGACAGCACCTGTGGCTTGTGACAGCACCTGTGGCTTGTGACAGCACCTGTGGCTTGTCGTGCTGTCTCACGCCACAGGTGACGAACCGACAGTTGAGGGACCCAAAACAGCTGCCAAACTAGGAAACATCTCAAACCCCTCATGCATTGTCCTCCCCACCTGTCTTGCATCCCTCACTTGTCTTTCCCAGCTCGCCTGTGCTGCCTCACTTGTCTTACTTATTCCTCTCTCCCTCTCGCCTTCCTCTCTTCCTCTCGGCCTCTCCATTCTTACCTTCTCTGCGGCACGGCACCAACGGGGCGGGCAGAGGCAGAAGCAGCGGGTGCCGTTTCTGCCCTCACTGACTCAGAAGTTCTCCCCTCCGTCTCTCCACTTTTTTCTCTGATGCAATTTTTGCGCCACCAACAGAGCAGGCAGAGGCAGAAGCAGCAGGAGCCGTTTTTGCCTTCAACACAGCAGCAGTTGGCATTCAGGCCAACCCAGCCGACCGCTTCCCACTCCTCACCACCATCCGAACCTCCTCCCCTACCACCAGCAGCACCACCACCACAACCAGCACCAGCAGCACCACCAGCACCGCAAGCATGTTGCTCTCCTCGCGCTACCTAGTGAACGCAGCTGGGCTGGAAGCCGTTCCCCTCGCACACCGCACCCGTCTCAAAAGAGAGGCCCACGTTGAACCCCAACTGCCTCCCCTGAACCCATCTAAGACGGCTTGCAGCCCCCCCAATGGCACTGCATCACTACCTGCCCACCACCTCCCTCCCCTCTACCTCGCTCGCGGGCATTACTTTGCCCATGCGGGAGCACCGCCCTTCTCCCGCCTTGTGTATCCGCTGCCGGAGCCGGGGGGGCTGGGCGTGCATGCCACCGTGGACCTGGCCGGTCGAGTGCGGTTCGGTCCCGATGTGCAGTGGTTGCATGCGGTGCCGCTCTCTGCCCCTCACGGCATGCCCATCAGGTACAGACAGCTGTAGCACAAGGCACTCAAATCTTGAGTCGACTTGTATTGTAAACAGCAAGTAATGAGCTGATTATGAGTCGGTTCGGACTTTTGAGAGGGGTGCCTGGGCGTGCATGCCACGGTGGACCTCGCCGGTCGAGTGCGGTTCGGCCCCGACGTGCAGTGGTTGCACTCGGTGCCGCTCTCTGCTCCTCACGGCATGCCCATCAGGTGTGGTTCTAGTTCTAGGCTCCTGATCCTGATGTAGTAGCTGAAGCAGGTTCAACATTCCTTCCCACTTCTCACCACTCTTCCCCTCTCCACCCAACTCCTTCCCACTCCCCTCAACTCCTCCCCACTCCTCCCCATGCCAGCTACGACTACTCAGTGGACCCTGCAAGGGCTGAATCATTCTACTCGGCGATCCGCAAGTACTTCCCCTCACTGCAGGCCGGCTCTCTGCATTCCTCCTCACCACTCACCACTCCCCCCAACCCCCCTCAACTCCTTCCCATGCCAGCTACGACTATTCAGTGGACCCTGCAAGGGCTGAATCATTCTACTCGGCGATCCGCAAGTACTTCCCCTCACTGCAGGCCGGCTCTCTGCATTCCTCCTCACCACTCACCACTCCCCCCAACCCCCCTCAACTCCTTCCCATGCCAGCTACGACTATTCAGTGGACCCTGCAAGGGCCGAATCATTCTACTCGGCGATCCGCAAGTACTGCCCATCACTGCAGGCCGGCTCTCTGCATGCCGACTATGCTGGCATCCGACCCAAACTCACCGCCCGGGGGGAACCTGCAGCCGATTTCCTCATTCAGGTGAGATGGGCGGTAAGAGAGGGTGGTAAGAAAGATGGGCATCATTGGAGCCCGCTCTCTGCATGCCGACTATGCGGGCATTCGCCCCAAACTCACCGCCCCGGGGGAACCCGCTGGTGACTTCTTGATTCAGGTGAGATGGGTGGTGAGGTGGATGGCGTGCCTTGTGCCTTGTGTGACTGAGATTGACTTCTGATGGTCGATTCTAGAGGCACCGTGCCCTCCCATTGCGAGTGTGCCAACAGAACAGACCCATGCCAAGCCTCATCCTCCTCCTCAATTGTTCTTTCCCAACACCATCAATTATCTTACTCTCCTTGTCCATGTCATTCGCCTTGTACCCATGTCAATTATGCCAACAGACTCAAGCTACACATGGCAAGTCAGGCCTCATCCACCTTCTCGGCGTAGAGTCTCCAGGACTTACTGCGTGTATTGCTATTGCCGAGTATGTGAAGGGACTCCTGTAACATCTCTGCCGCATGTCGCTGTCAACCACAGTTTATCATTGCGCTACTCAGGGGTTGTGACGTATGGTCATGCGTTTGGTGGATTTTTCTTTCTTCCATTCGTTTTCAAGTGACATTTGTACAACCACCCGTATAGACAGTGGGTTTCTGCATTCCAACTGGTACCTTGCGTGTTGCAGAACCATCACTAATTCCTTGAGAGATTTTCACCAAAAACCACAGAATAATCATGCACAGCTCCGGTTCCACTAACACCAAACGGGTAAAAATTTGGTATAATAGTCTTCCAATGAAACATAAATTGACATCGACTATTTCAAATTGCATTTGGCCAGAAACGAACTGTAGTTGGATGAAAGGTGTGGATCATCTGGATGGGGAACAGCGCAATGGCGATGGTAAATTCATGCAGGGTATATACATGGATGGTGTGCACGAAAGTACCAAATTCAGGCATATACATCAGAATACATATAAACTGACGTGTATAATTCATATACCATGGTCCAACACATGGTACACAGTACACACAACACACAGTTTAGGTACACACGGAACAGACAAACGCATGGCAACACACACCAGACAAACTCACAGTACACACAACAGACAGTTTAGGTACACACGGAACAGACAAACGCATGGCAACACACACCAGACAAACGCACAGAACACACAACAGACAGTTTAGGTACACACGGAACAGACAAACGCATGGCAACACACACCAGACAAACGCACAGTACACACAACAGACAGATAGTAGGGTACACACAGAACAGACAAACGCATGGTAACACACAACAGACTGATGCACAGTACACGAATGTACACCAATGACAACCAGATGCTGTACGTACTCCATCCATACTCATAAACGAGGATGCTTATGCGGGAAAACTACGAAGATGATGCCCGAAATCAGGGTGCAGCGGTGATAGGATGGAAAGGATGCGACAACAGAGCACCTTGAGAGGCGGGTGGAGAAGTGAAACCGACCAATATGGGAATGGGGAGCAGGGGGAGAGATGGTGGGGAGAAGGAATGGTAGAGGGATGAGGCAAAGAAGGGCGAAAGGCGGGGAGGAAAGGGGGATGGAAGACGGGATTGAAGAGAGGAAAGGGAGGTGGGCTCAAAGAGGGGGAGAGGGAGGAGGATGGAGGAGGGAAGGGAAGGAATGAGGGGGAAGGCAGGCTGAAGGAAAGGAGGTCACGAAACTAGTGGGCTCCCAACGACAATCCCAAGGTGCAAGGTCGGTCATCGCAGGGGTAAGGGAGAAAAGGAAAAGGGTGAGAGAAACGGAGGGAAGTGGAGGGGGGATGAGAGCTTGTGGATAGAACAGGGGAGGGAAAACTCCCCAAGTTCCATCCACAGTCCCTCACCCCCCCACCACCCATTCCCCTTCTCTTCCCTCCTTACCCTCTCCCCTGAACCCTTGGATGCGCCAAACCCCTGTACCCGTTATTGCCTTGGTGGTGTGCGCTAAAGCGAGTTGCTTTAGTAACTCAAACAGCCGCGCATGGTTACCGCCCTACAGAGTAGGGTTACCAGCGTGGCAGCCAATGAGAGAACACAGATCGCGCCCAAAGTTCGTGCATTACCAGAAAAGGGCCAAAATCGGCCGGACAAGGACAACAATAGCCACATTAGCAAGGCAACTAAGAGGCGATTAAGAGGCGATCAATGCGCTTAGTAGATGCGGAGGGGCTTGCCCATGGTGCTCTTGATGTACAGCGACTTGACCTGCGAGGTAAGCAGTGGACAGGGGAGAGAGGAGAGAGACGGAAAGGTGGGGCAACCATGAGGAAGTGGAGAGACGAGACAATTGGAAATCGAGAGGGCATGCGGAGAGGATTGCCCATGGTGCTCTTGATGTACAGCGACTTGACCTGTGGGGGGGCGCAGTGGACAGGGGGCGAGAGGAGAGAGACAGAGAAGGGGAGAAAGAGGGAGATTGGAGAGGCGAGTCTAACAATGGAAATCGAGAGGGCGAAACAACGGGCTTGCCCATGGTGCTCTTGATGTACAGTGACTTGACCTGTGGGGGCGCGCAAGGGAAGAAGAGATGGAGAGAGACGGAGGGGAGGGAAGGAGTGAGACGGGGAGGAGACAGCCCGAAAAAACGGACACTGAGAGCGCCTGAGCAGCGAGACGAGGAAGTTGACAGAGAGCTGCACGTTCTGGAAGATCTCAACGAAACTATACCCAGTCACGAACCCACGGGGCACAGAGCTACTATCGAGTACGTACGTTCTGCCAGTTCTTCTTCAGAAGCGAGACGAGGAAGTTGACCGAGAGCTGCACGTTCTGGAAAATCTCAACGAAACTATACCTTGTAGCGAACCCACGGGGCACAGAGCTACTATCGAGTACGTACGTTCTGCCAGTTCTTCTTGAGCAGCGAGACGAGGAAGTTGACGGAGAGCTGCACGTTCTGGAAGATCTGCTTCTCCTCCATGTCGCAGTTGCCCACCGCGATGCCCATGCACAGCACCTTCTTCAGCTGGAACTTGATCGTCGACTTGGCCTCCAGCAGCTGCGACAGAGAGGGGAGCGCGAGAGACGAAAGGGGGGGGGATGGGTGGGGTAGCGCAGGGAAAAAGGGCAAGGGGATGCGATGAGCTGAGCCCACCGCGATGCCCATGCACAGCACCTTCTTCAGCTGGAACTTGATCGTCGACTTGGCCTCCAGCAACTGTTGGTGAGAACGGGAGGGAGGGAACCAGAAGGTGCCCTTGAGGTTATGGCCTTAACGCCAGGAACACATGGTACCTCTTAACGATTTCCAAACCCTAGCCTTGTATCGCGTACGAAACCCTCACCTTGCTCTCGAGAGGCTCGTGGTGAGTGCAGAGCGTGGGGAACTTGCCGGCCTTGTTCAGCCCGGGGCCGAGCAGCCTGGGGATCTGCTTGATAATGGCCTCGGACGCCAGGAACGCGTGGTACTTCTTGGCGAGCTTCTTGACGAGCTTCTTGTTCTTGTTCATCTTCTTCAGCGCCTCCACGCCCATGCAGTCCAGACTGATCTTCTCCGCCTGTTGAAGGGAGATTGGCGAAGGGAAAAATAGAGTGTTATTTCGCCAGCTTCTTCGCCAACTCTCTTCGCCAACACTCTTCGCCAACACTCTTGGCGAGCTTCTTGACGAGCTTCTTGTTCTTGTTCATCTTCTTCAGTGCCTCCACGCCCATGCAGTCCAGACTGATCTTCTCCGCTTGTTGAAGGAGGAATTAAGAGAACGAGGGAGACATGAAAGTTAAGAGACAAAATGTTCTTGCCGCAGCAGCTAATTACCTCACAGACGCGCTCTACTTCAAAGACAACTTCAACGCCAGCTCGCCCAACTGCACAGCCTGCCCAAATGTCCAGATGGTAGCTGCGAATGACCTACTCCTTCAATGCGCTGCGACTCTCCCAGAATGTCACACGCGGTTTGTAAAAACCGGATTCCCACAGCATCACGCGGCCCTATGTTTCAAACCAAAAGCCACACCCATCTCCTCAAATTCCGGCTCAACTCCGAAGCGCGGTGCTTAAATAGACCGATTACGAAATCGAACTACTCCTAATAAGCCTCTAAATGACTAGCGACACGCACCTCCTCGACGTGCTGCGCATCTCCGAGCATGCACACGCGGTACTTGGGGCGCGGCACGTGGGGCAGCTTGATGGAGCCGCTGAAACGCTTGTCCTTCTGGGGGTCGTAGTTCTTAAGCCCGATCTGCAGCTCGATCGTCTCCGAGAACTTGCGGTTCTTCTCCTTCGAAGCCGTCAGCAGGTTCGTGATCGCCTCGCGCAGAACATCGCTCTGCAGCTTACTGCGGCGCGCAGAGGGGGGACGAGGGTGATACAAAGGGCACAGTGTAAGAACAGTGAGTTGAGAGAATAGCCAGTGGTTCGATACGTCGAACCACTGCAGCATGTCGAGCGGCACGTCGCTCTGCAGCTTACTGCCGCGCGCAGGAGGGTGACGGTGTTACAATGGGCACAGTGCAACAACGGGTGATATGCTAGTTGGCGGTTTGGATGAGACTATTTAAAAATGTAAGATTAGGGCGAACTTCGTGAGGCAAACTATTCGAGACAGGGACTACCACCATCATATTTCTTGGTGAATGACTCGCAGGCAACGAATGCTGAATGCTATTTGCCAGGCTAATTGCTCGTAGAGCTTACTGACCTCATGGTGGCCCGCTACAAGGGACGAAGGGGAGAAGTTCTGCAAGAGAGGTAGCTTCCGGAGGGGAGAAAGGAAAATCGAGAAGGAAGGCGACGACTGAAATAGGAGTGTGAGTGGAAACGGACGGAGGTGTTACTGAAAGGGACGGACGGGAGGAGATTCGACAGTTTTGGAAGGGTTTGAGAAGAAGTAATGGAGTTCGACTAATAAGACTTGTTACCTGATCATGCTCCAAACGAAGTTTACTATTATCAAGAATGTATGTTTCAGGGCTTCGTTTTTCAGCATTGAAGCTTGCTTCAAGTGCGTGCAGCGTGGGATGGAGGTTTCGATTGATATATGACACGTAAAGATAGTTCGTCTGTCTAAAATTGTTATAGAGGCTGACTACAAACAGTCTATTTTCCGTGGCACTACTGGAGGCTCGGAACGTAACGTGGTGCCGCATGACCGCACTTTTCCAGAGGGTCTCAGGTTGTTGACGTTTGATCCCGGGCAAACCGACAGCCCTGGGCCGGACATCGCGCATTTTCCCCTGAGGAGGACACCGTACCTGTCGGCGCGAAACAAACCCCACAGCCCGCGAGTGGGGTGCGTGCAACCAACCAGGGCAAGAGCCCACTGTCGAGCCGCACGAGACCGCTTACCAGATCTGTGCCGTTGATGGTTTCTTTACCCAACCATCGCGTAAAACGGACGGTTATCAGATGGGCCACCTGACCGACCACCTGTCCCCACAGCCCCACCACTTCCAGCGAATCGCCAGCCATTCCATCCCACGTCGGTGGTGCTGAAGCGGCCGAGCGGGAGCTCCCCTTGCCCAACGTGCCTGCCTTGCCACACTGCCCGTCCGCCGCACACAACGTGATGTGATCAGTTCGGTGACAATAGTGACAATAATTCAACCCCCCAGATACATCTGCTACCCAATCAAAACCTTCTCAAAACTAGCCGAACCGATTAAAACAAAGTAGCATTGCTCTGGCTTTGCGTGACATCGATCACACACCTATTTAGTGTCTCGCTGTAGCTCTATTCAGTTTCCAGTGTCATCACTCACAGGCTCTCCATAACGCTCTCAGCTAGCATTGTTCCTCCATTCCACCATTCTCTATCATTCCTTCATTCCTCCCGTTTGCTGTTGCTTCGACTCAACGCGCCTTCCTTGCCTCCCTCGCCACATTTCAAGATGGCGATCCGATCTGTTCGACTTCTACTGCTAACCGTCGCGCTAGTCTCGCTAGCGTCAACGGCGGCGGCGGCGTACAACGCGGTGGCGGGCTTGAAAGCGATTGAAACCGCGCTGAAGAATAAAAACTACCAGTCCGCCGTCACGCTCATGAAGACAAGCAGTAAGTGACATGTCAAGTCGAACGCAAGACCTGCACTCGCTGTGTATCCTGTAAGGCGTTTTGAACAGCAGAAACGCAGTGAGCGTTACGACAGGTCGAGAGCAACACCAGCACAGGTCGACAAGTCGACAGGCCGGTGTTTCACTCGACTCGGCAAGAGGTCGTTTCGAGTGGAGCTGCTCTTAAGCTGCCGGCTCTTAATACTTTACTTATGGGTTCCACTCACTACTCGCTCGAAAGCCCTGATCCGGAAACGTAATGTGTCAAGTTCGGCAGAAAGCTCGCAGCAACTTTCCGTTTACATATTAGGTGAATCCGTAAGCGGTACTTTTTGCGTGGATAATTTCACAGCCTACTAATATCGTTAGCGCTCCGGCTCGCTAGCAGTAGTCAACAGTAGTCAACGACGCATCGACTCTGTGAGTGACGAGCGATGGTGCGTCGCGTTCTGTCGTGTTTTCCAAGCAAACGTAGCATCATGTGGGTCTTATCCATGCTCTCTCATAGCCATTTCGTTATCCATCGTTTCGTTTTCCGTAACTTGTCTAATTACCGCCTTTCGCACCCTCTCCTGGTGTACCCAACCGGTCACTTGTAGATGAACGCAAGTCAGTTGTGAAAGTCACTACATGCCCACAAACAAAAACTGCATCTGTCGTCACTCATTCCTTGGCAATGAAAACGTTGCCTCTGTAACACGTGACGCTGCATTCGCTTCCTATTTTATATGCTCTTTGTACGAGCTCCTCTCACCATTTCTCCCTCACCCCTTTCTCTCTTCTTCCCTCCTCTCCTCTCTCTACCCTCCTCTCTCCCTTCCCTCCACTCTCTTCTCCCCTCGCCTCCACTCTCTTCTCCCCTCCCCTCCCCTCTCTTCTCCCCTCCCTCCTCTGTCTTCTCCCCTCCCCTCCACTCTCTTCTCCCCTACCCTCTGTCTTCCTCCCGCTCCTCTCTCCTCTTCACGCCTTCCTCCCCATCCCTCTCCCCTTTCCTCATTTTCCGCCTGCAGATTTCAACGCCACGCTCGTCACAATTCTGCCCAAGTACAAGGTGACGCTTCTGGTGGGGCAGACCAAGGCGTTCGGCAAGCTAAGCAACTGGGCGTCGATCAAAAAGAATGCGAAGACGGGATTCCAGATCGCCGCGTTCAACATGCTCGGCGACCTCCACACGAAGAAATCCATGCTGGGTTACGCTGTGGGCAAAACGGTGAGCTATCTATTTGCTGTTTCCCTTTCCGCTTCGCTATTGATTTGTTTCGTCACTACTGAAATCATTTTAGGGTCCATTCCTGGCTCGTGTCAAGCTTCCGGTCATCCGCGGATGACCGGAAGTTGGACCCACTTTGGGTCTTCCGAGACCAACTTCGGGTCTTCCGGCCAAAAATTGCTCCTGTTTCCGGACGACATTAAGTTTGACAGGAAGTTTAACCCAAAGCTTCGGGTCTTCCCGGGAAGGCCCGAAGCTTGACACGAGCCAGGAACGCGCCCTTAGACGCTGCTGGTGGGGCAGACCAAAAGTAACTCATGTGTATGCGATGTTGCTTTCGTATGGTGGTGGTGTTACAGTTCGGTACGGGTGACTACAATTACCTCCAAACGAAGCTCAAATCTGCTGGCAAAAAAATCATGCTCGGAACCTCCACCAGCAACGGGTCGATCGTTGATTGGACACTCTACATGGATGCGCAAGTGATCATCCACGGTGTAGACACCGTTATCATGCCGCCCAAGTTCAAGTAGTGTTTTAAGACTATTTTTACTGGTGTACTAGTTTTACATCTTCCATAGGGTTGAGGTTAATAAATTGCTGCTCTATACTATGTTGGTGCCGCATTTTGTGCCATGCTTGCCTATCGTGTATCAAAGGCTGTGGATATCTGTAGCATGGGTGGTGCTGGCTGTCGATATCTGTAGCATGAGTGGTGCTGGCTGTGGACATCTGTAGCATGAGTGGTGCTGGCTGTGATATCTGTAGCATGAGTGGTGCTGGCTGTGGATGTCTGTAGCAAGAGTGGTGCTAGCTGTGCATACCGCATCAGTAGCTCAAAGCAAAATGCATGCCTGACTGCAATCACGGTAACATCGGCCACGATACAGGTGGTACCATTCCCGGAGGACCTTTCATCACCATCTCCAGCTTCAGCTTTCCACAGAAGTTTGGTGCATCATGGTCACCTTAGACAAAAATAAACAGAAACGAGATCACTACCCCCAGGTGGGGCCTAGGGGGATCAGATCAGAATCACTAACATACCAGTAGCATGGGCTTTATCACACTGGGTAGGAACCAACAGACAGGATAACTAACATTATTTATACAGCAATACAAAGCATGCATTAACAGTTTGGTACCATAGTGGACAGTCATTGCAGATGGAGCTATTCAGTAAATGTAGGGATCATAACGTTGTTGACACCATGGATTGCCACGTGAGGGTCTTGATACACATTGTTGACCTTCACAAAGGCGCCACCATGCGTGCCCGGCTTTCCAAATTGAGCGAGCTTTGTCGGGAATCGCCGGACCTTGAAATCCCCATGGCCGGTAACAATCTGTATCACAGGGCGGATGGAAGTAGGGGGGGTTGGGGGAGGGAGGGGAGGGGGGGTTGACTCAGATCAGAGAGCACGCAGTTCAAGCGCCTGAGCTTGAAATCCCCATGGCTGGTCACAATCCGCATCACAGGGCGGATGGAAAGCATGGAGGTGGAGGGTTGAGGGGAAGGGGGGTGAGGGGAATTTAACCGAGAGATCACACAGACCAAGCGAGACGATACTATTGCTGTGAAAGGATTTTGAAGGGGGGGGTCGAGGTGGAGGTTGAAGCGTATGCTATTTACTGTATAAATATATACTTTATATGCTCACCAGCTTGTTGTAGGGGATTTTCACGAGCTCCTTATACATGTAACGGCCCGCCAACATGTGGTACGCGAACACCTGCCACATCTTGGCGGGGTCCTTGCGGATCAGGTTTCGCGTGTACGCACTGAGCTTGTTCCACCCGGTGTTCACCGGCAGGAGCAGCGTCGCGTGCGATGTAGGCAGCTTCGCTACAAGAGTGTCGTTAAATCCTGAACACGTAGTAAACACCACAGTAAAAAGGATCGGGGTCTGACGGTTTAAGAAAAAATGGAAGAACCATGTGGAAGTTGATTGGAACGAGGGGTACAAACGAGAGAGACAGTCTTTGCCACGTGTAGTGCACACTGCATTCTCGAAGCGCCTCAGCATTCGCCACGTGCAGCACTCACCGCATTCCCTCATGTACGTAATCGTGGTCGTCATTTTTTTCCTCCTAAGAGCAGCCTCGATTTGTTTTAGCGCGTTCGCCGGAGAGTACTGCGCGCGCGCCGCGACGATAGCACCGAGCAGCAACACCGCGAGGAGGAGCACCGGACCGTTGGGCCTTCGCGTCTCCATCACTGCTGGGAAAAAGTATTTGAGGCGCCTCAGATGTTGCGATAACGAGTCTGAAGAGATATTGTTGTAGTCCGACGTGTGCACTACCCTGTGTTATCGGCTGTACAGGGATATTGTTAACTTGCCTAGGAATGTTGGTTTCAAAGAACGAGTAACGGAGTCGGGGACTCGCTTCACGCTCAGGGCTGTTCTCTCAATTGACCACGAAGTGCTTGTCTGCAGGGCTTTTACTGGGTTGCTCCTTAGTCGATCAGTGAGGAGTGGGAGGACTAATATTTCTTACGGCCAGTGAAGGCATGGTGGTGCCCATGGTTGGTTGATCGGCGCAATGATGGGGAACAGAAGGATGAGTAGGAGCACTGAAGGGGGTGCACGTGCTTGATGAGTGGCGGATGAAGCAATAAACCGGTTGAAACCGGACACACAACATCAATACCATACTGTCGCCTTTCTTCACCGACGCTCGTCCACTGAGCGGGGATAGGGAAACGGCCAAGCATTCCGAGGGTGCATATGGTGGTGAAGTCGGAAATGCAGCACACTTTGCGCCGTGTCAGACCGCCCCTAACGAGCCGCGAGGTGCTGTAAGTGAACATTGCAAGCAATTTGTGCATCAGCTCCATGTCAGCTACTGTAATGCAAGTGCGGTTACGAATGAGTGTTTGTTTCACGGGTCGCACTCCCGATTGTGTCAGCAACGTCAGCTCGGTCTGGAAGGCTGGTTGGTGGAGGCGTGCACAGAGTTGACCAGCAGTCGCTTTGTCGTGGTTTCATTGGCAGGCTCAGGTATTTCAGACACTTACTGGAGAACTTGTAACGATGGAAGGAACAATCGAAACGCACGCCCCTGATGCAACCACCTGAACAGAAAGAATGTCGGTGGCGATGTTGAAGTTTTATAGTTCGTTACAGGCGCGACCGTCAACACCACAATATCTGCATTTCTGCTGGGCATGTCAACGCATATTACGCATGTCAACACAGTGTATACACGAAATATCTCTTATCCCAAAAAATAGTGTGGTGCATATCAGACACCCAGACACTAGTTTCATATTTAGTTTATGGTTGTTCCACTACTCAGGTCAACTGATGTTGCCAAACTGCAGCCTTCTATCATCACATTCCCTTCATGGTGCATGCCCTGGGTTTGGGCAGACAAGAATTCACCAAGGTACAAATACTGCTCCCTAAATGTACAAATTCCTTGGATGTACCGTAGCTGCTCTATAAGAGGACCCACCAACCTATCAATCACAACTTCTAGACTTACGAACATCACTTGAAATTAGGAACAAGGACGTTGTTGACCCCATGCACGATTACATGGCCATCTTGGAAAATTTCCCCCATATCGATAAATGTTCCCCGATGTTGCCCCGGCTTGGCATACTGGGGGTCCTTCGTGGGCAGGCGGCGTATGACCTGTTTCCCCATCCCTGTTGGTAACTGCATAATTAGAGCAACATGGGAGGAGGGAGTATAAATGGAACAGGTGCAAGCATGAAAGAATGTACCATACCATTCAGAACTGAGAAACATGACTGCATGAGAGAGCTGATCCTGTGGTGAATGGGTGTAGAGTTCCAGGAGTATTTGGAGCGCATACAGGAGGTGACATGACAATACAGCCTTCATCAAGTTGCTATCGTGTTCTCCCATAGAATCGAAACAAAACCAAATCAATGCATCACGATGCCATCCGGATAACCATGCGAGGTGCACATAGGTACAGTACTCCGAAAACATATAACAAGGCATGAGTAAAACACGGACCTCCGTTCCAGGCGGATACCACGCGAGCTGCACTTTGGTGTACCGCTCCTTGATGAAATGATAAGAGAAGATTTGCCACAGCCGCGTGTTGTTGCCTCGAATCTGCCCGCGCGCCCAGGCGCTCATCTTGTTCCATCCGCTGTTGATTGGCACCAGAAACGTATACTTGCCCGTGGGCAGCCTCTCCGCAAGAGTGTTGTTGAAACCTGCGGTATAAAGGAAATGAATAAAATCAACGGATGGTGTTGGAACAAGTGTAACAGAAAGTGCAGCATCAAGGAACATAACAGCGAAGCCATGGAGGGAGTTGCCGGAAGCAGACTCAACGACCACGGAACAACGACACGGTTTTCGGTGGTTGATGAACGGATGAACAGTAGAGCAGCAACGCTGTGAAAAAAATGTCTGTCAGCGAAGGACCTTGCGAGGTTACAGATTCGCCCTTTCGCAAATGGGACTTGGCACGTGTCTCGTCGTATCGGCACTCGACGTGCCTGTCAGCCAAATGCTTACACCGGTAGCCGCCGAAAATATCGCAGCCACTACCGTGAAGACAAGCACGCTACACCCAATATCAGCATCGCGTCAATCGGTCTCGCGTGCCTTTGCCAGTTGCAGGCATCCGGCGAGCACGAAGCGGCACGGGGTTTGCACGAGGCGGCTCGTGGGCACTCGAGGGACGCGTGAAGACTCTCTACGGGGTCGTCTGTTGAGGCGCCTCAAAAGCCGTCTCTCTACACTTTCATTTTGAGGTACATTAAAAAGACTACTAAGGGCACACGAGGGGGCGCTTGAAGACTTACTACGGGGTGGTCTCAGTACGCGGAGCATATTTTGAACGACTTTTGAGTCGACTCAAAAAGTCGGCGCGCTTCAAGACTGGCTAGGGGGTCGTCTCAGGACGTGGACCGTTTTTCAAGCGGTCCGAAGGATGGTCTACACGCTTACCGCTTTTTCTGAAGTACGTGATGGCCGTCGTCAGCCGCTTCTTCCTCAGCGCGTTCTCTATAGCGCGTACGGCGAACTTCCCCGAGTACTGCGCGTAAGCGCTAGAGGCGGACGCGAGAACGAGCACAGCGACGACGAGAAACGCGAGCATCGGCGAACGGGACGACGACAACGTCGCCATCGCGACGCTTGCGGCAAATCCAGAAGCGCGCTAGGTAGGAGGATGAAAATGGTTACTATCAGAGACAAAGAGTCGCTCGAACGAAACAGATGGACCAGATAGCGACTCGGAAGTTCGCTTGAATTCAAACTCTACAATCCTCGAAGGAGATGCGGTGCGTTGACCAAATAGCAGGTTCTATGCTATGTTACCACTCTCGCAAACAGCCAGCTTTCTCGATGCAAAGCAGAAGGACGAGATTGTAGTGGACGGTTTTCTTTCCATCCGACGGCTTCAGTCTTTTCAGGTTAGCAATCGTACATGGTGCATGTCTTGAGTGAGCGGGAGCACGCTGCACTGGACATGCGACCAGGGCGACATCGGGGTGTCGTGCGCATGTCGGGGGGTTTCGGTGTGTGGTGTTGGCGCGAATCGAAAGGTAGTTTGGGATTCGACGGATTTGGGCTCGATCAGGGACCTTCTGTCGCAATGGTTCGTGGCACCGACTTCATTGAGCGAACCAGCCCCGTGCGACCAGTGTCATTGGTGGGGTGGGATGGGAACCCTCCATTCACGACTCGTGAACGACTGCGAAGAGCGAATAGGAATGACGAGGATGCGCATTGCGCAGCTAGTGGTTGGTTGGACTCTGTCCTCTCGGACGGATAGTTGCAGGAGCAGTTACCGTAATGCAGGGGTTCAGGAGTTTCCGGTTTTGTTTCTTTCGACTTTGCGAGAAAACGACTCGTTCGCTCCAGTTCGTCTACCTCTACACGAGAGACACGCAAGCCAGACTGGTCACTCAGGTGGTCGCCCAGGTAATGGTCTCAGGGGAGTTGCGTCGGTGTTCTGGAGGCGCAGGGGTTGACCGAGTCAAGAACCGCCACCTTCCACATCACATGATTCGTGGAGGTGTCCTCGTCAAAGAAAGCAAGATCATCATTAGAACACCACAACTTCAGAACGTCATACACCACAGGTACAATACAGTACAATACAGATGGTTCCCATATTCAAACTTGAGAGATGAGTATTCCTGAAATCCAAACCATACAGGTTGTAACAAAGACTAGTCTTGTATTTTTCTCCTCGCTCGAATCCTCAAGTATATTCGTAGCAAAGTGATACAATTATTAGTCGATGGTCATAGGAGACTTTAGATACTCTGCATATATATAATAACCCTACTTTTCCACAACATGCAATAGTCTAACGCCTCCAACTGCCCCCAAGTACCACCCCAGCAGCCCTGACATCCCCTTTCTTTGAAAATGACGTCACCGTTTCTAGCCTCTCAGGTGCCCTTGCGTTCAAACCTGCACCTGCACCCCCCTCGTCGGGGCTCATGCCTTCATCCCCACTTGAAAACGGATTCCTGCTCCTGTGCCCCTTCTCCTGATAGACATCCTGTTCCACCAACCCTCGCCCTCCATCCACCCCACACTTTTCTTCCTGTCGCTCTGAATCCTGCACTACTCCTGTTGTCCTCCTCTTCCCAAACGGACTCCCCTTCCTCCACGCCCTCTCCTTCTTCCCCCCACCCTCCACCTCTCCCCCACCCTCCTCCCTCCTGCCCAACCCCACAGCCCTCTCCTCCTTCCTCGCTGCACCATCTTTCCAAATAAACTCCTCCTCAGCATCCTGGTTGGCATTCCCAGGGAAACCCTCTGCCCTCTCCCTAACAGCACCACCTGTGCCTTCTCTACCTGCCTCGGGCACAAGCTCACCCGCAGCCTTCGTACCACCACCACCATGCCCACCACCAGTGACCTGCGGCCTCTCAGAAGCTTCCCTAGGCGACTTGCTCTTGCAGAGGATTGACTGAACCCTAACCCCGTCCGTTTCCCCACCCCCGGCCCCACCTTGCGCGTCTCTCTCCCCCACCCTCCCTGCTGCCTCCGCCTCAGCCCCGCCTGCCCGCCGCCCGCCCCTCTTCTCCTTCTTCAGGCTCGGCGATCTCCGAGGCAGGCTCGGGCTCCTGGCCTCCAGGCTCGGGGTCCTAGCCTCAAGCCCCAGCAAATCTCCTCCAACCACGTCATCACCTGGAGAGAGGGACCCAAAGACTGGCTGCCGCATCATCTGCTTCACCACCTCCGTTGACTGCATTGACTGGTTTGACCGGTTTGACTTGCTTGACCGGTTTGACCTGGGAGAGTGCTCGTCCTCCACTGGGGAGCCTCGGGCCTTCCTGCCCTTCCTCCGCTCGCCCTGCTGCGTGCTGCCAGGGCTGCACCCTCCCCCCTTTCCCTCCCCCCTCCTCCTCGCCGTCCGATTTCCTCCCTTGGCCTGCTCATTGTGACCATCAGGCGATTGCTCCTCCCCACCCCTTTCCTCCTTCTCCACTCCCCTGCTACCTCGCGTTTTGTGGTTGGTGTCTCTGCTGCTCCTGCTGTTGTTGAGTCGCCTCCTAGGCTTCAATCCCCACTCGCTTTCCGTTGCTACTACCCTGCTCTCTCTCTTCCACTCTTTTTCCCCCTCGTTCTCCTTCCCTCTCTCCTCTTCTCTCTCAACCTTCCCAACCTGCTTCTCACTCTTGGACCCATCATCACACCTGCTCCCCCTCCTGTTCCGGCTGCCACTCCTGCTTCTGCTGCTGCCACCCCCCTTGCTTCTGCGCCTCATCCCACTGCCTCTGGACGCTGCTGACGTCACGCTGCTCCCAGCTGACGTCATGGACGCCGTTCGTCTCGGTACAGGTGATCTCCCTCTATTCTGACGTCCCGAATCTCCCTCCTTTTCTTCCTCCTCCTCCTCCTCATCGTCGCTCCCTGGCCCTTGAAACACCTCCCACTCCCCACTCGTCCACGTCCCCTTCCTCCCCCTCTCCCTGCTCTTGCTGCTCCTCCTCCCTCCTCCCCCTCTGCTGCTGCTCCGCTCCGCTTTGCTGCTGCTCCTCCTCTCAAGCTTCCCGCCTACATCGCACGCTGATGCCTCCACTGCCTCCCTCCTTTCCTCAGTCCTTCCTGCTTCCAACCCTCTCCCCTCCACGACCACCAATTTCTCCTCAGTCTCCCAGCTTGTAGCACTGCCCCAATTGCCGTTCCCACCACCATTTCCATTCCCTTTATCATTCCCATTCCCACCACCATTGGTAGTCCCTGCGCCATTACCATTCCCCACACCATTATCCTTCCTCCCATCACCCCGACCATCACTCCCGCTCCCCCTCTTCATCCTCCCCTCCTCTCCCTGCCCCCGCGGCCTTGCAACAGGGGTGGCCGACCGAGCGGCACGCGAGGGCGAGGGAGAGGGTGAACGAGCAGACGCGATAGCAGCAGAGAGATGAGAAGCAGCAGAGCGCGGGGCAGCAGGAGAGTGCGGAGAGAAAGGGGAGTGCGGAGCAGCAGGAGAGTGCGGAGCGAAAGGAGAGTGCGGAGCAGCAGAAGGAGAGAGAGGAGCAGCAGGCGAAGGTAAGCGGCCAGTGGGAGAGGGGGACCTGCTCCGCTTGCCATCAGGCACCAGGAGCCGCTTCAACGGAGAAGCGAGCATGCTTATAGGGGAGACGGTACGCCTCAGTGGGCGGTTGGAGGTGCGCGCAGGGGAGACGGGGGAGGCGTTTCTAGTTGAGGTGTCTGCAGGGGAGGTGCGGGTGGGGGAGGTGCGGGTGGGGGAGGTACGGGTAGGGGAGGTGCGTGTAGGGGAGGTGTTTCTAGTTGAGGTGCGTGTTGGGGAGGTGCGTGTGGGGGAGGTGCGTTTAGGGGAGGTGCGTTTAGGGGAGGTAGACCTGCTCTTTGGCACCGTTGACTTGGTCAATGCAGACTTGACCAGCGTGGACTTGCCTGCAGGCGAGCGCAGCGCGGATTTGGGCGAGTGGAGCGTGGCTTTGGGCGGGTACAACTGGCTGAACGGGGAGGTAAATCTGGGGGAGGTAGATCTGAGCAGGGAGGCAGACCCGAGAGGGGAGGTAGGCTCATGAAGAGGGGAGGTAGAGCCAAGCGGGGAGGTAGGCTCATCTAGAGGGGAGGGGACTTTGAGTGGGGAGGTGGAGCGGCGCCTGCTGCCTGGGAGGGCTTGCTCTATGGCTCTTGCTAGTACACTGTCTCCCCCGGGTTCCCCCCACCTCTTCCTCTGCCTACGCCCACTGCTGCGCTCGCCTCCCTCCCTCTCCTCCTCGCCCCGCCACCCCTCTTGCTCCTGCTGCTGCTGTTGCTGCTTCTGCTGCTCTTGCCTCTGCTGCTCCCGCTTCTCCTGCTGCGTCTTCTCCCACTGCTGCTGCTGCTGCTGCTGCTGCTGCTGCTGCTGCTGCTGCCTAACCTGCGCCTCCTTCCTCGCCCTCTGCTCTTTCTCCCTGCCCTCCGCACCTTCGTCCTCCATAACCACTTCCGTCCCCTCCTCCGAATCCGCACACGAGCTTGACACCAGCGATGCCGCATAAACACCACCCCCTGCTTCCCCTTCGCTTACCAGTTCCTTCTCTGTATCCACTACCACCTCCCTCTCTCCCTCCTCCTCCTCCTCCTCTTCCTCCTCATCGTCCTCGTCGTCTTCTTCCTCCTCCTCATCCTCACTCCAGTCAGACGTGAATCTGTCGTCCCCATGCCCTTCCACTATCTTCTCTCCCTCAAACCGACCTCCATCCCTCTCATTTCTTACGCAACCACGCGCAGAGGCACCAGCAGCAGCAGCAAGCGATGTGGCACCAGCACCAGCAACAGGGGCAGTCTTACCGGCGAACGCGGCAGTAGCGGCAGGGAAAGCAGCAGCAGAAGCAGCAGGCGCAGCGCCAGCAATGACACCAGCAGCAGTAGCAGGAGCGGTAGCAGCAGGGGAGGCGGCGGTAGCAGTGTGGGGCACAAGGGCAGGCGAGGAGGGTGGAAGAGACTGGGAGGTGAAGGGGGAGGAGAGGGAAGTGAGGGAGCCCACAGAGAGAGAGATCTTACTGCCGTCTGATGACCCAGTCACAGCCGCTCCGGCTGTAGCAGCAGCACCAGCTGCGGTGGCTGTAGCGGCTGTAACATTGTGCTCACGCACCCCCTGCCTGCCTGCTGCTGCGTAGTCTTGAAATGTCTCACACGTTGTCTCACGCGCCCCCTGCCTATTCACTGCTGCGTCTGCAGCGTACGCGTTGAGTTCACCTGAGAAACCTGGTATTTCACCTGAGAGGGCTGATGCCGCTGCAGTGGCCCCACCTGAGGAAAGGAAGCTAGTACAGCTTCTGTCGTCCTCTGTAGCACTCTTTTCTCCCCCACCCACCTTCACACCCTCACCCCCCTCCGCCTCTTCCTCTTCCGCTTCCTCCTCCTCATCACTACTACTACCATTTTCACTATAGTCGCTTTCACTCTCCTCCTCGCTCTCCTCCCCCTCGCTTTCCTCCTCACTCTCCCCCTCCTCGCTCTCCTCCTCACTCTCCCCCTCCTCGCTCTCCTCCTCACTCTCTTCCCCCTCACTCTCCCCCTCCCACTCCCCTCGCCTTTCACCCCCCACAGCAGGCAGGGAGGAACGGCTACCAGCGCCACCTCCCGCTGCAAACCCAGGCGTGTCAACAGAGCTTCGGCACGACGCCCCTCGCATCAGCGTGAGCGAGCTATCCGACTCCCCCACTCCCCTCCTCCTCGCCCCCACGCTCTCCCCTTCTGCTCCTGCTCCCCCTGCCCCTCCCCTCACGCCCTGGGACACACCAAGAGAGAAACTATCGGAGGGCGGACAGGGGGCAGAGGGAGGGGTGGGGTCAGAAGGACCAGAGGTGGGGGTGGGGCCGGAGGGAGAGTTGGAGGAGCCAAAGAGGAGATCCGAGATCCGGGCGGCAGTGGGGGTCATCATTGTCGCTGCTGCCACTGCTGCCGCCCACAGCGCTGGCTTCGCCTCCGGCCCTGCTGGCAGCCCAGCTGGCGAAGAGAGATTGGCCAGTCCGGGAGTTGGGGTACTAGCGTGGGGAGTGGTGGGAGCAGCAGAGGTTGGCGCAGCAGGGAGGGGTGTGGAAGGGGGCATCGCAGGGAGAGGTGCGGCAGGGGGAGTTGTGGTAGGGAGTATGGCGTTAGCAGCAGTGCGGGGAGAAGCGCCCTTCTCTGAGCTCTTTCTTTTCGTCCTCGCTTCAGCTTCATCTCCCTGGTGACGCTCCTCCCCCGCTGTAACTCGCTGCTGCTCAAGATGCTGCTGCTGCTGCTGCTGCTGCTGCTGCTGCTGCTGCTCGTGTTTTGGTCGGTTCGCTGCCTGATAACACTCTGTTTCGGAAGAAGCTGCTCTTGCCTCTAACGGGTCCACCTGTAACGCGGATGCTGCATTGGGAGCGCCATGCTCTTCCCAGAGCAAGCCATCAGCAGCAGGCGCGGAGAGGAAGGGGTTTGTGGGATGCAGCTGCAGCTCGTTCTCACATGTCGCCACATGAGAATACCCTTGCAGTGCCCCACCCTGCTCCGCGCTCACTCCTGCCTCCTCCCACACGCCCACCGCCCATGCGGGTTCGTCTATCGAGGGTGACTGTATCAGATTCCCTGCCGTCACATCCAGCCACGCTTCCACTGCCGACCCGTGGTCCACTGCTGCTGTCTTTACTCCTGATGCCGCCGCTGTTGCTGCTGCTGCTGCTTCCGCTCCAGCTGCTGCTGCTGCTGCCGCTGCACCCATGTCACCACGAGACGTAGCAGCAGCGGCAGCACGAGGAGTGGCAGAAGCAGCAGCACCGGCAACACCAGCAGCATCACCAACATCAGGCACAGCAGCACAAGGGGCATTGGCAGCAATTACCCCCACAGCACTCGGACTTGACTGTTCCTGTGACCCTTCCATCCCAGCCAGCATCCACACTCCCTCTCCGTTCACCACTCGCCACACTAGGGCAGGCCCAGACCTCCTCCCACCGCTCTTCACCGCACTGCTTCCCGAACCTGATCGTGCCAGTCCCACACCTCCCGCCCCAGTCGTCTCAGCCTCCACGCTCCTGCCTACACCCTGCTCTCCCTCCTCCCTCTGTCCCACCTGCTTACCCCGCTCCACCTGCTCTCCTACTCCTTCTCCTCCAGTAAAAACCCTTGCCTCCTTTCCAGCAGAAGGAGCAGCAGCAGCAGCAGCACCACCACCACCACCGCCACCCACATAACCCTGACAGCCAATCCCAGCCTGCAGATTCGCCACGTCATCAACCGACTCCCACGGCAGCGGCATCCCCTTTATAGGCGGCGGCCTCATCTTCTCCAGACTCGCTCGCCCGCTGTACACCGGCGGCCGCACGACGGCTGCTGGCGTGGCAGGCCTAGCTGGCAGGACAGGGCATGGTGACGTGGCAGCGGGGCGAGGAGAGGCTAGAGCTGCTGGCGCATCAGCTTCCCCAGCAGCATTGCCACGTGCCCCAGCACCCTCCCTGTGACTTTTCTCTTTCGAAGGGGAATCAGATGCCCACAGGGGGGGTAGGACGGACAACCCATCACCACCTCTCGCATTACCCGTCGCGTCCCGCATGCCTGCACCCCCCCTATCCTGCAGCACACGCCCTCTCTCCTGCACCCCACCCGTTGCTCGCGGGCTGGCTCGTTCCTGGAAACCGTTCAAACCGCTCAACCCATTCGAACCGTACTCCCTTCCACTGTCTCCCCTCGGCGGCATTGGCATCGGAGGAGGGGATGCAAGTGGAGCGCTGGCCATTCCGTTCCCAGGCTGTCTATTCTCTCTGTTCTCCCAATTCTCCTTCTGTCCCTGCGCGTGCTGCTCCCCTCCTCGTCCTGCCTTCCCTGCTTCCACTCCTGCTCCTGCTAGATCTACCGCCGGCCCCTCACCCACCAATCCTGCTCCTCCTGCCCCTGCGGTTCCAACTCCCCTGAGCTCGGCGCTCTCCGCCATCCCCGCTACACGCATCCCCATCATCATCTCTAAGCTCGACATCGCGTTCTCGGGGTTGCCGAACGTGCTCATGATGGTTCCAGGCACGGCTGCCGGGAGGTTCCCCACGTCCTGGAACGGTAAGCGTGAGGCGCTGGTCGCTGGTGTGAGAACGCGCCCCTGCTGCTGCTGGCTCTTAGCTAAGTGCATCTCGTAACCGCACGCGCGAAGATAGAGCACCTGGAGACAAAGGAGAGGGGCGAAGTGGAGGGGGGAGGGAGAACATGAGGTATAGCGGAGGGGGGATGAGCAAGAGTGGGTGATAGCAACTGGTGGGCCGGCGACACCTAACAAAGAAGGGGGTAGGTTAGCATAGTAAGGACCTTCTTATACTTCAGCGAAGCCCATATATGGTAACCCCACTTTACCTCATCTCGCAGCTTCTTCGCCTCCTCCTCGTGCCTCGCCACCCGCCGCCTCAACTCCGCAACTTCCAGTCTCAACTCGTCCAGCTCCTCGCTGCTCTCCGCGATTCCCGCGCCAAACCCCATCCCGCCACGTGGCACTCGGAAGCACGTGCTCTCGCAGGAGCCCACGGAAGATCCGGCGGCTCTCGCGGGCTCGCTGCTGCATGACGTGTCCTCCTCGTCCTCAACCTCTTCCTTGAATCGCGCGACTTGCACCTTCTCCCCTTCTCTCCCACCAGATCTACCCGTTCCGCCATTGGTATGATGACTAAGCGGCTTCACGGGACGCGACGCGACAGGAACAGCAGGCCCAACTACGGCTGCAGCGGCGATGGCGGTCGCGGCGGCCACGTCAGCATCCGGCGTGACGGCTTTAGGGTGGTGAAGATGCGGGGGATGGTTCAGCTGGTGACTATGTCGTATATACTTAGCTTCGGTAGCACCGAGAGGAGGGAGAATCCCTTCCGCTGCGGATTTAGCTGTTGCGGCTGCGGCTGCGGCTTCTGTGTTAGGGTTCGGCTGCGACAAAGACTTATCCGGCCACGTGGGTCCGTTGGCTGAGGAAAACGGCTGACGTCGATTCGGGGATTCGTTGGTTGGGAAGACACGGGTCCCACCGGTCGAGAGAAGAACATTTCTCTTGTCCTGGGAGAAAGGGGAATTATCCTGCATGGACGAGACGTGAGAGAGAAAGAAGACAGCAAACAGCTGATTTTCCAGTCGGCTTTAGGAGGAAAATCGTCGTGCAGCATGGACCGGACGTGTGTGAGTGAGGATTGAGAAACGAGACCCTCGCTCAGGTCTCTAAAGTCTGTCGACTTGTATTGTCATAAGTTTGATTCAGTACCCAAGAAGATTTTGGATCTAAGACAATAAATGAAAAAACGCATCATATTGATCCAGGAGTAAGATTCTTCATTATAATGCGAGTTGTGAGATTGCTCATCTGCGAGAATTGACTGCAGTAGGAAAAAGAGGATTCTCAATCAAAAGTGGAGCCTCACCCTCTTGGCGGTCGTGAGATGGTCGCCGTCATAGTCGCTGTCTTCAAGTGTCGCCGCGGCCATTCGCAGGCCTTCGTGCGACTTGAGCGATTTCTGGCGACCGTCTGCGAAAGAGCTGGAGGCCTCTACGGGGATGGTGCCACCGAAGCAAGCGAGAATCTTGCCTCCGTGTTTCCCGCCTTTCGCCTTCTTGCTGTGCCACATGGTTCTGTAATAATCGATTAACTAAAGTACGTTCGATATAAAAAAAATACAGATGTTTGATCGGATTTAATATCTGACTATCCGATAGACCTACGCGAACAACAGAGTAGCTTTGACGCCTAGCTCCCCTTAGGACTGCTTGACTAATGCGTGCTTGACAATAGTACCGCCTGCTCCGTCGGGTTACTACCAGAAAACGTCAGCATGTCAAAAGCCATACGAGCAAACAAAGACGACTAAAATGTGTGTTCCGTCCTGCGGGACTCTATGGCCAAGTCTAAGAGGAGGTCCTTAGTAAACTCGTGGGAATCCCTGTGCACTGAATGAGCGAACAGTTCGCGCTGGTGGCTCGGTTTGGCGCATACCACAAATGATGGGAAGACAATCCCAAGGCACATGGCGAATCCTACAGGCGGTGCGGTGCGAGGGGAACGAAGACACTCCCAAGCAGAGTGAACTGGGGGAGCTCTCTAAGAAACCGAGCCGGAGCTCCGACAGCCTCCGTCGAGCCAAATCGTACGGACAGCACAAGGTGCGACGGCGTCGGCGCCCCTACAAAGCTGACGTCCAGTCCCGTGGCTTCAGTCTCCTCTCCAGAAACTGCAGTTTTAATTGCTCCGTTAGCGAAACTGACGGACGCGGCGACGGGTCGGGAACTGCCTGGACGATATGGTATGGGTTCCGTTCCGTCCAAACCTTGGGCAGCTCAGCTGCAAATGGAGGGAGCTTTGGTCAAAAGATTCTTCAATTCGTGGTTTGGATGGAGGGAAAATTGCCGTGGCGCGGCACATGAGGGCTTCAGGGGCGCGCGACGGAGTTGGTTCAAAAGTACGCGCCTTTTTTCGCGCACCCCTGGGAGCTGCCACTCGGGCCAGGCCACCGAGATTGTCAGAGCACTGTAAATTTGAATTGCAACTGTAGCAAGAAAGCATACGAGCTTTGACTGATAAGGTATCTGCGAAAGACCTATTTATGCTATCGGCTCCAAAATAGCACATAAGTGCTAATCACAATAGGACGTCATATAATAAAGGACCACAAATTTGGTCCACCACTTCCTGTTCAAAAATTCTGGTCGGGTGGGATGGGATGGTGTGCTATGTAAAGCGGTTTGCATTCCTCACCACTCTGAAACGCAATTCACCTTTCTGTAAACATCGATACAGGAACTGGAAACTCGGAAAGGACACGCCCAAGTTCTGATTCTCCATCCATTCCCTCGCTCTCCCGTTTCCTTTCAGCCGCCTTCTTGCAGCCGTCACAATGTCACGTCATAGTTTCGGCACTCCTCGAGGTCACGGTCGAATCAAGGCACTCGCCTCTAACTAGCCGTCCTACCCCTTTGAAACCTGTGGACCCTGTGTTGAAACCAATCTCCCGAAACGTCTCTATCCTGTCCAAATGTCAACGTCTCTCCTTTACGACTGTTTGGGAGCGTCGTTTGACGACGTCAGCCGTACGTCGTCCGTTTCGCGACGTCAATTTCACGACGTTAATACCTGTCGTGTCAAGATGCCGCCAGGCCTTCACCCGCACAGCCGGCATCATGAATCATCACGAGTCGCGCTGACGTGCCGCCTCCGCAGACCTCATCTGATCTTTCCATTGCTCAGCGTCAGCCGCGGATCCCGCTAGACAAAGTATATAACAGTCGCGAATTGTCCTGCAACTCTCGTCTATCATTAATTCGTTCCGTTTAAAGAAATTCTGCTATCTTACCGTCCACAACTACCTCCTTATTACTAATCGTTTCCAAACGCAAGTCAATGGCTTCCCGCGCGCTCGCGAGCAACGAGGAGCTGTGGCAGCGGGCGAGCAAGACGGGCACGGGACTGAGTGTTTCCACGCTGCGCTTTTCGCGAACCATTTCGCTGGACCAGGTATGCTGGACGCTGTCGCCTTCCCTCTGTGTTTTTCACCCACCGGCACGTTTTGTTTCACCCCGAATTCGAGTTACGAAGCGCCACGAAAGCTTTGCAAAACATGCTGCAAAACCATGCGTTATGGTTACGGGTGTTAGTACGATTCACTCCCCCTACCAGGTTACAACGGCAGCAGTACTGCTGGCCAGAATCTTCCAAGGCGCACAAGCCCAAGCCGCACTGGGATATCCGCGTGCCTGCTGTCTCTCCCCTTGCTGTGTCTTACCTTTCTCACATCCCCTCCCCTACCAGGTTGCGGCGGCAGCTGCACTGGCCGCATCCCACCACCCGATCCTGGCCGCTAGGATCGTGAGGGCGCAAAAGCCCAAACCGCACTGGGAGCTCCGCTTGTCTGGGGACGCTCCCCCTGTCTCACATCCCCTCCCCTCCCCCTCCCCCTCCCCACTTCCCCCACCTCCAGGTGGCAGCAGCAGCAGCACTGGCGGCGTCCCAGCACCCCATTCTGGCGGCCAGGATCACCAGGGTGCAAAAGCCCAAGCCCCACTGGGAGCTCCGCGTGACTGGGGACGCTCCCCCTGCTGTCCCCGTGGCTGCGCACCCGTGGCACGACGTGCTGGGCGTTGACGGGGCGAGCACACTGGGTGGTAGTGAGTCGGAGGAGGCGCTGAGGCTGGTGACTCAAGTGGAGATGAACATGCCTATGTCCGCGGCGGTTGGGGAGAAGGATGATGAGCCGACCGACGTGTTCCAGGTGAGTCACTGTTGACTGTCTCAGCGGTAGCGACTGGGCGCTAGTGAGACGGAGGAGGCGCTGCGGCTGAGGCTGGTGACTCAGGCGGAGATGAACACCCCCATGGCGGAGGTGAACACGCCCATGGCGGAGGTGAACACGCCCATGGCGGAGGTGAACACGCCCATGGCGGAGGTGAACACGCCCATGGCGGAGGTGAACACGCCCATGGCGGAGGTGAACACGCCCATGGCGGCCGTGGGGGAGAAGGATGAGGAGCCGACTGACGTGTTCCAGGTGAGTGGCTTTCGAGGCAGCCTATGGCTTTGGTGTTCCCCCTAGGGTAGGGTAGTGACTGGAAGGAGGCGGTGGTGAATCTCCCCCTTGTGGGGTCTCAAGGGTCCCTTTGAGCGATTCTTGAGAGCTCTCAAGGCCTAGTACAAGGCTCTCAAGGTAGTGATTCACTGCACAGGAAGGAAGCTCATTGCCTCTCGGAGTTTCCTCTTTTCCTCTTTTCCTCTTTTCCTCTTTTCCTCTTTTCCTCTTTTCTTCTTTTCCTCTTTTCTTACTCGTCAGCGTCCTGTCCTCCCCTCCCCTTCCCCTCCCTTCTCTCCCCCCCTCGCCTGCCACAGGTCCACGTGTACCCCTCAGAGCTCGCCACGTGTGTCGTGCTGAGAGGCCACTGTGCAGCCTTTGATCGCTCCTCCGCTCTCTCTGTCGCCCGTGCCTTCCTCTCCGCCCTCGCGACTGTTCTTTCCGGCTCTGCCCCTTCTTCCCCAACCTGGTACGCCCCTTCCCTTCTGTTACTTGAGAATACACGCCTCACTCGCCAACGTTGCTTGCATACCTCTGCTCTTTCTGTCGCCCGTGCCTTCCTCTCTGCCTCCTCTATCTTGCCCTTTTATCCCTCTTCATCTCTCCCATCTGCTCCCCCTGCCCGCTCTGCTCCCCCTGCCCGCTCTGCTCCCCCTGCCCCCTCTGCTCGCCCCATCCCCTTGCCTCTCCTGGTTCCCCTCTTCTCTCTTTCCCCCAGGCCCACCACAGGCATCTCGCTGCCCCCGTCTCTCGCGTCGCTCATGCCCAAGGGCGCGCAGGCGAAGGGATTTTTCACCAAGATGGTGGACGCGGTGGGGTATGCCGCCTCCTCCCACTCCCACATGTTGCTACCTTCCCTCCCCCACCCCCAGGCCTAGCACGGGAGTGTCTCTCCCGCCCTCTCTCGCGTCGCTCATGCCCAAGGGCGCGCAGGCGAAGGGCTTTTTCACCAAGATGGTGGACGCGGTGGGGTATGCCGCCTCCTCCCACTCCCACATGTTGCTACCTTCCCTCCCCCACCCCCAGGCCTAGCACGGGAGTGTCTCTCCCGCCCTCTCTCGCGTCGCTCATGCCCAAGGGCGCGCAGGCGAAGGGCTTTTTCACCAAGATGGTGGACGCCGTGGGGTATGCCGCCTCCTCGCACTCCGCTATGCTTCCCTTCCAGCCAGGGTGTGCTGACTCGCGCAAGCACCACTTCCGCTCCGAGATCATCCCCATCCAGTTTTCCAAGCAAGGTGCGCGCGAGGGTGGGTGAGTGGTTAAGTGGGTGCGTGGGTGGGTAGATGGGTAGGCTAGCTAACACGCGGGGTATGCCGCCTTCTAACTTGCCGCTGTGCTGCCACTAAGTTGAAGGGAGGACGTGCAGAGGTTCGAAGAGGCCGTGCTAGTGATGGGGCAGATCTGGCCAAGGGAAACGAATCCGATCCTCGCTAAGAAGGCAGATCTGCAAGGCCATGTGGGGCTCTATGCACTTCAAGCATGAGCCCCTCCTGGCCCTACAATTCTTTCTTTTAGCAAAGGAGGACTTCTCTTTCTTTGTCAGTCTCTGCTCCAACACTAGCACAGCCTCCTCAAATCTCTGCACCTCCTCCATGGGGTTATGCCATAGGGTTTAGTACTCCGTGGGTTCGGTTTTGCCATAGGGGGCCTTGCTGCCTCCTCCCACTCCTCCCACTCCTCCCACTCCTCCCACTCCTCCCACTCCTCCCACTCCTCCCACTCCTCCCACTCCTCCCACTCCTCCCACTCCTCCCACTCCGCCATGTCCATCCAGAAACTGACGCGCTCAAGGCTGCCTGTGAGGTGAGGGGCAGCTCGCTGTACGGTGCCAGTGTGCGGCTGCGCTCAAGGCGGCTGTGAGACGGACTCTCATTACACAACCTCCCTTGTCCCATCCCCCTCTATCCATGTCCGCACAGAGACTGATGCGCTCAAGAGTGCATGCGAGGCGAGGGGCAGCTCGCTGTACGGCGTGCAGTGTGCCGCGGTGCTCAAGGCAGCTGCAGAGGAGCTGAAGCTCAAGAAGGACGAGTCGTTTGGCGTCACCAGGTGGGTGGGTGGCTTGGGCTCACACAACACAACCTCGCAGTACCGCACAGCACCTCACAGTAGGGACACAGCACGTCACAGCACCAGCTATTGTCACAGCTTGCTGTACGGCGTGCAGAGTGCTGCTGCACTCAAGGCAGCTGCAGAGGAGCTGAAGCTGAAGGAGGACGAGTCGTTCGGCATCACCAGGTGGGTGGGCGGCCCGGGCCCACACAGCACTACCTCACAGCACTTGACAGCACCTCACAGTGCCGCACAGCACATCACGGCGACATCTGTATGGAGTGCAGTGTGCTGCAGCACTCAAGGCGGCTGCAGAGGAGCTGAAGCTCTTGAAGGACGAGTCCTTCAGTGTCACCGGGTGGGTGGGTGACAGCACCACCTCACAGCACTTGACAGCACCTCACAGTACCGCAAAGCACATCACTGCACCGTCTGTACGGCGTGCAGTGTGCGGCTGCGCTCAAGGCAGGGTGTTTGACTCGGGTTTGCCTCTCAACCACTCCTCTCCTTTCCCCTCTACCTCCTTCCTTCCGCTCTCTGCCTCCTCTACCATCCCAACAGCCTCATTGACTGTCGTCAGTACTGCGACCCCGCGCTCCCCTCTTCGGCCATCGGGGTGTTTGACTCGGGGCTGCCTCTAAAGCACTCCTGCTCGCACGCCTCCTCCCTGTGGGGCATTGCCGGGTAGCTCACGCAGCAGGTGGCCACTGCGGTCAGCAAGGGGAAACATTTCTCGGAGCTGCCCGTGCTGGAGATGCTGTTTGGCACGGTGAGTGACTCTTGAGAAGAAAGAGAAGAAATAATGCGATGGTGATGCGATGGTGATGCGATGGTGATCACTGCATATGTGCATCTTCCTCCTCACTGCATATGTGCATCTTCCTCCTCACTGCATATGTGCATCTTCCTCCTCACTGCATATGTGCATCTTCCTCCTCACTGCCCTCCCGTTCCTTTCCGCTTTTCCCTACCACTGCCTACCTCCACACTGCCTAACCCTCCCTACCACCCCCTATCACCCTCCCCCCGTCACCAACCACAGGTGCTCAACACCCCCTCCCTGAGCCCAGAGCACTCCCTGCGCACCTCCTTCCTCACCTCCTTCACCGACGGTCCTCTCCCTCTCGACCTCACCACTACACACGGCACCAGTAACGGCAGCGCCACCAACGGCACCACCAATGGCAGCAGTGCCACTGCTGCTGCTGCTGCTGCTGGGGACTTGGCTGTGCTGCAGCTGGACGGAGTGATGGGGCCTCTGGTGGCCAGTCACGGCATCGGCCCCTGCATTGGCATGCCCGATTTCATCAAGGTGAGTACAAGTTACAGCCACATGTCCCAGCAAGGTGAAAGGCTGTCGGGCGGCTGTTGTTTGCTTGCACCCACGACAACGCACGTGCTGTCACTGCTGCTGCTGGGGGAGTGATGGACGGGGTGATGGGTCCTCTGGTGGCGAGTCACGGCATCGGGCCCTGCATTGGCATGCCCGACTTCATCAAGGTGAGACGCACTTTAGGCCGGCTGTTCCTTGCTCATACCCACCACAGTTCCAGTGCCGCTGCTGCTGGGGGTGACCTGGCCCTGCTGCAGTTGGATGGGTTGATGGGTCCTCTGGTGGCGAGTCACGGCATCGGGCCCTGCATTGGCATGCCCGACTTTATCAAGGTGAGAACAACGAGGTGACTTTTGAGTCGACTAGTCTTTTGAGTCGACTCAAAAGTCGGCCCTGCATTGGCATGCCCGACTTTATCAAGGTGAGAACAACCACATGCCGGGTAAGACTGGTACGTGTGCCATGAGCATCTGTCCCGGATCCCAGCTGCCACTCTCTTGCTGTTGTTGCAATGTTGACACTTTGTACCCTTCCCCCCTCCCGCTCTTCCTCCTCCCGTGTGACAGGATGGGGCGCTGCAGGTGCTGCTGGTGTACCCTACCCCGCTCTACTCGCCTGCCCAGATGGCCCAGAAGTGCTATCTTGTTGATGTGTATCTCCCCGTTCCCCCTGTATATCATTCTGACCCTCTGTGTGCAGGATGGGGCGCTGCAGGTGCTGCTGGTGTACCCTACCCCGCTCTACTCGCCTGCCCAGATGGCCCAGTTTGCTGTCCTCGTTAAGAACAACCTCCTTGCAGCTGCAGCTAACCAGGATGTGTAGTGCTTATTCCTTAAAGCTCGCGTCTCATATTTACGAGGGTTTAACACTTGGTTGGTTACGCACATCCGTGATTGGTTTCGGCAGAAATTTACCGCAGCGCGTCACAGATTTCGTCAATCGCAAACCAGTCACGGAGGCCCAAATCCAACCGAGTGCTAAACAGATAAAATATGAGACGCGAGCTTTAATAGCAGTGTATTGATCAATATCTGTATGCATTTCACCGCACAGTTGATTTCAAATTTGGAATGATAAAAAGACATTGGCCAAACCTAATGTGCTTGCTTATGGCAAGTAACACATACAGTGCAGCGAGACAGTACACACACTCCGACATGATAGATTAGCAAGTTAGCATCAGCCACAAATCCACAGCCACATGGTCTGTCGCTGAGAGTTTGATAGAAAGGACCTCTCTATAGAGTACAGGAGAGTTTCAAAGCCTCTCTGACTCTTAATCCATAAGAGAGTACCACAAGTCTGTAGCCTAAACCTCCTGTGGCGTATAAATGTGTTTGAGTGTGGGTGAGTGTGGCGGGTGGAATCTGTTTGGGGAAACAGAGCAGAGGGGCAAGGGGAGCAAAGAGAAGAGAGGAGCACACGTGAGCAACGAGGAGAGAAGTGTGGCAAGGAAGCAGATGAAGGTGAGGGCAGCAGCAACAGCGCCGAATAGGAGGATGGTTATATCTGAGTCACAATTGATAATTTTCAAGAATGGCAGGAATGAAGCCAAGAATGGTGTTAAATGTAGTGGCAGGAGGAACGAGAGGCAGACTCATGCACTAGTGCACATGAACATGAACATGAACTTAGACATGCACATGCACATGCACATGCACATGCATTTAGACATGCTTACCCTGCAGCTGGCGTGGGTGCTGCTCTTCTGATCCAGCAGCATCAACCATGCCTCGCATGCCCCATCTGCTGCTGCCCCCTCTGCTGTTCTTTACTGCTGTGGACCCCCAACCACTCAGCTGTACCACCACCACCACCATTGCCAGCACCACCACCATCAGCAGCACCAGCACCAGCACCGCCCTTACCACCACCACCACCACCCTGACCAGCAGCATGGTGATCCCCATCCGCTCCCTGCCATGTCATCCCTGCCTCTATGCGCCTCTGCATGGCGATCAATGCTGACACTGGCGTCCACCCCTCCTGCCCCGCTGCACCACTATCATCAGGGTCGGGTACTTGACTAGTGCTGCCACCACCGTTGCTGCTGCCACCACCGTTGCTGCTGCCACCGTTGCTGCCACCACCGTTGCTGCTGCCACCGTTGCTGCTGCCACCGTTGCTGCTGCCACCACCGTTGCTGCTGCCACCGTTGCTGCTGCCACCACCGTTGCTGCTGCCACCGTTGCTGCCACCGTTGCTGCTGCCACCGTTGCTGCCGTGACCACGGTTGGTCCCGCCCCTGCCAGTGTGGGCAGCAGCGTGGGTGCCGCCAGTGCTGCTGCCGCCATCACTCCCCTTAGTGCCACCATGGGCAGCAGCAGCGTGCGTGGCGAGTCTGCTGCTATCTGCCGCTGCCAGCAGCTGCTGCCACTCGTCCTCGAACCTCACCCCCTCCCCCTGCTGCTGCTGCTTCTGCTGCTTCTGCTTCCCCTCTTCCTCCTCCTGACCTTGCTCCGGCGCCTGCTGCTGCTGCTGTCCCTCCCGCTCCTTCTCTCCCGCTTGCTGCTGCTGCTGCTCAGTCTTCCCCCCCTCCTTCGCCTTCTCTACCTGCTGTGGTGCTTTCGGCTGCGGCTCATGCTCGTGTTTCATCTCAAGCTGCTTCGTACTCGACTGTTTCGTCATCTCCCCTCCGCCACCGCCACTCCCACCATGCCCCCCACCACCAGGGCTGCTCTGCGCCTCATGCTCTGCCCCACCACCACCACTGCTCTTCTCCTGGCGCTCTGTGTTCAGCTTGAACCCGTTTCTCCCCCCTTTGCTGCTGCCGCTCCCACCACTGCCGGCGCCGCCGCTGCCACCGCCACCGCTGGTGCTACTGCCAGCCTTGCCGCTCTTGCTACCCTCGCTGCTTGAATGCGAGTGCCCTTGCCCTTCATTCGCCTCCCCCTTGCCCTCCTGTGTCACCTCCACATGATAGCTGCTCTCCTGCACCCCTCCCTTGCTGCTGCTGCTGCTGCTGCTGCTCCTGCTGCTCCCCCTGCCCTTGCCACTCTTGCTGCTTGAATGTGAGTGCCCTTGCCCTTCGTTCGCCTTCCCCTTGCCCTCCTGGCCCACTTTCGTCATCTTCAAATGATAGCTGCTCTCCTGCACCCCTCTCTGCCACTCATCGAGATCAACCACCTTCCCTCCCACATGCTCCTTCCACTCCTCCTTCCTCTTCTCTCCCTCACTCTCCCTCCCCTCCTCGTCCCCCTTCCCCACTCCTGCGTTCTCCTCTGCATCACCCTCTGAACTTTCCCCTGAGTCATCCGCTCCACCTGAACCGTCACCTGATTTTTCACCTGACGACGCCGAGTTTCCTGAGGCTGCGGATTCTCCTGACGCCACACCTGAAGCCTCGTCCAGTTCGGGCCAAAGAACGCTCGTGTGCTTACTAACGTCACCACTTTCGCTGGACTTTTCGCCACTGTTACTGTTACTGTTACTGCTGCTGCTGCTGCTGCTGCTGCTGCTGCTGCTGCCACTGCTGTTACTGCTGCTGCCGCTGGTGTTGAAATTGGTTGTGCCGGTGCTGCTCTGCGCGTCCACAGTGCCAAGCCTGCCGTCACTGCTGTAACCACTCTTGAAACTGGCACCTTTGGAATCGGCAGCATCAGCGCTGCTCCGGTTAATCTCATTACCACTAACACCACTAGCACCACTAGTAGCACCATCACCAGCACCATCAACACCACTGCTGCCATCAGTATTGCCGCTGTCCTTGGCAGAGCCACCAGGCTTGTCAGCAACCTTGAAGTCACCGTAATCACTGCTGCTGCTGCTGCTGCTGCTGCTGGTGCCACTGCTGCCGCTGCCGCTGCCACTGCCGCCACTGGTGGTACTGCTGAATCCGCCAGCACTGTTATAACGGCCTCTCGCCTCACCACTAGTAGTAGCACCTCCCATACCAACCCCACTAAACCCACCAGTACCATCAGTGCCACCAGTTTTGCTGCCAGCGCTGCCGCTGCTGCCACCACTGCTGCTGCTGCTGCTGCCGCTGCTGCTGCCGTATCCGCACATTCCTAGCTGGCACGCCGAGTCAGCAGGACACGTGTTGTAGCAGCCGCCGCAGTGACGTGGATCGTCCATGATGCTGACGCACGCGCCGTCGCAGCAGTGGTGGCCCGTCGGACACGCCGTGAGGCAGTTGCCGCAGTGGAACACGTCGCTGCGTAGATTACGGCACGCGCGCCTGAAGCAACGGGAGAGGGGGGAAGGGCGGGGTCGGATGGGACGGATGGGGGAAACACGCCGTGAGGCAGTTGCCGCAGTGGAACACGTCGCTGCGTAGGTTGCGGCACGCGCGTCTGAAGCAACAGAAGGGATGGGAAGGAGGGGTAGCGAGGGGGGAAGGAGGGTGAGGGAGGGGAAAGGCTAGTCACGCCGTGAGGCAGTTGCCGCAGTGAAACACGTCGCTGCGTAGATTGCGGCACGCGCGCCTGACGGGGGAAAACGAGGAGGGGGAGAAGAGGGAGGGAGGACGGGGAAGAGAAAGGGGGAGGGAGGGGAAGCGTCGGACACGCCGTGAGGCAGTTGCCGCAGTGCAACACGTCGCTTCGTGGGTTGCGGCACGCGCGACTGGAACAAAGGGAAGGAGGGATGGGGAAGGAAAGAGAAAAGGGAAGGAGGGATGGGGAAGGAAAGAGAAAAGGGAATACGGAGAAAAGGGGACCAGGACACGCCGTGAGGCAGTTGCCGCAGTGGAACACGTCGCTGTTGCGACAGGCGCGACTGAAGGAACGGATGGATGAGGGAGAAAGGGGGTAGGAAGGGCAGCGGTATACTGTGTGTTGTACTGTACTCACCCGCAGCAGACGTCGAAACCGGGGTTCTCCTTAGCGAAGATGAGACAAACGGTCTGGTTACCCAAGCACTTCTGCCCGCGCTTTAAATGATGCCCCACGCCCGACGGGTGGTGCCCGAACAAGAAAGTCCCGTCCGCCTTCCGCGGATGGTGCCCTCCGCCGAACGGCGCGCGCCGCTCCGCGCTGGCGGCACCCGCCCCCGAGTGGCGGCCTCCGCCGAACCAGTGGTGCCCAACAGAGGCGGTGTGGTGGCCGAGGCGCGGGTGGTGCCCCGTGAACGGCCCGTGCATCCCCTTGGGAATGTCGAAACCCTTGGGAATGCCGAAACCCTGCGGCTCGCTCGTGGTGGTGTCGGCTCCCCCGTCAATCTCAGCCGTTGATCTGGTGGTTGTGGTGATCCGATGGTGGTGGCCTAGGTTCGGATGGTCGCCCGGTTTCCTGGAAGGTTCAGCGTCGGTTTGTGCTGCTTTCCGTCGGCTGAAAAGAGCGCGGCGGAGGGACGAGACGGCGGAGGCGGCGGAGGAAACGGCGGAGGATGCGGCGGAAGATGCGGCGAGAAAGGAGGGCATCGGGAAACGTCCTATCCCCCTGTTGGCGCCACCGGGATTCGCGAAGCGCGAAACCTTTGAGGAAGTGAAGGGCAGCTTGTTGGGCGATCGTATTCGGATCTTAAAGAGCTTCGGCCTTCCTTTACTGCCACGTGGACGCGGAATATCCGGAAGGAGATCATCTGACGTGGCTAAGGAGTAGGATGGTAGAAGAAAAAGGATGCATATACACGATAGTACTAGCGCCGCGACCAAGCTTCGAAGCGTCTTCATGTTTGCGCGATCCGACTGAATCGACGGTATCCAGTTTGAGCGTCTTCTAGAAAGTTAAGCCTCGATGGCTTTCTCCGCGTTCGCGCGGCGAATTATTGCCGGCTAAATCCTAGGTGCAGTCGTTAGTAGTCAATCACACGACCTCTCATTGCGGTTAGCGACGCAATTGTTAGCGCGGTAACTACTCTAGCTAGTGAAGGCTCCCAGTCGGCACCTTGGTAGGGTATTCGCTCTGGCTCGAGTCATGAGAGCAAGCCGGTCAATAACTATATCTTCTTGCCCGCTACCTTTCTTGCACCAGGCCATGCAGACCCATGCTCCTGTTGGCCGTAAGCAGTCTTAGAAGTTTCTGCTATTAACTGAACGGTGTGGCGTCGCCGTGAAGCGATTAACTATTACAAGGCGATTATCAAGGCGACACTGTACAGGCGAGTGATAACCTATGGTGACAGCTAGAGCATTCTAAAGCGCTAGGCATCTGATGTCACTACGGCAAGTATTGCCATGTGTTGACCATTAGAGGAGTGCAGTGGGGGATAGAGGAAATGGTGCTAGTGGCGTGGCTGGGATAGAGGGGGCGTGTGGCGTGGTGTGCAGCGCTGCGATGCAACGACTCGATGGAATCGTGCGCTGCGTGCTGGGTGCTGTCGTTTACTCGGCCACAAACAACTGTCTGGCAGGGTGAGATTCGCTCGACCTGCGCAAATCGTGGAAGCAGTGAGGCAAACTTGGGCGCGAATAAAGAAAACTACTAAACGGTGATGACATAGAAGCGTGGGCGTAGAGCAGGAGAAACACATGGGTTTAGACGTTTTACGGTGGTAAAGTACGGTAAGAGGCTAAAATGTAGTGGTTGATCGGAGGTGGTGGAAGGAGAGGAACGTTCGAGATGATGCAGGTGTTCAAACTCATCGGTGAAACAAATCCCAACGACTGTTGACAAATGTGCAATTTCAGACATTTTGCGCGAAATGCGACTCGACATTTCGCATAAACACGACGCGATTCACTCGCGGCTCGAGATCTGGTGGTGAGGTGGCTCTACATTGTGACCGTCGATGCTCTGGAACCGTTGGGTTTGTGAAGGACACGTGGCAAGACTGCTGATGGTCGATGCCCACGAACAGCGACGGCTGAGCGGCAAGGAGACGGTTGCCGACAACAATATGGGGAGTGTCGTCGCAACCTTGGGGCTTCGTGATTCCATTGCTGACAGGAACGCGTGCGAACACCTCGAAAGTTTGGTGACTGACAGTCACAGCCTCGCAGCCAACCATCATCAGCGCTGGCAAGCGACCAGCGGCAAATTTTCCGAATCGAGAGTTTTCGCACTCCATTGTGTTACAAATGGTATTTTGCTTGTCTCTTTTGCGTGAAACAGACTGCGCAATCTAAAGACACCCAGCGTAAAAGCAGTATAACTAGGTACGACACTGCTTTTAACGCGGATGCAAAGAGACCTGTTCTCTCATTATAGAAAATCCCGAGCTCTAGTCCTTACCTAAGGGGACCAGAAGTGGTTCTAGTCCTTCATCCCAGGAGAAACTAAGAAGCAAGGCGCATTCGTTAGTTATCCCGGTCAAGCGCCGGGCGAGTCGAAATGCTAGGTCTTGCTGCTACTGGCGTGTCGTCGTCGCTTCCTCCGGGAATATCGTCTCGTCAGAAATCTGACGTGTCGTGCGGATCTCAGCTCCAGTCTGACGTGTCGAGAGCATCATCATCCGTTTCGCCGAGCGCTACCCTTTCTGGCGATTCGATCAGCGATGGACGCATCGTAGGGTTACCATTTCGCTCCGACCGGCTGCGAACCTCGAAAACCTCGTGTCGCGCTTGGACTAGTTCGCAAAACGGGTTTTCGACAACGGGCTTGCAGTCACCGTCAACGTCGCAAAGACGAAAATCTTCCACGCATTACCGACGCGACGGAAAGAGCTATACAGTAGCAGCAGCAGCTGCTGCTGCTGGAACCGGATCATCCGACGATTCAGACGAGCCTGTTTTCATTTTCACGAATCCGCGACAGTCGCCAGACGTCGCAAAGGTGCTTCGCCACGATTCGCGGGCCTCCGCCGCTGCCGCCGCCGCTTCCGCTGCTGCTGCTGCCGCCGCCGCCGCCGCTGCAGCAGAAGATGTAGCAACCGCTACGCAGGACGCTCTAGAAGCCGGCGCGTCCTCCGCGACTGGCGCCGCGAGCGGCGCGCTCGAGGGAAAACGATCAAGCGCGCAAACGAGCGCGCAAGCCGCGGCAGTGGATCAGCTACTAACGGGGCCGCCCAGGCGAATAGTGCCCATAGTGCCGGACGACCATAAGAGCGGTAGGCGGGGGCGTGGGTAAGCGGAGACACGCGGGTGGGGGAATTGGGTTGAGGGGGAATGTAGGGGAATGTAAGGGAGGGAAAGGGGTGATTAGTGCCCAAAGTGCCTGAAGACCATTGAAATGATGGCAATGGGCTGGCAATGTGCTGTTGGCTTGAAGGGGTTTTTGTGACGGGGTTTAGGACTGAGGGTTTGAGACGCAGTGTGTGATGTGAAGCTACGATAAGCGGTGAAAGCACTTATGCATGCTTCCTCTTCCTCCTCCTCGTCCTTCTCCTCCTCTCCCTTTTACTCCTCCTCCTCCTCCTCCTCCTCCTCCTCCTCCTCTCCTCCTCCTCCTCCTCCTCCTCCTCCTCCTCCTCCTCCTCCTCCTCCTCCTCCTCCTCCTCCTCCTCCTCCTCCTCCTCCTCCTCCTCCTCTTCCTCCTTTCTCCCGCCCGTGCCCCTTCCCCCCTTCACCTCTCCTCACCACCCTTCCTACGTGGCAATGATTGGGCAGCCCAATGCGGGCAAGAGCAGAGCACGCTGCTGAATCGGATCATCGGGCACCCCTGTTCCGATCCGATTCAGCAGTGTGCTCTTTCTTCCCTCGCATCCCTCGCATCCCTCACATACCCCAATCCCCCAATCCCTCACATCCCCCAAACCTCAGGCTACGTGGCGTTGATGGGGCAGCCCAATCCGCGCTAGGCACGCTGCTGAACCGCCTCATCAGGCAAAGGCTGTCTTTCCTTTTCCAAGCTGCCTCTTCCCTTTCCTCATATCCCCTAATCCACGTGCTTCTCAGGCTACGTGGCGCTGATAGGCCAGCCGAACGCGGGCAAGAGCACGCTGCTGAACCGACTGATCGGGCAGAAGCCCACTGGCCTCCCCTTTCCCCTTACCGCCCTTCACATCCCCTCACCTCACCTCACTTTCCCCCAATCCTCAGGTTACGTGGCGCTGATAGGGCAGCCCAACGCGGGCAAGAGCACGCTGCTGAACCGCCTCATCGGGCAGAAGCTGCCTTCCTGCTCCCACTCGCCTCCCCTTCCGCCTCACCTCTCTTCACCTCGCTCATTACCTCTCCTCACGCCTCCTCACCGTTCTTCACCTCGCTCATCACCTCTCCTCACCCCTCCTCACCGCTCTTCACCTCCCCTCACCCCCAGGTTACGTGGCGTTGATAGGGCAGCCCAACGCGGGCAAGAGCACGCTGCTGAACCGACTCATCGGGCAGAAGCTGTCGATCGTCACACTTGCCTCCCCCTTCCCTCACCCCTCCTCACCGCTCTTCACCCCCCCAGGCTACGTGGCCCTTATAGGGCAGCCCAACGCGGGCAAGAGCACGCTGCTGAACCGACTCATCGGGCAGAAGCTGTCGATCGTCACACTTGCCTCCCCCTTCCCTCACCCCTCCTCACCGCTCTTCACCCCCCCAGGCTACGTGGCCCTTATAGGGCAGCCCAACGCGGGCAAGAGCACGCTGCTGAACCGACTCATCGGGCAGAAGCTGTCGATCGTCACACTTGCCTCCCCCTTCCCTCACCCCTCCTCACCGCTCTTCACCCCCCCAGGCTACGTGGCCCTTATAGGGCAGCCCAACGCGGGCAAGAGCACGCTGCTGAACCGACTCATCGGGCAGAAGCTGTCGATCGTCACACTTGCCTCCCCCTTCCCTCACCCCTCCTCACCGCTCTTCACCCCCCCAGGCTACGTGGCCCTTATAGGCCAGCCGAACGCAGGCAAGAGCACGCTGCTGAACCGACTCATCGGGCAGAAGCTGTCGATCGTCACTCAGAAGCCGCAGACCACCCGCCACCGCATCCTGGGCCTCGTCTCCGCGCCCGCCTACCAGGTGAGGGGGGTTGTGTGTAGTAAGGCATGTGATGTGGGATGGGATGGGGGAGGCAAGGGGGGCCCCACACACAGGAAGCCTCAGAAGCCGCAGACCACCCGGCACCGCATCCTGGGCCTCGTCTCCGCGCCCGCCTACCAGGTGAGGGGGGTTGTGTGTAGTAAGGCATGTGATGTGGGATGGGATGGGGGAGGCAAGGGGGGCCCCACACACAGGAAGCCTCAGAAGCCGCAGACCACCCGGCACCGCATCCTGGGCCTCGTCTCCGCGCCCGCCTACCAGGTGAAGTGAAGGGGGGTGGTTGGGGAGGTGGGGTTCTAATCGCGCATGTCAGATGGGTGAGGGGATGTAGGGGCTGGGCATGGGAGCACTCAGAAGCCGCAGACCACCCGGCACCGCATCCTGGGCCTCGTCTCTGCCCCTGCGTACCAGGTGCGTGGGGGAGGTGAGGGGTGCATGTGGTGGGTGGGTGGGCTGATGGTGGGGACGTGGGGTCACACAGAAGCCACAGAAGCCGCAGACCACCCGGCACCGCATCCTGGGACTCGTCTCTGCCCCTGCGTACCAGGTGGGTGGGGAGGAGAGGGGCTGTGGTGTGTCTAGAAAGGAGCACACACCGGATGCGTGAGGGGAGGCGGGTGGGGGGGCGTGGGGTCTCACGGAAACTGCAGAAGCCGCAGACCGCCCGCCACCGCAGCCTGGGCCTCGTCTCGGCCCCTGCATACCAGGTGCGTGAGGGAGGGTTTGATGTGTGTCAAGTCCAGGGCAGAGGCTGTCGATCGTGACCAGGTGGGTGAGGGAGGGTTTGATGTGTGTCAAGTCCAGGGCAGAAGCTGGCGGTCGTCACCAGGTGGGTGAGCGGACGGTGGGGGACGTGGGGTCTCACAGAACTCACTTTTGAGTCGACTCAAAAGTCAGGTCGTCACGAGGTGGGTGAGGGGATGGTGGTGGGGGGCGTGGGGCCTCACAGAAGCTGCAGAAGACCTCTCGCCAGTAAGGGGTGTGTGTATGTCTAGTGCTGCTGCTGCAGCAGACGAGCCATCCATCCCCATCCCCTCAGGTGGCTCGTCTGCTCTGCAGCACCCCATCCTCTAGTGCTGCTGCTGCAGACGAGCCACCGCATCCTGGCCCTCGTCTCTGCACCCGCTTGCCAGGTGAACTGAAGTGACTTTTGAGTCGACTCAAAAGTCACCTCGTTTTGAGTCGACTCAAAAGTCGCCAGTAAGGGGTGTATGTCTAGTGCTGCAGACGAGCCACCGCATCTTGGTCCTCGTCTCTGCACCCGCATACCAGGTGAAGTGAAGGGGAGTAAGGGGAGTAAGGGGAGTAAGGGGAGTAAGGGGAGTAAGGGGAGTAAGGCGTGTCAGGGGAGTAAGGGGAGTAAGGGGAGTAAGGGGAGTAAGGGGAGTAAGGGGAGTAAGGGGTGTGTGTCTAGTGTTGGACATGTCTACGCCAGGGAGTGTGTGTCTGTCGAAGGACCTCCGCCTTGTTTTCACACGCCGTCGCCTTTTGTCTATCCGTCCGTCCCCCCCTCTTCTTTCTTCTGCAGATCATTCTGTACGACACGCCCGGGGTACTATCCAAGTCAATGCACAAACTCGGTGACCTCATGATGCACGCTGTGCCTCCCTGCCTCCCCGTGTGCTGTGCCCCTCCCTCCTTTCCTTGTGTCCGTGCTTGCTTCCCCTCTCCCTCCCCTTCCCCCACAGATCATTCTGTACGACACGCCCGGCGTGCTCTCCAAGTCAATGCACAAGCTGGACGAGCTCATGATGCAGGCGGTGCGCACTGCTACAGTCAACGCCGACGCTGTTGTCCTCGTTATAGACATCACCCAGGCGCCCCAAGAGGTGCGTCCAGCCATCTGAAAGGCATGCACCACCACCGTCAATTCGGACGCTTTTGTCCTCGTTATAAACAGCACCCAAGCTCCTCAAGAGGTGCGCAGTGCTTTTCCTCAAACGTAGCTTAAATCTGACTTAACTTTGCTCCGTATGGCCATGTGTGGTCTGCGGAGGATGTTGACTGATGGTCCGTATGGGCCCTCAAAACTTGACTTATCAGGTCATGCCCTCTGCCTTTCTGTGCTCCTTATGCAGGTATCAAAGCTGCTACTAGAGGGGATGGAGAGTGCAGTGGTGCAAAAGAAGCCGACGCTCATAGTGCTGAACAAGAAGGACTCGCTGAAGCCGGGGGAAGTTGCCAAGAAGCTCAAGGTAAGTGGCTTTTGAGAATTCTCAAAAGAAACCGTGCACTTGAGCAGATGGGATGGGGTTTGAACCCTCATAGTGAACAAGAAGGACTCGCTCAAGCCAGGGGAAGTTGCCAAGAAGCTCAAGGAAAGGGAAGTTGCCAAGAAGCTCAAGCCAGGGGAAGTTGCCAAGAAGCTCAAGGAAAGGGAAGTTGCCAAGAAGCTCAAGCCAGGGGAAGTTGCCAAGAAGCTCAAGCCAGGGGAAGTTGCCAAGAAGCTCAAGGAAAGGGAAGTTGCCAAGAAGCTCAAGCCAGGGGAAGTTGCCAAGAAGCTCAAGGAAAGGGAAGTTGCCAAGAAGCTCAAGCCAGGGGAAGTTGCCAAGAAGCTCAAGGAAAGGGAAGTTGCCAAGAAGCTCAAGCCAGGGGAAGTTGCCAAGAAGCTCAAGGAAAGGGAAGTTGCCAAGAAGCTCAAGCCAGGGGAAGTTGCCAAGAAGCTCAAGGAAAGGGAAGTTGCCAAGAAGCTCAAGCCAGGGGAAGTTGCCAAGAAGCTCAAGGTAAGTGGCTTTTGAGAATTCCCAAAAGAGACCGTGCACTTGAGCAGATGGGATGGGGGTTTGGACCCTACCCTCGTTGTGCTGAACAACAAGGACTCGCTCAAGGCAGGGGAGGTTGTACCGTGTGACATTGTACCGAGCTGACTTTTGAGTCGCTCAAGCCGGGGGAAGTTGCGAAAAAAGCTCAAGGTAAGGAAGTTACCAGTCAGTACCACTCAGCACCACGCAGCACCACGCAGCACCACTCAGCACCACTCAGCTCCGCTCTGGTAGCTACTCGAGGGGATGGAGAGAGCCGTGGTGCAAAAGAAGCCGACCCTCATTGTGCTGAACAAGGAGTCGCTGAAGCCGGGGGAAGTTGCCAAGAAGCTCAAGGTAAGGGAATTTGCCAAGAAGGTATCAGTCAGTACCAGCGCAAAACTATGTTCAGTAGGATTCCGCGTCTCGTCTTACCGTGCGTGTGGCCGCAGAGGTATCAAGAGGCCGTGGCAGAGGAAGGGCACGTGGTGACTGCCTGCCTAGTGCCCTGGTCTTTTTGGAGCCTAGAGGTGACTTTTGAGTCGACTCAAAAGTCACCTCGTTACCATGGCACACGACACTCCTTCCCGTTGTGTGCTCCCATCCCATCTCTCCAGTGCTACCAAGAGGCAGTGGCAGCCGAGGGGCACACTGTGATCGCTCTGAGCGCCAAGAGAGGTGACGGGGGACACGGTTGTCGCTCTAAGTGCCCACCCCTCTCACGCCCTGTGTGCTCCCATCCCATCCCATCCCATCCCATCCCATCCCATCCCATCCCATCCCATCCCATCCCATCCCATCCCATCCCTCCAGTGGTACCAACCAAGAGGCAGTGGCAGCCGAGGGGCACACTGTGATCGCTCTGAGTGGCTGCTTTGGGTGTGGCTGATGTGTGACCCAACCCAATTCAACGCTACGTGTGTGCCCCCTGTCCTTACCACCATTCCCCTTCTCGGTGCGCTCCCATCACACCAGTGGTACCAAGACGCTGTAGCAGCAGGTGGGAACACGGTCATCGCTCTGAGTGCCTTTGTGAACCAACTCGTTGCTGTCGTTGCCTTCACTTTCCTCCATTCCTCACTTCTGTGTGTGCTCCCCTCTGTGTGACCGCAGTGGTACCAAGACGCTGTAGCAGCAGATGGGAACACGGTGATCACTCTGAGTGCCAAGAGGGGCGAAGGGGTGGATGGGCTACTGGCGTGGATGCTGGATAACATTCCGCAAGGCCCCGCCTACTACCCCAAGGTATCACTGCACTGCTTGCCTTGTGTAGAGAGGGTGTTTTTGAGACGTCGCAAAATACTACCCCAAGGTATCACTGCACTGCCTGGCTTACTCAAGTCGTCCCCTAGCATTGGTTCTTTTGAGACGTCTCAAAAGTGGATGGGCTGCTGGCGTGGATGCTGGACAACATTCCGCAAGGCCCCGCCTACTACCCCAAGATATCATTTTTGAGTCGACTCAAAAGTCATCGCACTGCCTGCCTTACTCAAGTCGTCCCCTAGCATTGGTTCGGAGAGCGGTAGGTTCGGGGTAGACACGGTGGAGGATGAATGGGCTTCTGGCATGGTGAGCGAGTTGCCAGAGCAGTTCTTTGCTTGCGGCGCCTCTAAATACCACAGCCACACCACTAAAAACCACTTGCCACACCACCCAACCCCATCCCATGCACAACCCCACCCACCCCCCATCAGGACGTGGTGAGCGAGCTACCAGAGCGGTTCTTCGTGGCGGAGATAGTGAGGGAGAAGATTCTGCTGCAGTACTCACAGGAAGTGCCGTACGCCTGCCAGGTGCGTGTGTGTGTGTGAGAATACGAGCATGGGGTATGGGGGTCAGGGCATGGGGGTCAGGGCATGGGGGTCAGGGTATGGGGGTCAGGGCATGGGGATCAGGGCATGGGGGTCAGGGCATGGGGTTCAGGGCATGGGGGTCAGGGCATGGGGGTCAGGGCATGGTGGCGCATGGGTCAGTGAGGGAGCAGATTCTGCTGCAGTACTCTCAAGAAGTGCCGTATGCCAGCCAGGTGCGGTGAGAGGGATGGGGTGTGGGGGTTGGAGCATGGGGTGTGGGGGTTGGAGCATGGGGTGTGGGGGTTGGAGCATGGGGTTGATGGCTGCCCGCTGCGTGGGTGACTGAGCGGGAAGATTCTGCTGCATTACTCACAGGAGGTGCCATACGCCTGCAACGTGCATGTGCAGAGAAGCACGGGGCTTGGGGTGCGTGCGGGTGGGTCATGTGGTATGGGACACGGGGAGTGGGGCACAGGGCATGGGCAATTGCAGACATACCTTACTTTTCTCTTACATTGTTTTGCCATTTCGTGACAATGTTGCCTTGGGTTGACATGGCATGGCATGGCATGGCATGGCATGGCATGGCAGGTGACAGTGAGGGCGTTCAGGGAGAGGGAGAAGGCAAAGGACTACATCAGCCTTGACATCATGGTGGAGCGGGACAGCCAGAAGGCCATCCTGCTGGGGAAGGTGAGGAGTAAGGGGAGAGGGGTATGTGCATGCGGGTCAAAGGAAGAGGGAGCGGGAAGGGGTGAGAGAGGGAGAAGGCAAAGGACTACATCAGTCTTGACATCATTGTGGAGCGAGACAGCCAGAAGGCCATCCTGCTGGGGAAGGTGAGGAGTGGGGGTGAAGGGTGAGGGGTACGTGCATGTGAGTACGAGCATGCGGGTCAAAGGAAGAGGGAGAGGGAGAAGGCAAAGGAATACATCAGCCTTGACATCATGGTGGAGAGGGACAGCCAGAAGGCCATCCTGCTGGGGAAGGTGAGTGATGGATGGATGTGAGTCCACGAGAGAAGGAGTGAGTGAGGGTGGGCGTGAGAGAAGGACTACATCAGTCTTGACATCATGGTTGAGCGGGACAGCCAGAAGGCGATTCTGCTGGGGAAGGTGGGCTGAGAGGGGTGTAAGAGGAGAGAGGAGAGAGGCGAGAGGCGAGAGGCGAGAGGTGGTGAGAAAGTGTGGGAAGCAATGGGAAAGGAAGATGCGAAAGGGGGTGCACATGTGGGTAAAGCGTCTGCAAGTGTAGCAACAAGTGCTTGTGTGCGCAGTGACTCTGTTCCCCCTCCGCTCCTTATCACCTCTCTGCCTCATATACCTCTTCGAACGTACAATCCCATCACGTCCCTGCCTCACCAGGAGGGCAAGCAGCTCAAGGCGCTGGCAACGGCAGCTCGGATGGACATAGAGGAGTTTCTGGGGCGAGAGGTGTTCCTGGAGGTGAGGGGTGCTGCTGCGTTGGCAGGGTGGAGATGGGTGGTGGGGATTGGCTGCAAGGGTACTTGCTGAAGGGGTGTTGCTGGAAATGAGGAGTGTTGCTGGAAATGAGGGGTTTAGGGTTGCTGCTCAGGGAATACAAACCCTCTCCACCTCCATCTCTTGCTTCATGCGTTACTTCCCCCCCTCCTCCCTCACTCTCTTCTGGATGAGATGCAATGGAGGGAACAGTAGCCCTCCTCATCACTTTATCTGCACTCCCCCTGCTCATCTCCCCATCTCTGCTCCACACTCCCTTCGCACAGATCCGGGTGAAGGTGAAGGAGAAGTGGAGGCAGGACGAGACGCTGCTGAAGGAGTATGGGCTGGATGTGCGCAAGAGAGGCTCCTGGTACTGAACATGTGCTGCTGCAGTGCGCTTTTTTGGTGGTTCGCTTGATACCATGTGAAGCAGTTAGGCTGCAAGTAATGGCAACAGTAAACTGGTAACTGGTGTTACCGTATTACCGGTAGTCGTGAACAATAGTTGGTTGGTTCATCTACACATGAAAATATTTTCGATTTGAGGTGGTAACATCCAAGTGTACCCTACCCTACTGGAAACTTCAGGATACAATGGCTACATTCTACCTTCACTTTAACGAGTGAAAGAAAGTTGGCTGGTTCAAGTTTTTGCGGGTTTGCTGTGACCTTGGATCTGTCATTCAACAGAGACATTCAGAGGATTCTCTTGAAGGCTCCAGGTGTCAATGTGCGCAGGCAATGCTGGCTCACTACCACCACTCTCGCTTCTTTGTCTAACCATCTGGTCATGGTCCAATCTGCCTGGTTCTTTGTTGTCAACAACTGCTGCTGCTTCCAGAGTGAATACCTGATCACTGTCCTCGTATTGTTCTGCAACCGGCTTGCCATGGCCCTGCGTGTCTGCTCTACTCACCCCTCTCTCATCAACACCTCGTGCTGCCAGCGTGGACGCCTGACCACCAGCACCCTGCTGAAATTCATCAAAGTCCTCTCCCTCCCCTCCAGCACCAGCATCACGAGCCGAAACACCAGGCATATTGTGAAAGTTCTCTTCCTGCTCCCCTGTATTGTCATACTGGTATCGGTAACCCTGCAGAGATGCAGCAGTTTCCTCCCTCCAGTCATCTTCCTCGTCCATTGTGCTACCAATGCCACCCAGGCTGACGCCCCTTGTGATTCCCATGCTGATGTCATCCGAGCTTCTGCTGTCGTCCCAATCCCCAAGTTCCCCAGCTCTGACACCCATTCTTTCCCCACCACGCATCACGGTTTCGCTATCCTCCTTATAGTCTTGATCTTTATCCGCTTGTGCACCAAATGCTGGCATTGTAAAATTTCCAGCATGCATTCCCAATCCTTTCGTGCTTCTTCGTCTTCCAGTGGGCACTCTCCATTCCACAAGCTCTGACAAATCGGTTTCCTCTTCATCAGCCATTTCATCCGACGTTGCCGTTTCATCTGACCTTTCTCCTGAAACATAGACTGCTTCTCCAATCAATAGTTCACGTGGGTAAAAACGATTCTCCAAATTCTCACCTCCTCCTGATTCAGGATCAAATTCGTCGTCCGAGAATCTGTCCCGGTAATTCGCCAACGCGTTGCTACGACGCCCATTCACGTCATACAGAAAACCATCCTGCCGTTCTCGACTTGCAACGACACTTTCCACCTGACGACGAAGCGGGATAATCGTTTCCCAATCTATTTCCCCAGGCATGTCCGACTCATCCATGTCCTCCGTCTTCGTTAACGTCACGTCGTCATCTATCAGAGTAAGATCAACAAGCTCTAACGGATCCAACGGCTCAGAATCCTTCAAGATTTTCACTTCACCAGTCGTTTTACCAACTAAAGATCTCCTTCCGTGCCTCCAAGCTGTAGTTACGACGCCTAGACTCCCCCACTCTTCTGGTTCATCCGTGAAATACTGAATGTTTGCGGAGCCTTCACGGTGAACGAGGTGGAGATAGCGAGCCGTCGTCGCAGTGGCCAAGAGAGTCGTAATAAGCAGGGCGATACTAAGAGGACTGGCCATTTACAATGATATCAAAACAATAACAGAGCAGCCGATTAAGTACGACCACCCCGTCCGCCATGGCTGCCAGCAGGCGGGAAGCAGGAACTGTTTTTCTCCCAGGATTGCCATGGCGGCCCTCAAATGAGGTTTGCGAAAGAGCGCAAATATGCGGATTGATGCTGGCGCTTCGCGATGGTATCACACTGGACAGACAAATCGCAGACGTCGTAGGAGGGGCATGGTTGGGGGCTGAAAACAGTCAGCGAATAGGGACGAGTGTATTTTTGGTCGGCGACCGTAACCCACATGCGCAGAAAGCTGCTGGTGTCGGTTCTGTTGCTAATGAAAGCTTCGTTTGGGGAGAACGGAAATGTCAGTGAGGGCATTCTACAGCAGTTCACATAATATATATCCTTACAGTATGGACTTTAGTAGCATGACTTAGTGGGAATCCTCCTTTGGTGCCACTGCCAAAGGAGCAATTGATGAATGGTCAAACAAATCTCTCAACCTAAATGAGGATGTTTACAACTTGTTAGTTACCCTCACTGATTTCCGTCTCTCTTCCTCACCTCCTCACTATGCATTAACCCAAACAAAATCTCGACCTACGGGACTATTCCCCTCCCCTCCATACCTCTACCAAAAAAAAAAAGCCCAACGCACAACCCACACAACAAAGAACCACGAAGGAATGAGATACATACGGAACAAGGAGAAAGAAAAGATGAACGCAAGGAACAGGGGGGGGGGGAGGAAGGGATTTACAGAAGCGGTGAGAGTAAGAAGAAACGTGGAACGGGAGAAACAAGGGGGGCAGAAGAAAGGGTTGTACCCTGTATAATGGAGGGTGAGAGAAGTGACAGCGAGAGAGACAGGGAGAGAGTGAGTGAGAGAGAGAGAGGGGGAGACAGAGCGAGAGAGAGAGAGGGGGAGACAGAGCGAGAGACAGAGAGAGAGAGAGAGAGAGAGAGAGAGAGAGAGAGAGGGAGAGGGAGAGGGAGAGAGGGAGGGGGGGGGAGAGAGAGAGTGGAGACGGGAAAGGGGCCATAGTGGGGATGCGTGGCGAGGAGATGAGACGTTGAGGACAAGGTGACACAAAGGTTGGCAACGGAGGGGTTGAGAGGAGGGAAGGAAGAAACAGACGTTCAAAGTAGACCGGAGCACGGTACAGGAAGGGCGGACGAGAGGATAACACAAAGAGAAAACGGCGGCACACAGGGCTCCCCTATAGCTACCCACATCCACAGTCGATGATCATCACCACTCTCCACATCCACTGCGGATTGTGGAACCCTAGTCAGAATTCCATCCCAAACACCAACCAAAACACCCTCCCACACAACCTTCTAAATACCATCCCGGCCAGTGAAGCCCTCTCTAAACTTCGCGCTCCAACTCATGGCTCGCCATGCACCTCATAAAAGACGAATGCGAAGTAAGAACGAGAATACCTTCCCCGCATATTACTGACTACACCTCAGTACATCTCTGCGAGCCTCTCCGAACCTCGACGCCTACACGCCACCTATTCGTACCCCGGCGAGCACTCGTCCCACTGTCCCCTCTACTTTTCGACCCACCTGCCTCCCCAACCCACTGCGTGCACCTTCCTAGCGACCCCTCGCAGGCCAGCCTCCACCGCAAGACAGTCGGCCACCAACACTAACAACTGCACCTCAGACGCAACCTCTCGACTCTACCCTGTAGCGCTGAATCATGCAAACATCCCCCTTTCTTCATCCCAGCATCCCGCGTCCCTTCTACCCCCCCTGTCCGGTCATCCCTCCGTATCCTACGTGAAAATGTGACAAAGGAACAAAAAAACGGTAACGTGAAATTTAGAAGCCTACCTTGCAGAGAAGAGGGCACACGTGGATGCTTGGATGCTGGGAGTGACAACAGACATCATGGCCGGAGCAGGCTCCGCTGCCAGTGACTCACGTGCCATGGCAAAGGAAATCGGTATCTTGTATCAGGAAATATGTACCCATTATGGAGGAACTCGTAACAAGCAAAGCAACTGACCAGTAAACTACAGGTAACCAGCCGATCGGCAGCCTTGCAAGCCTAGTCCCTACTCCTGGATCCCTGACCGAGCCGAACGAAACCCTAGCCGCTTCCTGCCAATCAACTTTACGCCGTCAATTGGACCGCACCGCCGGCCTCCTTGATCCGCCGCTCCGCCAGCTTGCTGAACAGCTTCGCCTTCACGATCAACGGCTGCGATGGCAGCTCGCCGGCACCGAGCACCTTGAAGAACCCGAACTTGGTCACATCGAGCACGGGAGCGGATCCGGCGCCGCTAGCCTTCTCCTTAACGTCAGCGGGAACCAGCGACCAGAGCTCGTTAAGGTTGATGTGTGGGCAGTGGAACTTGTTCATGGACTTATGGAAGTAACGCATACCGACTTTACCGAAGTAACCCGGATGGTACTTGTCCATCATGATCCTGTGGTGGTGCATGCCTCCCGCGTTACCGCGACCTCCGGGATGCTTTCTGTGCTTGCCGATACGGCCATGGCCGGCGCTGACGTGGCCGCGCTTTTTGCGGTTCTTCCTCAGAGAAGTCGTCATAGTGAATCGAGGAAAAGAGGGGAAGAGGAGAGACGGAGGTTGCCCTGAAAACGTAACCACGAGAGGTGGGTTGGGAGGAGGGGAGGGCAGGGGAGGGAGGAGCAGGAGAAGAGGAAGAGGAAGGGCGGGACGGGAGGAGGGAGGGAGGGACCTGTCGCTCCAATCGAATCTGAGGGGAGGCGCTGGGGAGGAGGCGCAAATGTCAGCAGGCGAGGGGGGCAGGGGAGAATGTGTGGGCGCGCGTCCGAGTGACAGGTTCGGGGTCGAAGGTGCGGCGGGACGCTGGGGCTCCATTTCGGCTGGGAGCAAAACGAGTGTGCCAGAGGTGGTGCAAGGCTCGATGGGTTTTGGTATGGTTGAGGCCAAGGCGCTTGGTGGTAAGCCACATGTAGTCGAGTTGCAAATTTATGGAGTGTAGTTACGAGTTTATATCAAGATGTACGCTCAAGTATTGTAAATCACTATTTCCTCTTTTTGACTAACCATTGACAGTAGGTCTAATGCATTTCCTCACAATCCGCAGACAACTATCTATGAAAATAGTGATCCCGGCCTTCTGTAACTCCTCAGTTGGCAATCACCTCTTTATTTCAAGAATTTAGAAAGCGCTCAAATCAGAGTGCATCCAGGAGGTGCACACGATTTTGCTTTCATAGGATGCCATTCCATGCCACCATCATATAGAACGTTGGGTTGGGATTGCTTTAATGTGACCAGAACATGAAAATGATATGTTTTCTTCCTATATCTACTCAGAGGCAGCCTCATCAGTGCCCTCCTCAGCAGCATTCTTCTTCTCGTTTTGCACATAGATGAAGCTCTTAGAACGGCCTGTAAGCACTGACTTGGCAAGGGACAGAGCCTTGAGAGCCTCGTCCCGAGCCTGAGCCTTCCACACAGCCCGGCGGACCTTGGTCTTTGTCCGAGAGGTCCTCTTCTTCGGCACTGCATGGGGAGGTGGGGGAAGCAACGGTGTTGAGAACATGACTTAAGACAGCCAAACACAGTTTGGACTCTAAACATCGGCTGAATTCAAGAGGTCATGTCTGGCACTACCCAGCAAGGAAGGGAGCAGCAAGGTGCTGAGAAAAAAGAGCTCGACGAAAGTGAAGGACAGAAAAATGGATTCTATTCTTGCCGACTGGTGTTCTCAAGAATTGTCCAGGAACGAGGGGAGCATCAAGGGTGTTGAGGACATGATGTCCAAGAGAGCGAACGATAGCCACACTCGCTGGTGTGGAGATATGCTGGCAATCAGTGCTTATGGTTCGGGTTAACGAACGCATCATCAAATTCCAACTCAATAAAGTGGCTTCGGCAGGCACGTAACCGGCTCAGGATTCACCAGTCTTTCTCTATGAAGAAAGTACACGGCCTTCAACTGCATCCACCAGACGTCACATCAGCAAATATGAGGGTCCGGCATATCACGGGATGGATGCCCGTTCAGATAGCCCCTAGGAACTAAAGGAGGGGAGTTTGAGCAGGACAACGGCCACCACATTAACCTTCGTGCAGTAAAGATCTTTAAGGAAAGGAGGCTTCTCGACGAGGACGTGAAGGGGACTTGGGGGTTAGGAGTTTTTTTTATATATCGTCGAATGTCAAATGTGGCCTGTGCATTTGGTATCAGACTCACGAGCGTCGTCTCTTTTTGTTTAAGAAGCGGCACGAAAGCAAACTACGGGGGAGACTAGCTGTCAGCATTAGGGTAATCGCGACTCTACCCACCTGCTATGACTACAACGCTGCAATTTTGCTCGATCTCCTGCGCGCAGCCGCCCTACAGCGCACCGCCACGTGCAAACTCGAACAAACTACGAAGGTGACTGGAAGTCAGCATTAGCGTGCATTTGACTCTACCCACCTGCCATGACTACAAGGCTGCTGTTTTGCTCGATCTCCTGTGCGCAGCCGCCGAACAGCGCATCGCCACGCGCAAACTCAGAGCCGCAAGCGGACACGTGGACACTCTCGCATCCGAACCCCCGCGCGCACGTCAGCTCAGTCGCAATGCCCCTGGAAGCAACGCTAGCCCTAACGGTCGCCTTGCTGGCGATTTGCACTGACGACAGAGACGCAGAGACAGCAGCAATGGAGGCCATGGCTGACCACACTAACCCTGCAAAATTAACGAGGGTGAGCTAAGAAAATATTAGGTCACAGCCTCAGGGCTCACAGCAGCACAGGAGGGAGAAGAAAAGCTCCCCTGAAGTTAGTCGGTCGAAAAAGCAGGTTTGAGACCCAGCAAACAGCCTCAGCGCGAAAACATTCAGGAAAAAGGAATATTGCGGAGTTCAAAGCTTTAACGATGAGTATTAGTACAATTCTATGCGGTGCAGCTGGGAGTAGAGGGAGAAACATAAAGATGGGCAGGACGGAGTGATGCTGGCGTGGCAAACGGAAACGGATGACGGGTTGGACAGGGCCAGCGTTGTGCTGACACGCAATAAAGCTCGCGAAGTATTCTGAAAAGGTAACCAGCGCATATTCGTTACATTACAAGTAGGAGTTTTCTCATGTGTGCTAGATTTCATGCCATGGACAAGTCCTAACATAAAACATTCAATGGTTTTGATAGATTAGAACTTAAAAAAGGCCAATGGCTTTGTTATATGAGATATTTATACATAGGGTAGTTCGGCATCCTAGCTCATGGCCTCCTCAAAGTACCGCTTGAATAATTTGACAAACCCAGCAATAAATTCTTGTGAAAACAAAGGAGACACAAAGTTAATGTAGATATGGAGCTCGCCATCCTGAAACAAGTGCAAGCGACACATCAAATCAGGGGATAGCAAGCAAATCCACATGGATATAGCAGTCAAGTGTTTGCAAGTTCATCATACATGATACTTACACAGATAGCATCCCCAACGGATATGCTTGGGCCGACACCATGCGTTGCGAATATCGGCCCCACAAACCCCTCCAGCTGAGGCATGAAACCCTCATCTCCTCCTCCAGTAACCCCATCCACATGTCCTTCCCCCTCATTGGCCGGCCAGTCCATGGGGAAGGGCGACTCGGTGATGGCGGACATGAAGGAGGTGCGCTGGGAACACTCGGGGGAAAGTGTTGGGGTTTTCATGGCCTGCAGATGAGACAAAAACAGACAGTGGGGCAGTGGAACGTTGGGGGGGGAGGTGCGGGGAGCAGAGAGGGGATGAGGAGAAGAGGAACGAGGCCAGCAGCGTGATGGCTGGCTGGAGGGATGTGAGATGTCTGGGGACTTTAAGAAAGTGCGCAGGGGAGCAGTGCAGAAAGTAGCAGTGTGGACCCTTGTTTTTGAGACGCCTCAATAACATCCTTTTTTTAGTGTGGACCCTTGTTGTTAAGGTGACCCTTCGAGTTGAGGTGACAGATCAGTCAATGAGGAAAGGATAAGATAGTTCTTACTGTAGAAAAGAGCAGCTCCAGCACGGGCATGTCAACGAATTGCTTCTTCTGCCCGACGGCAGCTGCCAGGTCAGCATCTACAGTGCGAGCCACGTCCCAGAGCGGCAGGTCCTGATTGGCTGGCTGCTTGAGAGGCAATCCCGAGGTGAACACCCCCATAGCATCGGGTGGTAGAGGCGGGTCCAGTAGCGGCCTGCAGTTCATGATGCTGGGAGGGAGAAGAGGAGTAAGGGGGAGAAAGGAAAGACACGGCGCAGGGAGGTTGAGAAGAGACAACCACGGGGCTGAGGGATGAGGTGAGGACCCGTGTTTTGAGTCGACTCAAAATGAGGACCTCTTCCGAGGTGACTTTTGAGAATTCTCCAAAGTCACACCAAGGGGCTCAGGGATGAGGTGAGGACCCGTGTTTTGAGGTGAACACACACACCCATGGCGTCGGGTGGCGTGGCAGAGGACAGAAAGGACAGAATGCAGGGACACACCCACTCATGATGCTGGGAGAAAGGACATAATGGATCGGGGAATGCACCTGGTGCGTACCTCTGTGTACGCACACATATGTGTGCACCTGGTGACACGCCCATACTAAATGGCATGCGCACACACCTGGTGACACGCCCATACTAAATGGCATGCGCACACAGCTGGTGACACGCCCATACTAAATGGCATGCGCACACACCTGGTGACACGCCCATACTAAATGGCATGCGCACACACCTGGTGACACGCCCATACTAAATGGCATGCGCACACACCTGGTGACACGCCCATACTAAATGGCATGCGCACACACCTGGTGACACGCCCATACTAAATGGCATGCGCACACACCTGGTGACACGCCCATACTAAATGGCATGCGCACACACCTGGTGACACGCCACATGCCCCCCCCCACACACACCTGGTGACACGCCAAGTGACATGGCCCCCCCCACACACACCTGGTGACGTTGAACGTCTCTGTGCGGCTGCCCAGCTGCGTGGCGTCCGCCACAGCTTTGAGTGGAGTGCCACCAGGTGTACCAGGCCTTGAGACTCGTGGAACTAGTGTAACACAAGGTGACATGCCAAGTGACATGCCAAGTGACATGCCAAGTGACATGCCAAGTGACATGCCAAGTGACATGCCAAGTGACATGGCCCCCCCCACACACACCTGGTGACGTTGAACGTCTCTGTGCGGCTGCCCAGCTGCTTGGCGTCCGCCACAGCTTTGAGTGCCGCGGCACACTCGAGGCTGAAGAGCGAGCAGGAGTGAGAGGCGAGGGGGGCGAGGAGGCTTTCAGTCTCTGTCGGGTGGAGGGAAGGAAACGGAAAGGAGAGGTGTGGGGGGTTGCAAAGCCTTGAGCGGCGCGGCACACTCGAGGCTGAAGAGAGAGCAGGAGCGAGAGGCGAGGGCAGCGAGAAGGCTTTTGGTCTCTGGCAGGTGGATGGGAGGCAGAGGAGAGGGAAGCAACAGAAACGTGGAGAAGGGGGAGCAAAAGCATCTGTCAGAGCCTTGAGCGCCGCCGCACACTCGAGGCTGAAGAGTGAGCAGGAGCGAGAGGCGAGGGCAGCGAGAAGGCTTTTGGTCTCTGTTGGGTGGAGTTAAGGAAACGGAAAGAAGAGAGGTTGGGGAAGTGAGAAACGTGGCGTTTTGAATTGACTTATGGACTGGCGACTTGCAGCGTTGAGATGTTTCAAAGCCCGTGACCTTACCATGGTTTCCGAGGAGAGAGAGAGCGTTGCTGGCGCAAGAGAAGCAGGCAGGAAGAGAGAAGCAGTGAGGCAGGGAGAGAACTGACCTTGCTTGCCGAAGCGCAGACAAGAAAAGGAGGAGCGGAACTCATTCTTTCTGGAATCCGCCCGGCCAGGCTGGAAAGGCGGCTGCGAGGAGGCCATGGCGTTGCGCACATAGGCCAGCGCGTCGTAGGCCTGAGAGAGGCTCCTGGCGGGCCTGACAGCTCGTAGGTTTGAGAGTGTGTTGCTGGCGTGAGAGCAGCAGGCAGGACGAGGGAACCAGTGAGTAAGCGAGAGAACTGACCTTGCTTGTTGAACTGCAGACGAAGAAAGGAGGAGCGGAACTCGTTCTTCCTGCTGTCTGCCCGGCCAGGCCTGAAGGGCGCGTGTGAGGAGGCCATGGCGTTGCGCACATAGCTTACTGCGTCATATGCCTGAGAGAGGCTCTTCAAGGGCTTGAGAGAACTGACCTTGCTTGCTGAAGCGCAGGCAGGCAAAGGAGGAGCGGAACTGGTTCGTTCTGGAGTCAGCACGCCCAGGCTGGAAGGGCGCGTGTGAGGACGCCATGGCATTGCGCACATAGCCTACTGCGTCATATGCCTGAGAGAGGCTCTTGGAGAGGTAGGAGCGGGTTTCAGCGGGCTTGGGGATGAGCGAGGAGAGGGGAGGCGGGAGAGACGCTTCTGAATCGCTGCAAGGGGACGAGATGACAGAGAGGGTGGAAGGAAAGAGGGGGAGAAGAGAGATTATTAGACGGAAGTGAAAACGGTTGAGAGGGCTTCTGTGCATGAAAGGCTGGCATGTGGAAAAATGTTTTCTTACTCAACCCGAAAATCGGGTTAAGGAGCCACCAAAAGTCATGGAATGGCGGGAGTGTGGTGAGCGTGAAATCGCGGGAGTAGGAGATGAGTGGTGTGACGTACCTTGATGAGTCGACAATGGCTGGGACGGCACTGGCCTATGTGTCGGCAGGTAGCGAGCGGTGCAGGGCGGGGACAAAAGCTATTGCCAGCTGACTTTTGCAACAACTCAAAAGTTGCAACGGCTGGGAGCATATTGGCAGGTAGCGAGCGGTGCAGGGCGGAGACAAAAGCTAATGCCAGCTGGCGCACGGCTGGGCGGTCCATGGGGATGGAAGGGAGTGCAACGTACCTTGCGGGTTCAGCGGTGACGGAAGGTTGCGAGCGGTGCAGGGCGGAGACAAAGGCTACTGCCAGCTGGCGCACGGCTGGACGATCCAGCACGGCTCGATGGCAGCGCAGGGCCAGACAGGTGGCGTGTGGGAGATGGTACACGTGGATCTGTGGGATTGGGGAGATGATGGTACACGTGTATCCAACCATTGAGTCCAGTGGACGAGACGGATAAGGAGAAGGGAGGGAAGAGAAGGGAAACACATACAGAGGAGGGAAGCCTGGGATCGGAGGAAATTAGAAATGGGGAGAGAACATGATACTTGGCTTGCTGTGGTGGATAGGCTCAACGGTTCAACAACTCAAGCTCAGGACAGGACAGGACAGGACAGGACAGGACAGGACAGGACAGGACAGGAGGGAGCAGAATGCAGAAACGGACTGCGGGGGGAAGGAGAATAGGCAGGCGAAACATTCACTGGAAAGCCACAACAAGAAGAAATAAAACAATTGCCAGACAAGCTTTTCCTTGCGACTCAGTGCTACCCAGTGCGACCCAGTACGACCCAGTACGACCCAGTACGACCCAGTGCGACCCAGTGCGACCCAGTGCCACTCAGCGCCACTCAGAAGACCCTTGATAGCTACCTGCAAGGCGTCAGCGGGTGCTTCCCCATGAGCTGCTGTGATTGGCTGGTTCAACTCCATCTCCACTATCCTGTGCAGATCCTCCGCTTTAACAGCGCCCTTGAATTTACCGGTGACCTTGATTCCACCACTGCCTTCCATTGCACTATCTTCTAGGAATTCACCTTCCCCATCACCACCATCACCATCAATTTTCCCATCACCATCACCACCATCACTTTTCCCATCACCATCACCATCACCATCATCACCATCCCCATCCCCATCCTCTGCATCCTCAAACTCATCCTCCTCTTCCTCCTCCTCCTCCACTCCCCTCTGGTCCGCCACGTCTGCTGCAGATAACTTCTTAAATTCTGCTTCCATTGCTGATGTAGACTTCTCACCCTCACCACAAGCATCCCCGAACACGTCACTCCCTTGGTCTTTCTTCGCCACGTCAGACTCTTCCCCGTTCTCGAGGCTGCTGGGGTCGTTATCCAATGGCGCAGCAGCCTCCCAAGCTGCCACGTCATCAATGCTTCGGGCAGCTACAGTGATTGGTTTCGGATCACGGCACAAGTGTAGTTCAAGCGGACCGCCGGTTTTACCCTGGCCGACAACTCGGGCAAGCAGGAAAGGAAATTTCGACCCAAGCTCCTTCGCTGCTTGTTGGACATTGTCAAGAGAAAGCTGTTCGGAAAACTGTAGACCGACGACGCCGAGCCCGGTTCCCATCTCCATCGCACGACACCAAAGCTCTTCGTCCGTGGAGAGCGGGCGACATGCGACGGGTCCCTGCGACTCGCACGTCGCAGAGCCGCAGGCCGCGTCCTTCGTCACGCTGGTGCTCCAGAACATTATCAGATATTACTCGACCAAATATAAAGATTGACGCCACTTACTATAATCGACGGTCTAACAGTGAAATTCCTAAATCTACCGATGGTGTGATATTCTCTCAAGCTACTAGAATTGAGCTGGAAGCATCTGCCTGACTAGCCATTCATGTCGTGACGCGCTAGAGAGTGCTGCATCGGTTCAGTTGCGTACAGTTCTGTATGGTTTCACTGTTTACATACAAAACATAACGCCCCAACTGAATTCATAGGATGGCTTTCTTCTATTCCGTTCCGACTCCCGAACATCCCGAGGTTTTTCATATCACTGAGGAGCAATCAACTTTTTTAAGAGCTGCAGTACGGTAACAAGAGTTTATCTTCGGTTGTGTGACATAACAATGAGTTGGATCACACATCAATGACAACCTTGAACCCGCACTTCAAATTCTGGTCAGCTCAGTTATCTGAAATCTACTTTTTCGTAGCCGGTGATTTCTAGGGAGCTATCAGGCCTCTGGCTCATCATTCTCACCCCAACCGACGTATGCCATAGCTTTCGCATTGTCCCTCCATTTGATCAGTGATCGTATCCTGGTCACGGCCTGAACGCCAGGCGTACTCGCAAAACATAACTTGACTCTGGGTTCATTCCGCCTCAAGAATTCCCACGATCCAGATTTTTTAAACTCCCTATCTTCTTCTGATGAATTGAAGCCTTGTCGTGATACCTGCCAGTATTTCGCATTGGAAAAGCGTCTTTCTTGAATCGTACGGCGGGGAATAAACCGGCTGCGTCTGATCAGACGGTCGAGATGTCGTTTTGGGGTGCGTCACTAAAATGAGATTGTATTGAGAGTGTGAGGACTGCTCTTTAGAGTGTGCGCGTACGATTTTCTTAAAATTTTGGGGATTCTTTTTCTCTGGGTGTGATTCGTCTGAGCCCTCTTCGCCTTCTTCTGCTGCAGTTTCTGCTTCCACTCACAATCGGTTCTTGCTGCCGACACATTCTCTGCTTCTTATCTGATCACTTAACAGGTGTGGAGGTGAAGGCGGGTGAGACGGTGGTGGTGGATCCCACAGAGCATGACTTCGACTACATACACCTGTCCCAGGTACCACCTGTCTCAGGTATACCTGCACGCAACTGCGAAATGCCATGAGTTCGACATAAAACTCGATTCTGAGACGACTTCGACTTCATACACCTCTCCCAGGTACCACCTGCGTTGCACTGCATGCACCATTGGCAGATACTGAGAGTTCTCAACTTATTTTTTTTCACCTGAATTGTCTCAAATCACGGTGGTGGTGGATCCCACAGTACATGACTTTGACCACATACACCTGTCCCAGGTACCACCTGCACTGCACGAATCTCCCAGGTATACTGCATGCGCCTGTCCCAGGTATTCCTTCACTGCACTGCACGCACCGGTCCCTGGCACACCGGCACACATTTGCTGCATGTCAGTGTTTCATGTGAAAGTTCGTCCACTTAGCATTGGTGTCGCGTGCAACAAAGCCTTGCAGGCAACACCAATGACAAGTGGACGAACTACAAGCGAACCAAATGTCACTCATGTGTAACATGGAGAACGGCGTCCAATGCTTGCGCAATCGTATTCTCCCCCCACCCCCCCGACACACACACTCCCCTGCTCACGTGCAACCATGTCCTACTCCTTCCTCTACTCGCATGCAACCCACCCACGTCTCAACCACTTGATGGCAGGCGAGTCTGGGTGAGGCGGCTAGCGACCATTAGCGGGTGGTGCTCAAGGTTCTACCGGTGACAGGTCTGATGGTGATGACAGCGATGGTACTGATGACAATGACAATGATTCTCCGCTCTCCCTTCTCACTGGCAGGCGAGTCTGGGCGAGGCAGCCAAGGACCACGAGCGCGTGGTGCTCAAGGTGCGACAGGTGGAATTCCCCGAAGACTCTGATGACTCTGATGACGACAATAGCGATGACAGCGATGATATCGATGATAGCGATGATAGCAAGGGCAAGCCGGGCAAGAAGTCGTTTGCAGTGGGGCCGGAGGTGGTGGTGGGAGTGCTGGTGAAGGGGCGGGTGGACTTCGCATGGATCACATCTTCGACCGCCAGTTCAGCCTGGCCCACACGGGCAGCCACAGCGTGTTCTTTTCGGGATATAAGACCTCTAATGCCACTGGTGTTGACTCCCTGTATGGTGAGTGATTGTGTGGTGACTTCTTGTACGGGGAGACTTCCCCCACCATGGCCATGTGAGCATGCGTAGGCCATATCTTTGACCGCCAATTCAGCCTGGCTCACACGGGTAGTGACAGTGTGTTCTTGAGCCTCTCAGTGGTGAGTGTTTGTATGTCGGGTGCTTGGATTGTGAGTGCTTGTATGGTAGAAATATGCCATTTTAGGGTTGTCTCCCGTGATTTAGGTTCCTTCACGGTGAAACGCATCGAGCTGTTTCGAAAATCTCTGCTTATGTGCACACTTGGTATTGTGCGGTGCGTTGCAGATGAGGACGAGGAAATTGAGGAAGATGAGGAGGACGAGGAGGAGGAGGAGGAGGACAGCGATGAGGATGACGATGAGGAAGAGGAAGACGAGGCGATGGAAGGCAGTGAGGACGAGGAAGCAGCTGCAGCAGCCATGGCAGGTGAGATGGGAAGGGACTGAGTGAGGTGCTACCTGTGCCATGTGACTGGAATCACAGCGAGTAAGGCAAGCTTGGAGTACCGACGCGGGTCAGGTGTACCACTTCACTCCGCATTTCTGAGTGTGTGTCGTGGGTCAAAATTTCCACATGGCCTATGTCTGCCGTTCTGTGATTAGAAGGTCTGTCTTTTACTTCATGTGTAATGCATTCACTATCTCGTTATCCCCCTCGTCTTCCATCTCCAGCCGAGAAGTCGTCAAAGGGAATGGCTGCAGCTGCAGCGGCTGCTGTTGAGAAGAGAGGTAAGATTCGTCTCCCTTTTTTTCTCTACTGTTGACATTTCTAAAAGAGTTGTCAGTGCATTGCGAACCTTTTTCCGTTTCCAGCTTCTGACCCTCACCTTCCTCCCACACCTGCTTCTCCATCGTCCATCGTCCATCGCCCATCTCCCATTTCCCATTGTGTTTTGCCATTCCCCACTGCCATCCGCCCCAAATCATGCCATCCGCGCCCAGATCATGCCTGCTCCCCTTGCAGCGAATATACGTCTCAAATCCCTGTTACCCGTTGCTCACTACCCTCAGAACACACCCCTTAATATTTCCTGCCCTTGTTCTGCTGCAGCACGCATCAAGTCAGGAAAGAAGGGCACTCCAGTGCCATCCCCAGCAGGGGGAAGAGGGGCAGCAGCAGCAGTTGAATCAAAACATGCCGCCCGGTGCTCATCCCATCCCCCACTAATATCATTCCTGCCTGTGTTCTGCTGCAGCACGCATCAAGTCAGGAAAGAAGGGCACTCCAGTGCCATCCCCAGCAGGGGGGATAGGGGCAGCAGCAGCAGCAGCAGCACCAGCAGCAGCAGCATCAAAGCAAGGAACTCCAATGGCGGCAAGAGCGGAAGGCAAAGATTCCGCACCGCGGAACGGGAAAGAAGTGACACCAAAGAAAGAGGTCAGTTCATGATTAAAAAAAACAAGGTTTGGCTAATAAGAGACGACTTCTGAGGCGCCTCGATTGTGGACCCACTCTTTTCTCAGTCAGAATGGGAGAAGACAAAGGTGGGTGAGCGAAGCAGGAGAGGTTATAGCAAAAAAAGTGGTACATGCGACTGGAGAATGAGAACCAGATATTCATGTTTGTGGGTCAAAATTCGAGCACTGTGCTTTCAAATTTTCAAACTGCCCGATTCTCATATTTCATTACATTGTTGGCTCACATGATAGCGGTGACTGTCTGTACACTGTGCTGCAGATTGCATGTCCATGCAACTCCTGCCGCCTGCAACGCAGCGAAAGTCATAGTGTTTCTGCTCTTATCCCTCCTTCACCCTCCCTCGCACGCCCCTCTATCAGCCTGTGACGGGCAGCAAGCGGGCATCAGTGAGCATCGTGACTCCGCCCTCCTCGAAAGGCAAGGGGGAGAAGACTGAGCGGAAGAAGCCTCGCCCTGACACCCCCGCTGCCGTCAAGACTGCAGGTGGGATGAGGGAATTGTGTTTGTGACGGGCAGCAAGCGGGCATCAGTGAGCATCGTCACTCCGCCCTCCTCGAAAGGCATGGTGGTGAAGACGGGTGAGCGGAAGAAGCCTCGCCCTGACAAACCCGCTGCCGTCAGGTAGGGTGCAGGAAAGGTGGTTGTTAGCTCATTAAAGTCGTAAGTTCCCCACGCCCCGGCTATCGTCAAGGCAATAGATGGAATGAGGGAAAAGAAGGGCGGGGTATTGAGCGCATGACACTTTTAGCCGCCCCATACCGTGACAGTGCTGGTGCTGTCAAGACAGCGGGTGGGTTGAGGGAAGAAGATGATGTGGTATTGAAGTTATGAGAGTCGTGGGCACCTCACGCCCTGACACTGTTTGAGAATCCGTAAAAGTTGCTTCTTTACACCCAAATCCACAAACATGGTCTTGCCTGTTGCTGTTGTGAGCAGCCAAGGTGAAGCCGCAGGCAGCTGCAACAGTAACCTCTCCTCAGGCCCAGAAGGTACTTGGAAGGCTCACGCTCTCTCCATTCTGCTCCAACTCCTTTCCTAACTGATGCATCAGAATGCTACGCAATCTAAAATGTCGACTCGTGTCACTGTCGCCTAATTTATGGTATTACCATTCTCTACCCCATGCCTCCATAACTCCTCCCCCCTTCCCCACCCTGCATGGACTGCTTTCTGGAATGCGCAAGTCGCCTACTCCTGTTCCGATCACCTCGCCATCGACTCCTAAATCAGGCTCCTTCCCATGCACAGCATGTTCCAAGTAAGACCTTTGTATCGTTTGTGTCTTATCAATGTAATTTGCGCTTGCCTTGCTCTTGTGTCTTTTTTCTTTACATGCTCCGAGTGCCAAAGCATTTGACCCCTTTTCGTCCCAAACTCAATGTCATTTGTCTTGCAGGAGATTCACGTCTTCTGACTCCTTAGCAAACCATGTCAAGGCGAAGCACCGCACAGGGAAATAGTGAAGCAACCCTGGTGTTATCGCTAGTTCGTCATCCTGTCTTAATGCTTGTTTTATACTCAAACGCTTGTATACTCAGCAACAAAATGGTTATACAAACGGAACGGACTAGCACAAGCGGGTTTAACAGCTTTCCGTCGTCTGAATTCAACACAAGCACAGTTGTGTTCATTTCCCCACAAGTTGTGACGGGCACGTGAAGTGCGAGTTTTAGTTTTGTGTCCCAATTACCCTTTCGCGCAATTCATTTCGCAGTGCCCTCATTCAAAGCACAACAGCGTGAGCCAGAGGGACGGACCGGTACTTAGCGGGATCTTAAATTGTAATCACATTTGTCACCACCCAACCTCGAAGGGTCATTCTTGTGCAGCTCCTGACGGACAGAGTCTCTGACAATGACATAAAAGCGTCCGTTTTGCTGACGTGGTTGGACGTGTTGTTTTTTGTTTGTTTGTTTGTAGGGGACATGAGTGTACGACATGTGCACTCCTCCCCCACCCCCCCGTGCCTTCGTAGGGCGGTGATGATATGGAGACGGCACGGCAGTTCTCCTGCGGAGCGGAGGTGACGGGAACATTGGGGTTGGGGGACACGCTGCCTGACATGCGCCTTGGCTTTTGTTCCCTGCACACCTGCCCCTCACCAAGCCACCGACTACTACGGTTTTGCACCAACCTCAAGGCCTCATCCGTCCGTCGAGAATGGCCTGGCATCATCGCAACCGTTAAAGTCCCTACGACGTCAGGCACACCCTGAAAGGAGCTTCGCGATTTCTGCCACTGTACCGAAACATAAACTGGTAACCAGGGTCGTCGAAACCGAATTCTCCCGTGGCGACTTGCGCCAGAATCCACAACAGGTTGCGCCTCTCTAAGCGCAACAACTGTTAGCCTTCCTCAACCCTAATTTGCGCCCTTGCCCGCAGAACATCCTCTCCTCCTGCGCTCAACCTCCCCTCCTCTCATCCCCTTCCTGGCAAAGTGGTCCCAAGGTATTCTGTTAAACCTACAGAACCAGCTCTAACCCCTACAGAACCAGCTCCAAACCCGTCAACTCTGTACGCCCCGTCAACATGTAACAGCCCTTTTGTTCTTTCTCCCTTCCCCTTTCCCTTCCCTTCCCCTCATCCTTCTGCGTCCCATCTCCCATCCGTTGCGCGCTCCCCATCATCTCCGCGCCCCAACCCTAGTCATTCCGCCACCCCACCCGCCCAACGTGCGCAAGCTGCCTGACCGACTGCTTCCCCCGCCTGGCACCTGCAGCGCAACCGCCTTCTCCAAGTATCTATTCCAGCCCATTCGTCCGCCATGGTCTCCCTTCTCTTTCCTTCCCTTGGCTTGTTGCCACTTGCTGCTGCCTGTTGTTGTTGCTGCTCCATGTGCTTCACTGGTCGCTTGCAACCTCCCAACCTTTTTCACATGATTCCCACTGAAGGTAACAGCCACATTTCAGCTGAAGGCAAGAGCAAGATAGTAACTTAGGTCAAGCCGCACAGCGTTTAATCCGCGCAGCAACAGCTAGCTCGGCTGCGCTAGAGCAAGGTAGTAACTTCAGCGTGTAACCTTCGTAGCAACTGCTAGCACGGCTGCGCTCGCTAGTTTCTTCGAACCGTACTTCACAATTTCGTATAAATATGGAGTCATCTACAGAAGCGAATGAAGAAACAGCTGATACATGCGATTGATTAGAGCTCAGATTCGCATGTACGACAGATACAAACGGTCTTCTTTCGCCTTTACGGTAGGCCTGTTATACTCTCGCTCGGCTGTTTTTCCCTTCACAAACTTCGCCGCTGTTTGATTTGGCCTACGTGCACTAGTGCACTAGCCGTGTATTTTAGGGTTCCAGCGTTCTTGGATGAATCGTATCCGTCTACTTCCGGGTTCCATGCAGTTATTGGCGTAGATGTCATCCTAGCCGTACATCTCGCCGTCCGCCTCTCTTCTCCCGAGCAGCCGCGAATCCCGGCAACCGCGTCCAGCGGGGCCATGGGTTCGCGAAGCAGCTCTGGCAAGTCCGGAATCTCCTTTCTAACAGGCTGGGCAGTTTTTCTAATATGCTCACTACTATGCGCGCATTCGCTGCTCGCGGAAAGCACCAACTTTGCCAGTAGCGCCGATACCGCTGATAGCTCACGGCTCAACAGCTTTGCTCCCTGGAGAGGCTTGTCATCTATCTTATCAAGACTGAGACCCAGATTCGGTCAGAGATTCGGACATTTGCTGGCGTTTTGGGATGACACGTCAGCAGCTGCGGGTAGGACCTTGGAGGTATCGGAAGGAAACCAAAAGGCGGCGGAGTTGAGGAGTAGCCGTCATCTTCTCCGTCTTTTGGTCGCGACGCCGCAGCCGTTAACAGCTAAGGCCGTGACGGGCGCTGTTGGAACCGCCGTGAAATCCGTTGTTCAAACCGCCGTGAAAGCTGCTGCGGGTAAATTAGTGCATAAACCTGTCGCGAAAGCAGCTTCCCCGGCTAGTTCCAAGGTTGGGCCCAAAACGGCGAGCACCGCTGCTAGAGCTCAGCCGATGCATAAACGCGGCGAGAAAAACGAACGAGGAGATGGCGGAAGAGGCGGGGACAGAAGAGACGGCGGGAAAGGCGGAGGCGGAAGAGAAAGCGGAAGAGGCGGAGACGGGAGAGGTCCTCCTTGCGACCCGAACAGGAACCCTAGGAACTGTAGGAGCTGGAAGGGCCGCGGTTGGCCGGAATGGCAGCAAGGGAGAAGCAACGGGGGAGGCGACGACGACGACGGGCCGTACGGCGACGACGATTACGACGATAACGACGACTATGCGACCCCAACACCAACGCCGTCTCCGCCGCCGCCGCCGCCGCCGCCGGGGGAGGAGATGGAGAGCGAGGATCGGTGGTGGGAGGGCGGGCGCGCGCACGTGATGTGCCACGATCGGGAGTGCACGCGGAGCAAATGGGCGGGATACGTGCCGGATGTTGCGGGGACGGGCGGCGCGGGGAGCGGCGTGGCGAGCGGCGCGTGGGTTCCTGGGATTGCGTCGGGCGGGCCGACGGAGGTCGTGCGACTGGGAATGGGCGACAGCGCGACGACGACGACGGCGATGTTCGAGTCGACGACGACCCCGCCCATCCCGCCTGACGCCGTCGCGCTGGGGTTCCCCGCAGGACAGGTGAGACGTGAGCGGGTAGCGAGGGAGGAGCGGAAGGAGGGGAGGGGCGGAAGGGCAGGTGAGATGTGAGACGGGAGCGGGGGAGGGTTTTTTTGAGTCGACAACGACCCCGCTCATCCCGCCTGACGCCGTCGCGCTGGGGTTCCCCGCGGGACAGGTGAGACGTGCGCAGGGAGCGGGGGTGGGAGAGGGAGCGGCGGAAGGAAAGGCGTGATTCGCAGGGCATAAGGACCGGGCGAGCGAGGGGAGGGAAGGGAAATGGCGGGGGCGGGAGGGAATGGGGGATGGGAGGAAGAGTGAGGAAGCGAGAGTGGTTGAAAGGGTTGCTGTCGTGTCCACCCATAGCGGCTCATTGCTGTCGTCCCTGGGCGTGGTGACAGCTGCAGCAGTCAGCAGTGCTGCATGGCTCTTGAATTTGTTTCCTCCTTTCTCTCTCCCTCCTTTCATCCCCGCCATCCGCCCCAGGCCATGCTCAACGCGTCCCTGGGTGTCGTGATATCCACAGCAGCAGCAGCCGCCACCAGCAGCGGTGGCGTGACGGTCACCGTGTCTTACAGCATCCTTGTCTTTCCGGTTGACTCCACCACCAACACCTTGCATTTCTCTTCTCTCTGTACCCCTATCCTTCCCTCCTTTAGCCCCAGGCCATGCTCAATGCGTCACTGGGCGTCGTGACATGACATCCACAGCAGCAGCAGCCGCAAGCATTGCTGCAGGCGTGACTCTTGAATTTGCTTCCTCTCCTCCCTCTCCTCCCCTCCTTTTGCCCCAGGCCATGCTCAACGCGTCTCTGGGAGTCGTGACATCCACAGCAGGCGCCAGCGGCAGTGGCGTGACAGTGACGGTGACTTATAACATCCTCGTCTTTCCAGTTGACACCACCACGCTCTCATGCTCCCCCTCCCTCCTGTTCCTCCCCGCCGTCCCCCTCAGGCCATGCTGAATGCGTCCCTAGGCGTCGTGACGTCCACAGCAGCCGCCATCGGCAGTGGCGTGACAGTGACGGTGACTTACAACATCCTCGTCGTTCCAGTTGACGCCACCACTGCCAGTGCCTCTGCGGGCACTGGCAACACTGGTAACACCGGCAACACTGGTAACACCGGCAACACTGGCAGCACCGGCAGCACTGGTAGCACCGGCAGCACTGGTAGCACCGGCAGCACTGGTAGCATTGGAAACACCGGCAGCGCTGGTAGCACCGACAGCGGCAGCACCACAAGCAGCACTGGTAGCACCGCCAGTACAGATAGCAGCGGCAGCGCCGGCAGCACAGGCAGTACTGATACCGGCAGCACCAGCAGCACCGGCAGCACCGGCAGCATTGGCAGCACCGAAAGCACTGGAAGCAATGGGAGCAGCGGGAGTGCAAATTCCAACACAGCAACGGACACCAGCAGCGGTAATACTGCGTCGGGTTCAGCCTCGAATTCTGTTTCTCCTTCCGTCTTTCCGAATCCATCCTCATCCCAGACCGTTTCCATAGCTGCGGTTTCAGACAGCAGCAGTGCTGCCGGCTCAACAGGCAGCAGAGGCTTGACAAGCACACAGGGACAGCAGCAGCAGCAGCAGCAGTTACTCCAACCCTTTACACCAGCCCGATGGTTCTTAACCGGTCCTGATGCCCGCGCTGCCGCCGCTGCTGCCACTGGCGGTGCCAGCGCAGCTTCTGCATCTGCCATGTCAGCTTCCAAGCCATCTGCCACGTCAGCTTCAAAATCAGCATCCACGTCAGCAGCAGCGTCAAAGTTCGCGACAGCAGCGACAGGGACAGCAGCAGGGGGGGCAGTGAATGGCGGTGTGCCGTCTGGCACCCCGCAGTGCCGGGAGGGGCCGTATGTGAGCGCTGCGCTGGTCCCTCTTGGCAAGTGCCAAGTGAAAGCCACAGCTAGTTCGAAATTTGTGAGGTATGTTTTGTCTCTTTCTCATTGTCTCTTCCTGTGGGGATCCTGATATGAAGGTCACTCTTTGTCGAAATCTGCTGTGTTCACTCTATGCTCCTTGTTTTTCCTGTGGTTATTCCTGATATGAAGGTCACTCTCTGTCTAAATTTGTCGTGTTCACTCTCTGTTGGTTGCTTTTTTTCCTCCTTCCACCCTACTCTCTCCCACTCTCTGCAACCTCCTCTCAGGATAAACAAGGCGTGGTATGCCAAGCTGTCATATGGGGAACCCGCCGCTTCCAAATCATCCTCTGTGGTCTATGTAGGCTGCCAGCGGAAATACACTTTTCAGGTACCCAATTTTCAGGGGCAGGTGCGCCAGGGCCCGGTCACACTGCGCGTGTGCCAGGCGGGCACAGCTAAAGCATCCACTTGTGGACCGGTTACCATGACTTCAGCAGTACCTTACTGTGGCTAGCAAATTGACGTGTTTGCTTCCATATACGTTTTTAGTGTGTTATAGTAGTTGATTGGTGGTGATTCAATGTCACCAACATCTTTTATTCCTTTATTCTTCCCTCATCAATGCAATCACTACACAAACCAGTAAGGTAAAGAAGACGTGTTTAGTTACCTTAGTATTTGGGCATTCCGTACACCCAGAGTAATATATGGGTGCGCCCTAGAGCGCGACTTATCAATGAATTCTACCTGGTGCGCCGTCACGTCACCACCACGAATCTCGCAAAGCAACTGAGTTGTCTCGTGATCCACGGTAGCACTCACTCGAAGCTCACACGACATCTTAAACGTTCCGGGTGACGTAAATATCTGGGCTCTGAAGTTTGACCCTCAAATTACACATGATACAGTATCGAAACTTGCCTCCCCATGAAGTCAGTTCTGGCTACACGAGGCTTTCGCCGAACGGGGTCTAGTCGACCCTGATAAATCGCGGCGCCGCACTCAAGGGCACGTAACGCGACTCCAAATGTCGCCCCTCTATCCACCACTCCACTGCAGTCTCGTTTGCCTCGTTCTTCCCTTCCCTTCCCTCGCCGCCATCCAACTTTGTTGCTTGCGTGCGGCACCCACCCAGCAAGTCCTCGCCTCGACCTGCCTTCCGTGCCGGGCCATACAGCACCCCTCACCGCAGGATATTCTATCCCGAACCCTACCAAACCATCTTTACCGTAAATAACCCCCACACCATGACAACTTGTTTACGAGTGAACCAGCTCGTCTCGTCTCCTCAACACCCTCATCCCCCGCTGCACGACAACCATCTCTCTGCCCCTATCCCTCATCCCTCATTCTCCGCATTCAATACCATGGCGTGCTTGTCGTGTCAAGTTACGAGTTTCCTTCCCCTCCTTCCCATTCAGGCCTTTAGGGCTAGCGGGTCAACAGGCTAGCGCGCACGCGAGCAGCACCAATCCTCGCAAGCGCCTGTTTGTCGTTTCCAGCTGGCTCCGCAGGAGACTTTGCGGCATGGAATGGACCGCAGGGATGCTCGCGATCTCTCTTCACAACACTAGCAGAACAATTTCGATCCGACGAATGTTTTCTCGTCCTATCGCCGCCCCCTCGTTTTCTTGACACTTTTGTCCCGAGGTAGCACTCCGAGCTTGCAGTGTTGACAGGCTATGGCCTCCCAAGCTTGGGGAAAACGAGCGACCACAAGGCGGACTGAGATGCTACAGTCGTAGCTTGTAGAACGAATATGCGCGGCTCGTAGATTGTCTTGAGCCTAGAGGCGCTTGTAGAGCCTATGTTCGATGCTACAGTAGTGGCGCTGCTCACTCTTGGCGAGCAGGGATTCGCTATTATTTCCCGCCAGAAACCGACTCGCTAACGCGAATAAAGGATTAAAAATAAGATGGCACGCGATCGCCGAAGGTGGCTCTTCCGAATTCAAATGTGGATTCTAATCTTCGTTATTGTAACACCGCATATAGTCTCCATAGCCACGGCCACGGCCTTCGATACTAAAACGTCGGCCGCAGAGACCGTTGCAGCCGAATTGGCGCGCGGTGGGAGACACCTTTTGCCTTGGAGCGTCAGCATCGTATTTAATCGCCAACGACGGCATGAATTAGCTGCTGATGCGGCTGGCTCGTTTGCTGCGTCCGACGCTGCTTCTGCGTCTGTTGATGTCGAACCGAGGCAGTTCAGTTCGGAAGGAGGCTCGGTGCGGAGGACGCTCGCTACAATCAATACTAAGACAGCCGGTAGTGCCGTTAACGGTGGCAGCAGCGCCGGCAGCAACGGTGGTAGTACCGGCAACACCAACAGCAGCACCAGTACTAGCAGCAATAGCAACAGTTCTGGGAATAATAACGATTGGCTTAGGAACAATGCAGCGGGCAACTCTAGCAGTAATAACGGGGGTAGTAAGTCGCAGCCTGTTGGTAGCAACAGCGGAGATTCCACTAGCAGCGGAGCGGTTAATAAAGGGAACAGCAGCAACAGCAACAGCAACAGTAACAGTAACAGTAACAGTAACGGAAACGGTAACAATAACAGTAACAGCTCAAGTGGCGGCGTGGACAGCATGATTGTAACAGTAACGCCGACGATTCCGGAAGATGCGGTGGCCGCAGGCCTGCCGGCCGGCAAGGTACGGCCGTTTTTCTTGACTGCAAGCCGTTCGTGAGCTATGGTAAAAAAACACTCCTCGCGAGCTATGGTAAAAAAAAAATGTACTAAGGATAACTAGCTCCACAGCTCATGTTTTGTCGCTTCCCCTACTCCTCCAGTTGTAGTATTCCTTGGTCCGCCGTCCCAAGATATCTCTCCTTTGCCTCCCCCCTCCCCGCTCCACCCTCCTCTCTCCCCTTTCCCCTCCCCCCTGGGCCCGCTTCTCCCCTGCCCCCTCTCCCCGCACAGGCGGTGGTAAACGCCACGGTGGACATTCAGGAGGAACCTTCCCCGAACGGCACCGCCACGCAGCCCGTGGTACGCGCTGCTGTCGTCCTCGTTAACGATGTCAGGACACTAGGACAGAAGTACACTAAGAAATGAAAGTTGTGTTATATACATATGTATATACATATGTATGTTGAATATATATGCATCGGCTTATGCAACGACGGAGATGTGTACGAGCGAGAGGTTTTCTCAGCGGATGACCCCATCTGCCTGTTGTGCCAGCTCACCGCTCGCCCCACTCGATTTCGTTTCTTTCTTCTATCCGAACAACAGAAGCTCACATCTCCTTCTCCCTTCTCCCTTCTTCCGCCGCTCGCCCCTCTCTGCCTCTCAGGCCGTTTTTAACTACGACGCCTTCTATCTCCAACTTCCCGACACCTCCCCCACCCCTCCTCCCCGCTCGCCTCCCTCTTCTCCATCTCCTCCCACTCCTTCTTTCTCACCACCAATTTCCAAATCACCACCACCCCTTCCCTCCTCTTCCTCCACCTCTCCTCCCCTTCCACCTAATTCGGGGACCCTCCTATCCGACACGTCAGGGCCCCCGTACGAACCTCCCGGTTCGGGGCAAACTTCAGGTTCGGGAGGTGGGCCTGCAGGTTCGGCAGGAGGCGCGGGAGGTTCGGGAGGTGGGTCCGCAGGGTCGGCAGGGGGACCCGGTGGTTCGGGAGGAAAGGGGCAGAGCAAGCCTCAAAAGCCCTCACCTCCTCCCTCGTCCACATCTCCATCTCTCCCTCCTCCTCGCTCCTCCTCCCCCTCCTCCCCTCCGCGTAAGCCTCCCTCACAATCCTCCGCCCAATCTCCCTCTCTTACAAAACAACCGCCTCCCCAACCAAAGCAGCCGCTGCCGTCGCCCACCAAAGCACCCTCAGCTTCTCCTGCTGCGCACCCCAAAGGAAAACCCGTCAGACCAAAGAGGCCAACCTCCCAATTCTTCCCTTCCTCTGAATCAAGCAGTATCGGCGCTAGCAGCAGCAGCAGTAGCAGCATGAGCAGTGGCAGTGGAAGCGATAGCAGCAGCAGCAGCAGCAGCAAGCCCAAAACCACCACCAGGTCATTTTCTCTCGCCACTACTGCCTCTGTAACCACACCAGTGGTAACCACACCACCCGCAACCCCACTATCCGGAAAAGAAGAGGCGGCGCAAGCGGAGAGGCAGCAGGAGCAACAGCAGCAGCAGCAGCGGATCCTGGAGTGGCATCGGCAGCAGCGGGAGAAGCAGAGGGAGAATCCGCAGGTGCTGGCAATGGCCATGGCGGACCAAGCTGCAGCCAAGTTCCCCTCCTACACGCCCTACTGCTCTGCTGGGCCTTACGTCACGGCGGTTCTGATACCATTGGGCAACTGCCGCGCTGTCCCACGAGGCAACAATGCCAGGGTCGTCAGGTAAGACTCTGGTTCCGGTCCCGAGCCTGTGAGGGAGGTGCGGAGTTTTTATCCGATTCCGCATTCCCTTTGTCAATCATGCATTGCACTTCAACTCGTTGCCCTCCCCCAGCACCTCCTTTTTAACCCCCTACTAATAAATCTCTCACTTGCTCCTCCTAACCCGCCTCAACCCAACCTTGTTTCCCCTCCCCCCACTTTTCCCAGGGCCGGCAATTCTCGTTTCATCCGCCTGGACCTTGGCCGGCCAGTGCGGGGGTGCCAGCGCTCGTACCGCTTCCAATTGGTCAACTTCCGGGGGCGTGTGGTGCGCGGCCCTGTCACTCTCCGCGTGTGCCGCGCTGGCAAGCCCGGAGCCGCCACCTGTGGCCCCGTTACAGTCACATCTGCAGTGCCCAGCTGCTGATGAACGGGTGCTTGCATAGAGGGGGTTGTGAGGTGGAAGGGGTGGGAGGGTGGATGGATATGGATTCTCTTGATAGTGTGAAAAGGTTGTTTGTGGTAAAAACGGGGGGTAGCTGTAGGAAGCAACTCGAGTTGGGAAGTGTACACTAGCAAATAATGTTTATGGGATGGGATTATGGATTCTGATACGCTTGGAGACACTTTTTACATTATTAGATGGTCTCAACATTGTGTATTCTAATCTCCTCAACCAATAAATACTGTGTATTAGTTTCTGTTGGCAACATAGACAACATTGACGTATACGTCTTTCACTACTTCGGTAAGTAGATAACTGGTGAAGAACTCGAGTTTTCCAGCTCCGAAGTACAAGCACCTCATCTGCTTCAAACCTTAGCGCGTCTGACTGAGGACGATGCATACCCTTCCTCGCTGGCTTTACCGTCTGCAGCTCCCTCCCACCATGCATGTACGCAACAAAGTTTGTCTGGGCAACGGGCCAGTCATTTAGTTAATTTTGGGGCTGGTGGGGCTGCCACTCGTTCTATCACACCCCTACGAAGGATGCATATTCCTAAACTCATTTTGCCAATCACTTAGTGAAAAGTGTCTATCTCTTACACATTCTATCTTGAATGCGTGGGTGAATATCATGATTGGCGGGTTTGCTGCTTCCAAAATCAGTGCTTGTCAGAACCTGTGCTTGTCAGTGCGCCGCGGGACTTGCCTTGGGTATGGCTGCTCGTCGTTGTCAGTCAGTTTTCCCCGACCAGCTCAGCATGATCACAGTCTGCTTTACCCGCGCTAGTTTCCAAGTTTCGCGCTCGTTGCTAGGCCTTTTAGAACCTAGGCTAGGCTTTTGGCTCTCCCTAAAGCTTCTAGGCCAATTCAAGCTGAGAAATCATGGCCGTCATCTCTAATTTGGCGGATTCTCGCAACGTCGACTACGGATACTGACTGATGAATCGTCCGATTCCCACTTCTTGCATTGGCTCTCGATGTCTCCTAATCGTCGTCGGGGCGCGCGTTCCTTTGGCGCTCGCATGGTTTTAAGTGATTCGACAGGTTGACAGGTTCGAGAGCGGTTCGAATGGTCCGACCATTCTGACCAGTTCGACAGGCTCCACAGGTTCGACTCGAGTCGCGGAAAGGATCGAGTGGTTCGACCGGTTCGACCGTTTCGAGTGACTCGATCGGTTCGACTGGTTCGAGAAGGTCCCAGGCGACTAAGCTGATCCCAGGGGGTTTTCAGACGTGCTCGGACGTCGGACGTTTCAGTAAATGGGCCCGGTTGTGGCTCTCCTGCACGGCTTGCAGGTGGCGGGCGTGCTGCTGCTGCTCCTCCACACGTACGGCTGGTCCGTCGCCGCCCGCAACCGCCGAAAATCCCTCGATCGCCTCCGCTCGCGTCGCCGCGCGTCCGCCGAAAAGCACCCTCAACGCGCGACGCGAAATTGCGGCGCGCAGCAACCAGGCGGGGGTGCTATCTCTACTGACGATGGCGATTGCGATAACAATCCGCGTGCCGGGGTGATTACTTCAAGTGGTAACACGACGGGAAACGCGGAGAGCTCGCGCTGTCCTCATTGGCCGGCGGTGGCGGTGGTGATGCCGGTGCGCGGCTTTCACGCACACACGGCGAGCAACTGGGCAACGCACATTACGGCGGATTACGCGGGCCCCGTGGAGTTCCTCATAGTCGTGGAGAGCGAGGCGGACCGCGCGTACCGCGAGGCGCGCAAGCTCGCAGCGCGATTCAACGCTGCGCATAAAGGGGGAAGGGAAAGGTGCGCGGAGGGGGAGGAAGGGAGGGTGCAAAAGGAGGAAGGAAGGCGGCAGAAGTGTGCTGGGGAAGGCCAGGGAGAGGCAGGGGCAGCGCAGGGAAGAGAATCTATAGATTCGCGCGGAGGGGGAGCTGTATGCTCTGGGGAGGCGGCATGTGAAGGGGAAACTGGCATAGCGTGCAGGCAGCAGGGGGAGGTGCATCTGAGGAAGGTTCGTGTGGTGGTAGCTGGCACCTCCACCACATGCAGCCAAAAGATCCACAATCAGCTGGCCGGTGTCGCCGCCGCCCATCCGGAAGCAGAACTTGTCCTTTTCCTTGACGACGATGCGAGAATGTACCCAGAGGCGATCACTTACCTCGTAACAGACATGCTTTGCCGACCCGACACGTTCCTTGTAACCGGGTACCCGTTTGACATTCCAAACCCGGGGTCACTGTTTTCGTACGCGGTGTTAGGGTTTCATCTGGTCCCTTTGGTTAATTTTTCCTATGATGCCGGCACGGAGTATATCTGGGGCGGGTGCATGATGCTCAGGCTCTGGGATTTCCGAAGCAACAGGCTCGGCATGGTGGATGTGCTTCAGCAGGGAGGGTACTCTGATGACATGACGCTGGGGGCAGTGGGCAACAGCATACGGAGCAGCATCAAGAGCAGCAGCGGCAACAGCGAGAGCAACAACGGTGGCAGTAAGAGCAGCAGCAAGAGCAGCAATGGGAGCAACAATGGGAGCAGAATAGACAGGAGGAGCAGCAGCAAGGCATGCCAAGAGGAATCATCCCAGCTGATTGCTCAGGAATGTGAGAAGCGGGAGCAGCAGGGCGGTAGCAGCCTTCCCTGCAGGGCCTTGGATTGTGCACAGCGTCTCAGGCTAAGCAGCCTCGAACCCAACAGCCCCAGCACCCCCAGCAACCCCAGTACCTCCGGTAGCAGCGACCCGCCAATGCTATCGCCAGCCTACGCGCTCCTGGCACACCCCCTAGACTCGCACTTCTCCGCCATTCAGTTCTGGAGCTACCTGCGGCGGCAGCTGTTCGCGATCACCACATACTTCTCCCCACTCAACCGCCGCCTCAACCTCTGGCTGCTGCTCATGGGCATGGCCTTTAGCTCCGTCATGGTTGGGTCGATGGCCGTCTCGCTCTCGTTCCTAGTGCAGTATTTCCTGCCTTGGTTGGTTAGTTCTGCTGCACCGGTTTTGGCCGGAGTCCACGGGGGTGTGTCGCTGGTGGCTGCTGCTCCCGTGTGTAACGTTCCTGTGGTCGGTGTGGTTTGCCGTGTGCTGCCGTTCAGTGCTGCTGCTATTGCCACGTCGCAGACTGGCGTAGCTGTAGCAGGAGGGGCAGCAACATCAAGAGCAGCAGCAGCACCACCACCAGGAGGAGCGACAGCAGCAGCAGGAGGAGCAGCAGGTGCTGCCACTGATGCGTCTCCTGTGTGCCCTAGTGGGCTTGCCTTGGCTCAAGCCAACACAACATGCAGCATTCTGAGTGGCGGAATCTCACCAGAAGCTGTCTCATCGCCAGCAGCAGCAGCAGCAGCAGCAGCAGCAGCAGCACAGCTCTCCGCAACCAACAACACACTAGGAGTTTACTTGAAGCACCCTGCTCTCCTCCTCCCCCTCCTTCCCTCACTCCTTCACCACACCATCACCCACCTCTCCCACCTCCCTCTAGCCGTCTCACTTGCGCTGCTCCACCTCGCCTCCTTTGCCTTCGCCTCTCTCGCCCTCCGTGCCATGATTGCCGCGCACATTCAGACCTGCCGCTTTCTTGACCCTCAGGCTCCCTTTTGCCCAGATCATGCAGCGATAGCCGTGGTTGATCGAGGGAAATGTGATTGCAGAGAGTGGCAGTATGCGCTGTGGCGTGTGTGGGTCGGGTACCTTATACACAACAGCATGTATCCCTTTTGTGCCTTGCTGACTTGCTGGGTGCCGTACATAGACTGGGCTGGTATACGTTATATGAGGCGTTTTGGCCGAATTGCCAGGGAGTAGGGCATGTAGCTTACTAACTCAGATGGTCGTCCCTCAGTGTCCTTACAGCCCATTAGTAAAGACTTTTCTTTCATTCACATAGGTTAGTGTGATACAGGGCAGAGCTGAAGGGGTGGATGGAAACAGGAAGCTAATGGTTGCTTAGTATATATGGAAACAAGGGAGGTGATAGAAAAACCCGCTATTATTTGGAAGGGGCTGAGCTTGCCCCATTATTTGCGCTTGCTTTGGTAAAGCTACGCTTGCGCAACAACGAATTTGCGCTTATGGGGAACGTGCAGTGCAGCGATTACGTTGTCGGACCCAGGGAGCGACACCGTGAAGACATCGTCCGTAGTCGCATTCACCTCTGCGACCTCGTTTCTGTGGCAGCAGGCTTTGCGACTTCCGGGGCCTCCGTGGCGACAACGGTCAGCCCCTTCCTCTCCGGCACGCCATACGCGGTAATAACATTATCGGAACCAGGAAGCGACATCTGAAATGAGGTGACCTTTTTCTTATTTCCACGGATGCTAAACGCCTGAATCACATTGTCGGAACCGGGCAGCGACACGGATGCAGTGTTGTCGTCAGCAGAGGAAGCAGAAGCAGACTTGGGGGATAGCGAGGCGGTAGCAGTGGTGGCAGTGGCTGTAGCGGTGGTGGTGGTTGAATCGCGGTCTAACTCGTCGGTAATCGCCACTACGTTGCCCTTCCTGTGGGGCACGTGGCGGGCCCAGATCTCGTTGTCCGAACCAGGAAGCGACACGTGGAAGGTGGAATCGTCCTCGGCCTTCGTCACCTTTTCGTCGTTCGCAACAACGACGCTCTCTTCCTTCGTCGCCTCCGCCTGGAGCGCGTCTACGTCCGTCGCGACGACGACGCTTCGAGTCGCCAGCGTCGCAGGAACGCCGAACGCCACGATCTCGTTGTCAGAACCGGGAAGCGACACGCTGAAGCTGCTCCTAGGCTTGGAAGCCACGTGGCGCCGAAAATTGCGAATCGCCGCGATGACGTTGTCAGAACCAGGCAGAGAGACGGAAGTGAGACTGGCCTCCTCGTTCGCTTCGTTGGCGATCAGTCGCGAAAAGACGTCGTCGTAGACGTCGTCTTCGACGATGATGTTGTCGTTATTGTCGTCATTGTCGTCATTGTCGTCCGTGTCGTCAACCGGCTCGACGATTTTCGCCGGCTTCGCATGCACGCGGGAGATGATCAGATTGTCGGATCCGGGGAGCGACACCGCCACGTCAGCAGCAGCAGGATCCACGTCCTCCTCGAACGGAGCGACTTCGGGCGCAACTACGACAGTGGGGCTCGTTGGCTCGCGAACTGGGTGAAACGGGAATGGGAATATTCGTGGAAGAGGGTTGAATGGGTGAGCGAGATGCAATGAGAGAGAGCGTGAAGAGAGAGTAAGGGGATTCCATGCGCGAATTGCTCTAGGGAAAGGCAGGGCGTCAGACGGGCTCCGAAACAACTGCAGCTGAGACACTTGGGGAAGATATCTGAAGTGCGCGGCATGTTTGCGATCAATCCAGCGGGAAATGCAATGACAATGGCGGGTGATTGGACAATGGAAGGGAGAAATGTTTCTTCCTAGTCGGCTGTCGCTGAGCCGATTTCTCACCTTGGGAGTCGTCGGATTCGGAAACGGAGGGAAGGATGGCGCCTTGAGCGCCGTCATTCCAGGAGGCCAAGGCCATGCGGAAGAGGCTCGACGCGGAGAAGGGGGATTGGCTCTGCGATGCGGTTTCTGCGTTAAGAGTCGAGGGGGTGATTGGCCGAGCGCCGTGAGCGATAGTCGCGCTAGCAAGCACGCAGAGAACGAGAAGGGATACCGCTTTGTGAGCCATGGTGCTTCTCTTTATCTGCTGGAGAGTCACGCGCGGATTCCAGCGACAACCAGAGCGATGGAGAGTTACGTGGTGCGGAAGGAGCTAGGAGCAGGGCTGCTATATGTAGATTCGAGAAACGTGCTCAACGCTAAAAGGCACTGGACTGAAGTTTAGAATGATGCAGATGTGATAGCTTCGGCTCTACTTTATACGGTGTGGAATTAGGACATGGCCGTAGGTCTTGACAGTTTCGTGGGGAGAATCAGTAGCTGTGCTGGGGAGAGTGAGTCAGGTTCACAGAGGGTAAGGGAAACCCTGTGGGGAGTTGTCTGCAATGTGGCGCAGCGACATGACAATTTGCGTGAGGGAGGATGAGCCGTGCAGGTCAGGTGAAATTCATGGCGCCATTCGGAGGGAAATTCGCTGGCGAAATTCCAAATTCTCACGAGCCAAGCGAAGTCCACAACGGTTGCCCCGATAGTGGCCATTGGATGACGTCGAAGCGCACTAGGAGCGATTCGGCGGGCCTAATGTGCCCACCCGCAAGCATGTTGGCCCCACAGATGGCAAGCATGGGAACAGGTCACGGCCGCGTCGCTTTCTAAAGCGTACGAGGATCACTGGTTTCTTGTGATTTTCTGAGGCTGAGTAATGATTTTCGATGTTAAGTTCTCATGTACCTTTCTTAAACAACACTCTCCAGGTAAGTACAGTTCATGTAATTGCATGACTCGCGTATGGGGTCTGACTATGAAGGTGGATTTCAGTTGAGAGCGGGAGCTGACAGCAATATGACTCCGTCGTCGTCATGTAGTCCGGCTTCCACGCACGCAGATTGAAATTTAACCAATCCCTGCAAACGTACACATTATTGCCACGTGGAATGCCCTGGCGGGAACTGTAAACTGCCTACTTTGCAAAAGATCACAGAAAGACTGTGATGGGCATTTTGAAATGCATCCCCACGAACTGAACTTCAATCTCGACGACGATGTTGCCGATTAGTCTGCAATAAACGGCTGGATCTCGTCCTCGGGTCTCTCAAAAGCCCGAAACAAGAGAGCATGAACATGCAGCAGGCATTGCCCACATGGAAACGCATGAATTCTCAAGACTGGCCTTGGTGCATGCTCCTCCCGCCACCACCAACTTCACGTTTCACCCTTCATTTGTTCCTCACAGATCTCCTTCAGTTTGTTCGTACATAGAGTGCTGCATTCTTTACCAGTTGCACCAACTATGTTCATTCAGCCAATATGACATACCTAGACCAGACCCTACTCGATCCGCCAGCACCGCGTGCAAGTCTCACTTCCGTTCCCTGCCATCCCGCATTTTCCATGCCCAGCCTCCATGCGAGTCGCGACAGATTGGATCAGCTCTGCTCGCGAGTTACAGACGCTGCCCTCGCGACAGATCCCAACGGATCTTTTTCAAAGAGGCCATTAAATCCTAATGGCTCGTACCCGGAGGGATCTTCTGATCCCGTTCTTTACTTTCTCCGAGAACCTCACAATTTTGATGATTTTGACGGCTTGGGTTGTTTCGCCGTCTCCCTGCCGACGGAGAACGTGTTCGCGACCAGCCTACCCCCTGACGGCCGTCTGTTAGAGTTAACGGCTAGGGGGTTGGAAGACATTCTCGCGACTCGGCTTTCGGCAGATGAAATGGCGGGAGCGTCAGATTCTGTTCCCATACCATCCGCTCGAATCGACCGTGAGGATCTTGCCGCTAGCGTCACCGCTGACGTGGCAGAAAAGCTGGCCAATGAGGATCTTGCCAGCGTGTCAGATCCCGACAGTGATTGGATTCTGCGGTCACGCAACTGGCTGATTGAAACGCGGGATTCGCTATTGGAACGCAAATACGAGGTCACGGCATTCACGACTCGCGAGGTACGAAAGGGGTTTGGGCCGTGATTAGTTTGAGGCCGTGAGTGGTTGGAGGGCGTGACTGCAAGCAGACAAACTACTCTAGTTTGAGCAATGCTCCATGTGAATAGTTTCTGCTTGATCCAGTTTGCGCGTTGTCGCTCCCATCCCTTCCTTCCACCTCTATGCACTCACTCCTCTTCTTCCCCGCCCCCCTCCCCCCCTTCCCCATCCGCCCCTCGCTCCGCTATCCGCCTTCCCTTATTTCCCTCCCCCTCCTTCTCCCCCATTCCCCCCCATTCTTGCAGGGATTGGACCTTTGGTCGCTCGCCGCGCAGTGCGCAAACCCGTACGAGCTCCTTGCTGACGTGGCATCGCTAAACCCCAACCCCGTTGCGGCAGCATCGACCTCCGCGTCGGCCTCCGGAATCCCGCCCTCCCCCATCGGCGCCTCCCCCCAACCCAGTTTGGCTTCCCCGCTACCTTCAATCGCTTCCCCCCAACCCATAAGCGCGTTCCCCCACGCCTCCCCCGCCCCGCGCGCCATCAGCCGCGCGTTCTTCAAAATGGTCGAAATGGCGCGCCTTTTCCGCCTGCTGGGGGGAGCCAAAGCGGAAAGCGCTTCCCCGGATCTTCCCCTAAAGGTTTCCGCTTCCCTTGTTTCCCCTCCCCGCTCCCCCCCGCTTGTCTCCGCGCACCTGTGTGAGGGGCCGGGGGGTTTCATTCAAGCGGTGCAGCTGCTGCTGGCGGAACAGGCCGGGGGTACAGGGGGGGGAGTTGCGGAAGGCGGAAAGGGAGGGGGAGGGGGAGAGGGAGCGGATGTGGGAGTGGAGGTGGCGGGTCGTGGTTTGCAGCACCTGTGGTTCGGAATCACTCTCCGAGGCAAGGCTGCTGTAGGCTCGGCAGCTGTTGGCTCGGTTGTTGGTTCGACTGCTGGTGGCTCGATTTTTGGTTCGCCAACTATTGGTTCGGTTGCAGGTTCGGGAGTATGTGCGGGGTTGGGTGTTGGTTCTGGTGTGAGTGCTGGTGAGGAGGGGTGCAGAGCGGTGGTGCAAGGGCATGGGGGGAGGGGGAGGGGGAGGGGGAGGGGGAGGGGGAGTGTATTGGGTGGAATGGTTCAAGGAAGGGAGGGAGGAGGAAGGGGAAGAGGAGCGGGAGGAGGAGGAAGAGGAGGGAGAGGAGAGTGGGGAAGAGGAGGGGGAGGACAATTCGGGGAAGGAGGAGGATCTGGAGAAGAAATCAAGGGTGGGAGGGGGGAACGAAGATCACGGGCAATTCCTGTGCCAGCGTCTGTTAGGGGGGGCAGAGGTGGGGGCAGGAGCGGCAGGGGTGGGGGAGGGAGTGGGTGCAGCAGCCCTGGCAGCAGCAGAAGCAGCGGCAGCTGGGGCAGCAGCTGGGAAAGCAGCAGCGGTGGCAGCAGCAGGAGTGGCAGCGCTGAGTGGAGAGAGCATCCGCTGCATTGGAAGCCACAGCAGCAGCAGCAACAGCAACAGCCGCAGCAGCAATGGGTGCAGCGACAAAAGCAGCAGCACCAGCACCACCGGCAGCAGCAGCAGAAGCAGCAGCAGCAGCAGCAGCAGCAGCAGGAGAAGCAGTGCGATCCGCAGTGGACAGGTGTTGGCTCGGCAGGAGTTGGCTCGGAAGGTGTTGGCTTGGGAGGTGTTGGCTCGGGAGGTGTTGGCTCGGGAGGTGTTGGCTCGGGAGGTGTTGGCTCGGGAGGTGTTGGCTCAGGAGGTGTTGTTTCACTTGGAGTAAGCAACTGTTCGGGCGAGGAGGGAGGGACGCAGGAAGGGACGCAGGGAGGAGAGCAGGGAGGTGAACGGGGAGGGGGGGGAAACGCGTGTAAGAGCAGGAGGAAGAGGGAGAAGAAGCGGTCAAAGCAGCAGCAGCAGATCACCAGAGAGGTGCCGCAGCAGGTGACAGGGGAGGTGCAGCATCACCGCTCGCCTCTGCGCCCAGTCAACCTGCAGCCCCCTTTGCTGCCTGCTACTGCCCATGCTCCCACCACTGCCTTCCACTCACCTCTCCCTGCGCCCCACCCTGCCGCCCACCCTGCACCCCACTCTTTTCCCCAAACTGTCCTCCACCCTGCCCCCTCTGCCGCCTCTGGGCATGCACCCGACTTCGTGCTGGGCCTGCTGGGGCGGCAGAGAGGCGCGCAGGGAGGAAGGTGTGTGGAAGCAAGGGGGGAGCAGATAAGTAATGGTGGTGCAGGTATCCTAGGCAAGTATGGTGGTACAGAGAAGGACGGGGGATGCAGTGTTGATGACTTAAAGGAGGTGGAAGAGGAGAGAGAGGAGGGAGAGGAGGGAGAGAAAGAGGAGAAGGAACACTGTGCCCTCTGCAGTCCTCTGCACAGCTCCGCCTCGTTACAATCACCCTCGTTACAGTCACAACCTGAGCTGCTTCCACAATCGATCGTGTCAACCCCCATCAGCTTCCAGGCAGCTTCCTTCCTGTCCCACGGCCATGTGCTGTATGGGATGGACGGCACAGGAGACTTGACACGTCATGCCAACGTGGCAGCCTTCGCTGCTGACGTCATCAGGGACAGCCACGTGGACGGGGGGTTGAACAGTTCAGCAGAATGCCAGGCTGGCAAGTCAAAGATGGAGGGAGGGGCGACGGTGGTTGGAGGGGCGACGGAGGTAACAGCGGATGGCGGTTTGGACAGTTCAGTGTACTGCCAGGCTGGCAAGTCAACGATTGAGGGAGGGGCGGCAGTGGTGACAGCGGATGGGGGACTGGATAGCTCGGTGGATTGGGACCGACAGGAGGCCATGCACGCCCGCCTCGTCTTCTGCCAAGTGCACGCCGCTCTCAAGCTGCTGGTGAGATGTGTTGCCTTTTGAGGCACCTTAAGAGATGTGATGTGATGCCATGTATGCATTCTGCTGCTGAGACTTTGTTGATGCTCATTCGTTCCCTAGCGGTGTGGCGGATCATTGTTGGCGCATCAACCCTGGAAGGCCTTTTTCCGTTCCCTCCACCTCATTACCCCTCTTGTTTCCTCGCATTCCACTTTCCCGTCTGTCCCTTCCTCCAGACCTCCTTCTCTCACCCCACCACGCGCCAGGCGGCATGTTCGTTCTCAAGCTGCTGGGCTGCTGTTCCCTCACCTCATCCCTTCCTACATCCCTGAATAGCACAGCATCCCTCATCTTTGCCCCGCCTCTCTCCACTCCATCTGTGTCATCTCCCCTCTCTCCCACCACCAGGCGCCAGGGGGCACGTTCATTCTCAAGCTGCTGGGCGGCTCTCTGCTCTCAACAGCCTCTCTCCTCGCCCGGCTCACACTCTCCTTAACCCCACATTCCCTTGTGCCCCCTCTCTCCACCCCACCAGGCGCCAGGGGGAACGTTCGTTCTCAAGCTGCTGGGCGGATCGCTGCTCTCAACAGCGTCGCTCCTCGCCCTGCTCGCCCTCTCCTTCCGCTCCCTCCACCTCGTCCGCCTCCGCTCCTCCCGAGCCTGCAACGCCGAACGTTACGTTGTGGCTCGGGGATTCAAGGGGAGAAATGCAACTTCTACAGCCTCCCTTATTTCCTCCACCACCCCATCTCCTGCCCCCTCCTCTCCCTCCTCCCCCTCTCTCTCCCACATTCTCCTGGACTTAGACCGCATATCCCTCCAGTGGGAATCACTTCCTCCTCCCCTCTCCCCTCTCCTCGCCCCCGCCCTCACTCTCCCCCTCTCCGACTCCTTCCTCCGCGCCCTCCTCTCATTTGAAGCTTGCATGCAGCAGCAGCAGGCGGAGGCTATGGGGCGCGCGCTGCTTGTAGGGGAGCAGCTTGTAGAGGGGATACCGCGAGGGCCTGCGAGGAAGAGCAAGTGTTACAGGAAGAGGAGGGGGCTGTGGAGGGAGGAGGAGGAGATGAGAAGGAGGGGGTGTGTGCTGGCCAAGGCGCTTGGGCTAGGTGTGAAAGAGGGGATGGAGTGTGTGTGAGAATTCCTGTGTGTATGTGTGTGCATAGTAGCAGCAAAAGCAGCAAGCAGAGGCCATGGGTTGAGCAGTGCTTGTATGGGAGCAGCTTGTAAAGGAGATACTGAGAAGCAAGTGTTTAGGAAGACGAGGGTGCTGTGGAGGGAGGAGGGGGAGATGAGGAGGGGGTGTGTGCTGGCCAAGGAGTTGGGTTTGGGTGTGAAAGAGGGCATGGAGTGTGAGTGATTAGTCTAGTGTGATTCATGTAAGTATATCAGCAGGAGCAGCGCCAGCGGTAGCAAGCCATGGTGCAAGCCTTGCTTGTAGGGGAGCAGCTTGTAAAGGGAACACAGAAGAGGAGCAATTGTAAGTAAGGAGGAGGTTGTGGTGGAGGGGAGGGGATGAGAAGAGGGGGAGTGTGCTTGGCTTGGGTGTGAAAGATGACCTATAATGTGTGATTTGTCTTTTGTATGTATACGGTAGTAGTCATGTTTGTGCAAGTTAACAGTGTTTTCGAAAGTGGGGCTGTGGAGAGAACGAAGTGTACAGGGGAGGAGATTGGAGTGGAAACACTTACGGTAGCATTAACTAATGAAGGTCTGTTCCACTGAACCTCTGCGATTATTCGTTCCAAATAAAAATCCAGCACTATGCACGCGAACGTACAACTCTTGACTTATCGAAACGCGAACCTGTAGCGAGGATTGCATCTTGCTTCCCCTACCACCACCACCTCCACCTCCGCCCCTCTCCCCTGTCTCCTTCGGGGAGAAGTCGAGCATAGGAGCCTCGTAGTGGCTTGATCCTGCTTGAAGCCTGCTCGCGTATCGTGATCCCACAAACGGCTCTCACGTCGCTGCGGCCAAGGAATCCCACAAGCTAGTAAAAGCAGGGCTGCCCCTGCGTCATCTGCTCTTCGGTTCACGTGGCTTTCGATCACACAGCTTCAGAGCGCTGGAGATTCGATATAGCGAAGCCGTTTATATGGTTACTCGACACTAGCGAAGCGGGTCATGTGGTAACCTAACGGTGCAGGCCGATTCGCTTTTTGAGGCGTCATTGAGCCAGACACAAGCGTAAGGAAATTGGCTTCGTTCGCCATTTGTCGCTAGACCCCGTTCGCGAGCGTCGCAAGGCTCCTTTCGCGAGGATCACCAGACGTCCGCCCTTTCCCGTCCCCCGACATTCGTCTCGCGAACGCCGCCAGCACCGTTCGCGATCGTCGCGATGGCGAGTCAGAAAACGGTGACGACGGTGATCCGGCTGGTGATCAACGCGGGCCAGGCGAAACCCGCGCCGCCCGTGGGGCCCGCGCTGGGGCAGCACGGGTTGAACCTCATGGCGTTCTGCAAAGACTTCAACGCGCGGACACAACACATCAAACCGGACGTGCCGGTTCCCGCACTCATCACTGCGTACTCGGTGAGTGTCCGTGCTGCTTGCTGCTGGCAGCACGGGCTGCTCTGAACCTCATGGCGTTCTGTAAGGAATCCAACGCGCGCACGCAACACATCAAGCCAGACGTGCCGGTTCCCGCACTCATCACCGCGTACTCGGTGAGTGTCCGTGCTGCTTGCGTCAGGCTCCTCAAATAGTAGCTTGCGTTGCGGGCTGCTCCGCACCTGATGGCGTGCTGCAAGTTGACTTTTGGGAATTCTCAAAAGTAACACCAATATAGCTGCTCTGCACCTGATGGCGTGCTGCAAGGACGTCAACGCGCGCATGCCATGTCTATCTCCGCGTACCCGGTGAGTGTGACTGCGTGTCATCAAGCCTCCTTGAATCTCGAAACTCATCGTTGGCCTTGACCCTGCCAGTCCGCCCTGAGCGCATTGTTGACGTCCCAATTCCCGCACTCATCACCGCGTACCCCGTCAGTATCCGTGCTGCTTGCAACCAAACCACATTCATGTTGCTTGCATAAGAGGTGCCGCGACCTCATTACTAATCACATTCATCTGACTCCCCTCCACCACTCCCCACACCCCTCACAACCACACCCACCCACGTCCGCCCCCGCTCCTTCTCCCCCCCTCGGTCCTCCTGTCGCCAGGATCGTTCTTTTGATTTCGTAATGAAGTGGGTGGTCGGTGAGGTGTCTTCAGTCAAGCCACCCATGCGCACCAGCTTCCTTTCTCACACAAGTCCCTAGGCCTCACCTCCTTCCTCTCCTCCTAGCCTACCCCCATTGCCCCCTCCCTCGCCCTCCCGCCTCCACACCTGCCAGGATCGTTCGTTTGATTTCATAATCAAGTCGCCGCCCACGTCCTACTTCCTGAAGCGGGCGGCGGGGCTGTCTCTGGGCGGCGGGGAGGCGGGGCATCAGATGGTGGGCGAGGTGTCGTTAAAGCACGTGTATGAGATCGCCAAGATCAAGCAGCAGGACCCCGGTTGCAGCTACATTCCTCTCGAGTCCATCTGCCGATCAATTATAGGAACAGCTAGGTCCATGGGCATCCAGGTGAAGAAATCACTTGAAGTCCCCAGCAGTACCTAATTGGATCAGTTTGGATACGGGGAACAGTTTGTTTTTTTTTTTCTCAGAAACGGTTCAGGTTTGTGGTGTTTCCAACAACAGGGTGTTCTAAATCAGGAATCAGGATCAAGTAGCAGGACCCCGGATGCAGCTACTTTCCCATCGAATCCATCTGCCGGTTGATCATTGGCACAGCTAGGTCCATGGGGATTCAAGTTAAGAAATCACTAGAGGTCCCCAGCACTAGCAGCTGAGTGGTTGAGGTTTGAAATAGTTGGTTCAGTTTCTATCCTTATTGACGGTGTGGTGGCGTGGTGGTTCCAAACAGCATACTTCTGGGCCAGGATCAAGCAGCTGAACCCCGGGTGCAGCTACTGGTACATCCCTCTGGAGTCCATCTGTAGATCGATCATCTCATCAGCGCGGCTAGGTCCTTGGGGATTTAGGGTTGAATACAGGTCCCTTCCCTACCCTAGCAGCACCAGCTGATTGAGTAAGTTGATTTGGGTTGAATTTAGTTCTGGCAAGCCTGGGTTGGCTTGTGTGTTGTCTCTTTATTAGCCTAAATTTCAATTTCCAACGTTCCAATAGAAGTGAACGACCTCAATTTCATTAATCCGAGAAGAATATTCACGCAAGCAATGCATGAGGTCCAGGCTGTACCCTATTTGCAGCTTCTCAAATGAGAAGCTTCTCAATAGCGTCCTGCAGGACAAACAAACAAGAAAATCAGATATTAGCAAGACCCTCTTCAGCCGGTCAGGAAATATACACCTGACATATGTGTGTGCGCGCACAGGAAATCGCTCGATCAGAAGATTGGCAAATGGTCGAAATGAGGAAGCTTTGCTGACCTTGAGGTTTTGGATCTGCGATTTGAGCTGGCTGCCCTCGTTGGACGTCACGGAGCATGCGATCGCAGGCCGCGACACACCGCACGGGTGCGCAGAGGTGATTTTTGAGTCGACTCAAAAATCACCCTGGGAATACCGAATGATGCAGTATTGATTACCGTACCTTGAGGTTTTGGATCTGCGATTTGAGCTGGCTGCCCTCGTTGGACGTCACGGAGCACGCGATCACGGGCCGCGACACGCCGCACGCGCGCCCCAGGGCCTCCCGCGATGGCACAAACACGTACGGCACGTTCTGCATCGGAGAAGAAGCGGGCGGACGAGGGGCGTGGGGGAGAGGCGTCGGGAGAGGGGTGGAGGGGAGGGGGGGAAGGGGGTGGAGGGGGAGGGGGGAGGATGTTGAGGGAGGTAGCAAGAAGCAGCAGGAAATAAAAATAAAAATCAGACATGCAGACGCGACAGGCGCGAGAAACGCGACAAACGCAAGAGACGCACCTTGTCCTCGGCGAGCAGCGGCAGGTGCAGCAGAATCTCGAGGGGCTCCGCGTCGGCCGCCATGACGACGAACTCCGAGATACCGCGGTTCAGCGTCTTGGTCGCTGCATATGCGGCGAACGCGCGGACACGGAAAGACGGGAAGAGCGGGATAAGTCGAGTTTTTGGGACGGCTCACGGCACGAACGTAAAACCCGGGGAAACGTGAAGACGGTGGGAGGGGAAGGTGGGGGACTGGGAGAAGGAGGGAGGGCGAGGGAGGGGGGGGAGAGGGGGCAGGTGAGAGGAGAGGGGGATAGAGGAACGGACCGATGGTACCCCGGCGCTGAGCAATCTAAGCGCACGCTGAACGGGCAGAAGGAACATAAACCCTTGGGACACTTTAAACCCTTGCAGACGGCCAGCATAGACCGGCGTAGCTCTGGACCGGAGCAGGAGACGAAGGAAAAACCGCCATGTCGCGGAACTCACCTTCATTCGCTCCCTTGCGAAGCTGCTTGTAGTTAGAAGCCTGCTGTACAATATCGAGGATGGTGATGGTCAGCTGTGCATCAGCCAAAGGGTAAGCCTTCGGATTCACAGCCTCAGAGCCCTGCGAGAAGAACAGGACGAAGACGGTAAGGCCGCTGCGAAGAACCCCGCAAATCGACTCTTAAAACCGGTGCATTGGCCCAACGCTAAGGTTTTAGAAACACGAGCAAAGCCGTGAAATTCGCGGCAATTCCATCCGTACAATAGCGGTAAAAAGGAAGAGCGAGGAGGCTACTCACCATGGCTAATCCCTGGCCGTGACCCGGGGTGACTAAGTTCAAATGGTGGTGGGAACTGAAGACCAGAAACTCTGGTAACACCTTAGCTTTAGCGAGGCGAGAAGCAGAAGTGCTGAAGAGGTTTTGGCGAGGAATAGATATGGCAATTGGAGAGAGCTTCGAAAAAGCAAAGTCCACAACCACTATCGAAATGTTGGCTCTAACGAAGGGAGTTGTGACGAATTCGTAGACGAGTTTTATCTCCGGTATAAGCTATTCGCTCGGTTATTTCTATGTGTGACTATTTCTTGCGAAGTGTAGCGTAGCATTCAGGCAATTGCGACTGCTCAACAGCCTGACGCAATCAAACAAAGCTGGTTTCGCCGGACCGCTCTGACACAAACGGCTTCTGTTGGCAAGCTCCCTTGGGAGTTATCCCATTTCCAAACCTCACTCCCGCCACTCGCCGTTCGGCTTCCAGCCAAAAGGCACCACCGGACAGCTACGGAAATATACCGAACCTCACTGTGGCTGGGCAGGTCAGGCACAATTATGCTCCCTGGTGTTCCAAGCCTGCGGAGGCTCGGTTTGCGGTGACATGATGTGAGCGTGTCGAACCTGTACAAACACCAACAAAGTTCTCTCCCGCGATTGACCAACCTAGAGAACTCCGAGCACAGACCAACGTAGAGCACAGAGTTGAGTTCCAGTCTTCGGTTTTATGAGTCCTGGACCGGATGATAAAGCAGGAACGTATGTTATCAGTCCATCAGGAGCCTCGTCATTATTTATCATCAATGATATCATAGCGTTTGACCGTTTGTAAGACCCAAACTGGAGGATAAGAACCATTCAATCAGCTGCTGCCAGATTCTGGCCATGGCGTTTTCCCAGTCTGAAGCACGATGCTGTTTGCCTCGTCGGAATGGTGGAATCTCATGCTAGTTTACTCACCTCTCTGGTCTTTCTAGTTAGACAAGCTAGTTATTAGCCTTCTCTGTAGTTCTGGCATGTTCGCTGCCTCTTTACATCAACAACATACCCCATACATCAGCAGCAGCAGTCATGGTCGCTCCTTCGTCAGTCCTCAGTCTGAAAATGATTCGCAACGCGACATGGGCCAGACAGAAGCAGGACGAACCGTCGCCAACCCCGTCTGCTCGCCCGGAACGCATGCTGTACGCCTCCGTGCTACCCTTACTCTTGAGATGCCTCTGAGGTCTACCTCTAGTCGTAGTTTCAAGACTCTGAGAATTCTCCCGCCTCTCTTACTGTGAACGCGCGTTGTGATCCTGGAACTTGTCCTGACGTTTGATCGCTCGTACCGCTTTTGACAATTCGCGTTTAGCTTCTCTGAACCTCTCGAGATTTTCGGAAGCCAGTTAGATACCATATACTAGAAACACAATTACCCAGCTTGTTCCTGTGTGCTCTTCCCTTAAGTGCATGACTAAAATTATTTGTGCTGTACTAGTCAGCGCATACTGCAAACACAGAAAAGACAGATTTCTTAGTCGACTCACTCAGAAGCCACCAGATGGGACGTCGTATGTTGTATTGGACATCGCATTCTGGTCGCCTGGCCGTGCGTAAATCGACAAGCTTGGAAGCTGAGTCATTGTGATCGGCATGTGCACAGGCCCGTGTGAGCGTGCTTGTGCGTTCGAGCATTCGGACATATTTGTCGCCTACACACGCGCCACACCGCGGGTTTGTCACTAACGCGTGTGCCTCTTCATGCTGCTGCTGATGGTGTGATGGCACGATGGTATGATGGGACGATGGTATGATGATATGATGGTATGGTGCGATGTTGTTGCTCAACCATGCATCAGGGACATGTACGGGTTCGCGGTGCAGCCACAGTACGTGGACGTCTACAAGGCCTACGTTCCCGTCTACCATGTAAGTTCCCTGCGCCGTTCGTCTGTCCTCGTCTACAGAGCCGTGTGCCACTACCGTAATAATTCAACAAGTCTGATGTGTCCCCATGCCGTGTAGGCAGGCATACCGTCATCCCTGTGCTTCTGTCCGTCATCCCTAACCTGCCGCTCCTCCCAAACACCCACACCCACAACCCAACCTCCCTCACCCCTTATTCCCCTCCCCACTCGCCAGGACGCCTGAGGCAGAGCGCTCGGAGCGGTGGGACTCGTTCCTCCGCGCGCGAGACCTGCCCTTCCAAACCTTCCTTGTGGTTGTGCCTGTCATCCCCTCCCATCCCGCTCTTTCCCAACAGCCTATACCCACCCTCACTTCCCCCCCAATCCCCCCCCCCCCCCCCCCCCCCTTCTCTGCCGTTCCAGGACGAGGAGACAGAGCGGTCGGATAGGTGGGACTCGTTCCTCGGCGCGCGCGACCTGCCGTTCCTTCCGCCTTCCCCTGCGCCGACCCCCGCGCCTGCAGCAGAAGCGCCCTCTGGCGAAGGCGCGGAAGAGGGGGGCGGGGAGGGGAGGTTCCGCTCAGGGTTCAGGGAGGAGTTGTGGGCTGTCGAGCGGGTTCTGAGGGGTGCTGCTGCTGCAGGTGCGGGGAACTCAGGGAGTTCAGGAGATGGAGGGAGGGGTGAAAGGGATTTTGGAGAGAGAGGAGGAGAGCGAGTAGGAGAGGGCAGCGGGGAGGGCAGCGGAGCCGGCAGTGGAGAAACGGGAGGAGAGGAGCGAGGAAGAGGAGGGGGAGTGGGAGGTGGAGGGGGAGGAGGTAAGGGAGGAGGAAGCGGAGCAGGCAAGGGAGTGGGAGGGAGCGTGGTGACTGAAGAGGCATGGAGGGCGGAGCTGACTTCCCTAGTGATGGGGGGCATACCCATGAACATGCGCGGGGAGATGTGGCAAATCTTTGTGGGGGGCGGGGCGAGGAGGCAGGCGGGCGTGTATGAGGCGCTGCTGAGGGATGCGGGCAGGGAGGAGGAGCACAGGCCCAACAGCAGCCTGGCGGAGATCACAGCGCGGATCCATGAGAGGGACGCCGAGGTGGCGTGCACCGTGCAGATTGAAAAGGTGTGCAGGCCTCTGCCGTCGTGGTCACCTCTGCTCTGAAGGTCACTCTCTGTGTGCTCTCAAGTCTGCCCCGTGCTGCTCCTACTCCTCTGCAATGCATCCAACCCCCATCCCCCAACCCGCACCCCCTTAGGATCTGCCTCACGCCTTCCCCGGGCACCCTGCGCTGGACGCCAAGGGGCGGGACGCGCTGAGGCGGCCAGTGACCCCATCCCCTGCACTCACTTGCGAGTGCCTCTCCCCTCATCCCCCCAGGACCTGCCGCGCACCTTCCCCGGGCACCCTGCTCTGGACGCCAAGGGGCGGGACGCTCTGAGGCGGCTGCTGGTGGCGTATTCGCGGCGCAACCGCGCTCTGGGGTACTGCCAGGGCATGAACTTCCTGGCTGGGCTGCTGCTGCTGCTCATGCCCGAGGAAAACGCCTTCTGGTGGGTGGCATTGGTAGGGGTAGCATGGCTATTCTGGTGGAGTGGCCATTCTTGTGGGTAGAGTGGCCATTCTGGTAAGTGTGTAGTGGGTTTGAAACACGCTCCCTGATAGGCCTACCTACCCTGAACTCAGCTTTTTGTGCGGTCCTTGTGAATCAGCGTTCCATCGCTCCCTTTGCTGCTCTTACCCCTTGCCCCACCTCCTCCCGTTCCCACACCTGCCATGCCTATCGTGTCAACCCCCCCATACTCCCCGCCCGTGTGTCAGGATTCTGACGGCGATAGTGGACGAGCTGTTCCGAGGGTACTACTCTGATGGGGCGAGTTTTGAGTCGACTCAGAACCTGTTTCCCCCACCGCTCGCCACACCTGCCAGGCCTAGCGTGTCCAACCCCTCACCCCCCGTTTCCCCCCTCCCTCCCCATGGGTCAGGACGCTGACGGCGATAGTGGACGAGCTGTTCCGAGGGTACTACTCTGACGAGATGGTTGAAGCACAGGTGGGAATCCCTGTGCTGTGGATTGGCACTGGTGTATGGGAATCCCTTGACGCGTGCGTGTGAAGTGCTGGCTAAAGGCCACTCCTTGATGCAGCTGCTGTTGAACACACGTGATTCTTGTCGTACTCCCTTCTGCCGCCATGCCATGCCATGCCATGCCATGCCATGCCATGCCATGCCATGTCATGCCATGTCATGCCATGACACCCTCTCTGTCCCGTTCACTGAGCCTCATTCATCTTTGCCCATGTTTGCCCTCGTCTTGTCATGCCCTGTCCGCCCGCATTCCCTCCTCTCTTCGCCAGGTGGACCAGCTCGTGTTTGAGGACCTTGTTCGCCAGAACTTCCCCAGGCTGGGTGAGTGGTGCCAGCCTGGCAGCCAGACAGGCTTGTTAACAGCATTTGGCTCGGTTAGAGGGGCATATTTGGTGGATGAGAGGGCTGTTTCGCGTCTCAGTCGTTATCACTGTGCTGATGGCCTCCGCATGTTCACTTCACATCGAGGTGACTTTTGAGTCGACTCATAAGTCACTGTGCTGATGGCCTCCGCATGTTCACTTCACATCGAGGTGACTTTTGAGTCGACTCATAAGTCACTGTGCTGATGGCCTCCGCATGTTCACTTCACATCGCCACAAGCACTGGACTGTCTGTGTCTGTTGGCAACATGCACACGTGCTTGTTCCACACACTCTCATTCCACAAAATCTCATTTGGCACACTCCCAATCCACACACACTCATTCCTCGCGCATACTCTCTCTCTCTCTCTCTCTCTCTCTCTCTCTCTCTCTCTCTCTCTCTCTCTCTCTCTCTCGCGCCTACCCCGTGCAGCGGAGCACATGGATGCACTGGCCGTGCACGTCTCCTGCATCACAGGGCCTTGGTTCCTCTCGAATGGTCCTTTGTATCTCTGTCTTTCTCAGCGGCCTGCTTGCACACACCCACTCCACCCTCTCGTCCACCCCATGCAGCGGAGCACATGGATGCACTGGGCGTGCACGTCTCCTGCATCACAGGGCGTTGCCCTCGTCTGTCATTCTGCCGACTTGTTTCGTGCCCTGCCCTTTGTTGTTCAGATTCACAGACTCACGCCTGTCTTGATTCTCGTTCACTCACCCATTGACCACACCCTCTCAACCATGCCTTGCGGCGGAGCACATGGACACAATGGGAGTGCAGATCTCATGGATCATGGGGCGTTGCCTTTGACTGCTGTTCACTCTCACACGTTCACACTTGTCTCAACTCAAGTTCACACATGGCCCCATTCCACACCCACCCACTCCACCCTGGCGCCCACCCCATGCAGCGGAGCACATGGACACAATGGGAGTGCAGATCTCATGGATCACAGGGCCATGGTTCCTCTCAGTCTTTCTCAACGATCTCAAACCCTCTACGATTTCACATCCCCACAATCACATTCCCTGTCTGTTGACGTGCTCACTTGTTTCTACCACACACACCACTCCACCCTCGCGCCCACGCCATGCAGCGGAGCACATGGACACAATGGGGGTGCAGATCTCATGGATCACAGGGCCCTGGTTCCTCTCCGTCTTCGTCAACGTGCTTCCCTGGGAGAGCGGTGAGAGCAAGGCCTTGTCATTTCCTTTCTACCTCTCTGCTCTCTTATCTCTCTGCAACTCTCCTTCTCTCTTTCCAGGCCTTATCATACTTTCCCGTCTCACATGATGTTTACATTGTCTCGTTGTCTCACTCTGTCTCATCCTTTTCCTCTCGGTTCAACCCCTATTTCCCCCCGTCATCTGCAGTGCTGCGAGTGTGGGACGTCATCCTATACGAGCGCAATCGCAGCATGCTCTTCCGCACGTGCCTCGCCCTCCTTGACATGCACTGTACGTGCTGTGCTGTGCTGTGCTGTGCTGTGCTGTGTTGTGCTGTGCGGTGGTGTGCTGTGCTGTGCTGTGCTGTGCTGTGCTGTGCTGTGCTGTGCTGTGCTGTGCTGTGCTGTGGTGTGGTGTGCGGTGCTGCGAGTGTGGGACGTCATTTATAAGCGCAATTGCAGCATGCTCTTCCGCACATGCCTTGCCCTCCTCGACATGCACTGTACTTCCTGTGCGGAACTCTGCTGTGCTTCGTGCTGCGGCGCAGTGCTGTGCTGTGCAGTGCTGTGCTGTGCTGTGTACATGGTGCACTGTACATGTCTTCCATTCCGCTATCCCTTTCCCTCCCTCCCCTTCATGCCACTAGTACTACTCCATCCCTTCCGCTCATGTTCTCCCTCCCTTTCCTGCCCAGCCACGCTGCTCCTGTCGATGCAGGAGACGGGCGACATGATGTCAGCGCTGCAGTCCATGGCAGCATCCACCTTCGACAGCACGCAGCTCGTGCTCTCCGCGTGTGTGGGCTACATGGACGTCAACGAAGCCATGCTGGAGGTATGTGCTTCCTGTTGGTACTCGGGCTGGTACCAGTGCTGCTTCTCCTGCTCGTGCTGCTGCTCTCCACACATGTGTGGGCTACATGGACGTCAACGAAGCCATGCTCGAGGCGAGGCGTGCTGCTTGTGCTGCGGTGCGGTTAATGGTGTGTGCTGCTTCTTGCTGGTGGTACTAGTGCCGCTGCTCCTGCAAACAGCACCTTTGACAGCTCCAAGCTCGCGCTCTCCGCGTGTGGGCCACTTGGACGTCACGAAACCATGCTGGAGGTACGTGCGTGCTGCTGCTGCTGCTGCGCGTAGTGCTGCCCGTGATGCTGCTTGTGGTGCGTTTCCTGCTCCTGCTCCTGTTGTTGCTTGTGCTCGTGCATGTGCTGCTGCTGTCCGCATGTGTGGGCTACATGGACGTCAACGAGGCCATGCTCGAGGTGAGGCGCGTTAATGCTGCTGCTGCTGCTGCTGCAGCTGTTGTTGTTGCTGGTGGGTGCTTCTCCTCTCCCTAATCCTGCCGCTCGCCCCACCAGGTCCCAGCACGCCAAGCACCGCCCCACCATGATGCATCGAGTGGATGAGGGCTGGGAGGTGCTAAAGCGCTGCTCTCCTTGATTGCTCTCCTCTCCTCTCCTCTCCTCTCCCTCCTTCCCCCCAGGATCTGCACACGAAGCACCGCCCAACGATAACTCATCGAGTGGACGAGCGGTGGGAGGTGCTCAAGCGCTGCCGTATAATAAGTCTTCCATCCCCTCCCCCAACTTAGGATCTGTGCACGAAGCACCGCCCAACGATAACTCATCGGGTGGACGAGCGGTGGGAGGTGCTCAAGCGCCGGGTTGCAGCAATTCCTGTGAATGCTCTCAAATCATTCTCCCCTCCCACATGCCCTTCCCCCTTTCAGGATCTGCGCACCAAGCACCGCCCCACCATAATGCACCGGGTGGACGAGCGGGGGGAAGTGCTCAAACGCTGCCTTGGAGTAAAACATGCCTTCCATCCCCTTCCCTCCCTTTCCCCACCCACCGCTTCCCCTTTTCAGGATCTGCGCACCAAGCATCGTCCCACGATAATGCACCGGGTGGACGAGCGGCGGGAGGTGCTCAAGCGCTGCCGCAATACACGCACTGCCAAGATCCACGCCGAGGCCCTGGCCGTTCTGCAGAGGCTCGCACCGCACAGCACCGCACTCGGCTCCCCTCTCGGCCCGTCCTCCTCCCACGCCTCCCCGCTGTCGATCCCTTCATCGTTTGACGACTCAGTTCTGCCCTCCCCCTCGCCTGCTGCTAGACTGGGGAGACTCAGGGCTTTTGGGGATGAAGGGGAGAGGAGGAGGGAGGGGAGGGAGAAGAAGGGGAGGAAGGAGGGACGAGCAGGAGGTAAAGGGGAAGGGAGAAGGGCAGGAGGAGGCGCAGGGGGGAGGGTAAGCAGTGTTGGTACTGAGAGTGCTACTAACGAGAACGGAGATGGTGACACTAGTGGGGGGGATTTGGGGCCAAGAGGAGACGCGTCCCCATCCTCCTCTGCCTTCTCCTCCCCGTCCTTCACTCCCCCAGACTCCCCTCTTGCAAGCTTCAAGCTCCCTAGTCACTGTCCCCCACCCGTCTCCTTCCCTCCACACACGCTCCTGCATCCCCTCCCTCCTCCCCTCCCTCTCACTCGCTCCTCCTCCCTCTCGCGCCTCTCCCCACCTGCTGCTCCATCCTTCCTCATCTGCCCTGTGCAACCGCTGCAGTTCCCTTCACACGCTCCTTCCCACCCTAACGAATCAACCGTAGCTAGTGCCAAAGCTGGCGCCGAACCTGGCGCCGAACTGACAGCAGCTGGTTCGGCAGAGGCTTGGACTCAGCTGGCCCTGCCAGCCTCGGTGGTCGAGGCTCTGGATTCGATGCTGGGAGGAGGAGCGATGGAGGTGGGGAGAGAGAGGGGGAGAGAGAGGGGAAGGGAGGGTGAAGGGACAGCAGCAGATGGTGAGAGGGACACTGAAATGGACCCGTGGGGTAGTGCCAGGTGGCAGGAGCTCATTGGTCCGCCTCGCCCACATGGTCATGCTCATGGGTCGGTTTCAGCATCAGCGTCAAAAGCTGCTGTTAGGCCAGCAGGAGGAGGAGGAGGAGCAGAGAGAGGGGTGGGGGAGTCTGGGGGAGGTGGGACGGCAGCAGCTGTAGCAGCAGCACTGGCGTCCGTATCGGAAGAGAGAGAGGCGTCTGCGGTTGTTGCTTCTTCAGATGCAGCAGTAGTAAATGGAACGGGGTCCTCTGCTCCTGCCACTGCCACTGCCGCTACCACTGCTGCTGCCACTGTAACAGCTTCCAGCAGTTACCAGCAGAGGGTGAAACGGTCCCCAGAGCTGCTGCTGCGAAGCGGGTCCTTTGCCCCTGGCAGCAGCAGCAGCAGCCGCAGCAGCAGTTTCAACCAGGTTCCGTCCCTTGCACTCGATGCTAGAGTTGAGAGCTTGAATACTGCCACCGCTACTGCTGATTCTAGTGCCACTGCTGCCGCTGCCGCTGCTGCTGTCAGCGCAAGCAGCACGGCCACCACAGGCAGCAAGAGCAGGAGCAAGAGTAAGAGCAAGAGCAAGGGATCGTCAGAGATAGAGTCGGATCTCTCCCCCACCTTCTCGCCCCCCTCCTCCCCCTCCTCCCCCCCCTCATCCGACTTCTCCCCCCCGTCCCCCAGCTCTCCTTCAGTTGCTTTGGAGGGGGATGGGTTGTTTCAGGACGGTGAGGGTACAGGGAAGGAGAAGGGGAGGAGGGGCGAGAGGAGTGGTGGGAAGGAGAAGGGAGAGAAGGAGCGGGAGGGCAAGAGGGAGAAGGTGCGGGAGAAAAGGCATGAGGGGGAGGGGAGCAGGAAGGAGAAGGGGAGAGTGAAGGAGGAAAGGGGTATTGATTCAAAGGGAAGTAGCGGTGCTGGTGGTTCGGCGTCAGACTCGTTACAGTCACATTTCCGACAATCACAGTCACTTTCTGGACATCAGCCCAGTGTTGGAAGGGGGGCGGATAGTAGCGGTAAAGGGGCGAGCAATAAGGGGGATGGCAGGGAGTGGAGAGCGGCTGGAGGGAGAGGCAGGGGCATTCGACCACACAGCTTAAACGAGAGGCGAAGCCCTGGGTTGGGCATGGGCACAGGCATGGGCATGGGCACAGGCATGGGAGTGGGTGTGGGTGGTGGAGCGGAGGGGTACCCCCCTCCGCACCACCATACGGACAGGGCAGGTCATGCTGCTCCGATTCGGGAGTCCAGAAGTCATGCTGCTGCCACATACAGTGGCGCTGGTTCTGGTGGCAGTATTGGTGGTGCTGGTGGTGGTGGTGGTGGTGCTGGTGGTGGCGGTGTTGGTGGTGGTGGCAGTGGTGGTGGAGAGGCAAGGGTGCATGGGAGGATAGGCAGGACGAGCAGTGCAGATGTGTGGAGAGTGGCGGAGAGGGGTGCTGGTGGTGGTGGGAGAGGAGGGGGTGGAGAGGAGCAGGAGGAACGGAGGGATGGGGAGGGGTTGGGAGGAGTGGAGGGGGGGAAGGGTGGTGGGGAGAGCAGAGGAGGGCGGCATGTGCGGGTTGAAGTGGCTACAGAGTTGCAAGCACAGGTGAGATGCGAGTGCAGGTGGGGTGTATGTGGTTCAGGCACAGGTGAGACTGCTGTTTGAAAGGGGAAAGGGGGGTGCGGAGAGCAGAGGAGGACGGCACGTGCGAGTTGAAGTGGCTACAGAGTTGGAAGCACAGGTGAGCTGTTTTGCGAAATCTACAAAGAATTTTCCTTTCATTTGCTGACAAAGCTCCAGGCACAAAGTGAGGTGAGGTGCAGCACAGACGGGACGGCTGTTTGGGATCCAGCAGACAGTCCTCACCCCCATGTAAGGCATTCCTACGTGTATGAAGAAGTGTTTTGAGACGTCTCAAAACACTTCTTCAGACAGTCCTCACCCCCATGTAAGGCATTGATGATTTGCGCTACAACAGTCTTAGAATCGTCCCTGCTCGTCCCCTCCCACCCACCAGGTGGCATGGCTGAAGGAGCAGCTGGTGTTGGCACCGGGGGCTCGAGATGACTTCAGTCGTGCTCCAACACTCTTCAACTCGTCCCTTTGTGTGACTCAACTCCCCCGCCTCCTCTCCCGCCCCTCCCTCCCACGGTCCCTCCCACCAGGTGGCGTGGCTCATGGAGCAGCTGGTGTTTTCACTGGAGGCAAGAGATGAAGCCATTTTCAGGTGGAACCAACACTCTGTGAATCGTCCCCCTCCTCCCACGGTCCCACCCACCAGGTGGCGTGGCTCAAGGAGCAGCTGGTGTTTGCACTGGAGGCGAGAGATGAAGCCATCCTCAGGTGCAACCATCCCCAGGTGCTCCTCAGTCGTGCCACAACACTCTGTGACTCGTCCCCCCCCCCACGCTCCTACCCACTAGGTGGCGTGGCTCAAGGAGCAGCTGGTGTTTGCACTGGAGGCGAGAGATGAAGCCATCCTCAGGTGCAACCATCCCCAGGTGCTCCTCAGTCGTGCCACAACACTCTGTGACTCGTCCCCCCCCCCACGCTCCTACCCACTAGGTGGCGTGGCTCAAGGAGCAGCTGGTGTTTGCACTGGAGGCGAGAGATGAAGCCATCCTCAGGTGAGCCCATTCAGAGACGGTGTGATGCGGAATGGAGAAGGGTGGAGAAGGGTGGAGAAGGGTGGAGAAGGGTGGAGAAGGGTGGAGTAGGGTGGAGTAGGGTGGAGTAGGGTGGAGTAGGGTGGAGTAGGGCGGAGTAGGGTTGAGTAGAGTGGATATAGTTCGCCTCGCTGTTGTTGAGTTGAACTCGGTCTTGCCCCCTCCTGTGATGTTCTGCTGCTTCGTGTTGCACTTCATACCCAAGGCTTCTGCATGCCCTGCTTTTGCCCACGATTTCTCATGCCCCCCATTCGCATGTCCCATGCCCCCCATTCGCATGTCCCATGCCCCCCATTCGCATGTCCCATGCAACCCATGCATATTTCCCATTCCCCGCATGCATATGCCCCATTCCCCCCATGCAGCTATCCTATGCCCCGCATGCGCATGTCTCATTTGGACATCCCATCATCCTATTCGCACTTCCAGTCACCCCATACACTGTTCTGTGAACCATCAAACATTGCTTATTTCTAACACATACCCCATCCTGCCATGTGCACACCCCATCCTGCCATGCGCACACCCCCATCATCCCGTCACCCCATGCATGCAGGGCGGAGGCACTGCAAGCAGCCATGGTGGAGATGGGGCTGTCCAATCTTGAGACGTCTCAAAATTCGATCCCTATCACCCCATCAACCCATCACCCAATCACCCCATCACCGCATGCCATGCCATGCCATGCATGCAGGGCGGAGGCACTGCAAGCAGCCATGGTGGAGATGGGGCAGTCCACCACCAACCAGGCGCTCGCTGCTAAGGTACCTTGCTGCCCCACTCACTCCCCTTATAGGCCCTCGCTGAAAAAGGTAACCCACAACCCCCCTCATAAGTCAACTTCAGGCCCTCTTGGGGCCCGTAACGTGTGCAGCACTTGGGTCTTTGTTGCCAGTGTTCTCGCTCCCCGGTTTCTCTACAAATTTATGAGGTGACTTTTGAGTCGACTCAAAAGTCACTTGGGTCTTTGTTGCCAGTGTTCTCGCTCCCCGGTTTCCCTACAAATTTATGCGCTGGCAGTGGCATGCGGTAGTGGCTCACAGGACAGGTGTCTTTTGAGTCGACTCAAAAGTCGCTGGCAGTGACAGGCTCCAGCACGCATGCTGGCAGTGACAGGCTCCAGCACGCATGCTGGCAGTGACAGGCTCCAGCACGCATGCTGGCAGTGACAGGCTCCAGCACGCATGCTGGCAGTGACAGGCTCCAGCACGCATGCTGGCAGTGACAGGCTCCAGCACGCATGCTGGCAGAGGCTCACAGGACAGGAGGGAGATGGAGCGGGAGGGGCAGGCTCGATTTATTTTGCCTTTGTGGCCCCTTCCCCTGTTCTCTCTTCTCCCCCCCCCCCCCCTCCTGCTCCTCAGTTTGATGAGCTGGAGAATGCACTGATTGAAGTCCACTCTTAAGCAGGTAGAGGCCCACTGGAGGGAGATCGCCCAGAGGCAGTTGGCCATGGAGGCACAGCAGGAGGCTTCATTGATTTCACCCCTGTTCCCCCTCCCCCTGTTGCCCCTCCCCCTGTTGCCCCTCCCCCTGTTGCCCCTCCCCCTGTTCCCCCTCCCCCTGTTCCCCCTCCCCCTGTTGCCCCTCCCCCTGTTGCCCCTCCCCCTGTTGCCCCTCCCATGTTCTCGTCAGATGGATGAGCTGGAGAACGAACTCATTGTGGCGCGCAGGCAAATCGAAGCCCACAGGAGGGAGATAGCGCAGCAGCAGAGGGCCATGGAAGCGCAGCAGGAAGCGTCCACTCGATTGCTGTTGGAACAACAAGAAGAAGCGGCACGCGCGCTGGTGGAGGCGGTGAGGGGCAAGGACGCGGAGATGGAGAGGGAGGTGGGGGCGCTGCTGGGCGCGCTGAGTGGCAAGGAGGAGCGCATGAGGGGCGAGATTGAGGAGCTACAGGACAAGGTGGAGGAGAGAGATGCGGAGATTGGGCGGCTTGCTAGGGTGAGTGGTGGGTGATGGGTCGTAAGGCTATGAGATGGTATTGCTGGCAAGGAGGAGCGCATGAGGGGCGAGATTGAGGAGCTGCAGGACAAGGTGGAGGAGCGAGATGCAGAGATCGGGCGGCTGGGCAGGGTGAGTGGTGGTTTCTGAGGCGCCATTCCCTCCGTCTCGTTTCTCCCTCCTCTTCCCCTCCCCCTCTACTGCGGAGACATAGAGGAGCATCTCCATGAGACGCCTTAAAGATGCTCCTTTCGCCCTCATGGACGTGGAGCAGCCTTACGAGGTGCCTCAAAAGTCATGGAGCAGCATTTGCCCTTCCCTCCCCCTCCTTCCGTTGTCCCTTTGCCCCTCTTCCCCTTTGCCCCTCTGCCCCTCGCACTTGCCAAGCAGAGAGGCTGGAGCGAGCAGCAGAGGACATGGAGAACATAATCGCAACCAACTCACACCAGTCCCCTCCATATCACTCCGTTCTCTCCCCCCCCCCCTCCTTTCCCCCCGCGCCCCCGTCGTCATGTGCATGGAGCAGAGGTTGGAGCGAGCAGCCAAGGACATGGAGGACATTATAGCGGCCAACGCACAGCAAGCCCCTCACCCACTGTCCCTCCGTTCCCACCCTCTCCCCCCAATTCACATGGAGCAGAGGCTGGAGCGAGCAGCCAAGGACATGGAGGACATTATAGCGGCCAATGCACAGCAAGCCTCTCTCCTTCACTCTGATCAACCCTCCTCCCTCCCCCCTCTCCCCTCTCCCTCCTCATCTCCACATGGAGCAGAGGCTGGAGCGAGCAGCCAAGGACATGGAGGACATTATAGCGGCCAACGCACAGCAAGCCCCTCACCCACTGTCCCTCCGTTCCCACCCTCTCCCCCCAATTCACATGGAGCAGAGGCTGGAGCGAGCGGCCAAGGACATGGAGGACATTATAGCGGCCAATGCACAGCAAGCCTCTCTCCTTCACTCTGATCAACCCTCCTCCCTCCCCCCTCTCCCCTCTCCCTCCTCATCTCCACATGGAGCAGAGGCTGGAGCGAGCAGCCAAGGACATGGAGGACATTATAGCGGCCAATGCACAGCAGGTGGAGACGCAGAAGAACGTCATTGAGATGCTCGCGGTATGTAAAGCGGTGCAGTCCTGTGCTGTGCTGTGTGGTGTGGTCTGGTCTGGTCTGGTTTGGGGCAGAGGTGTGCAATGCTCAGCAGGTGGAGACTCAGAAGAACACCATGGAGATGCTCGCGGTACGCTGTGGGAATTTGGAGTGGTGAAGTACAGTGCGGTGCGGTGCGGTGCTGTGCTCTGTCGTGTGGTCCGGCCTGGTGCGGCAATGAATTGTTCGGGCACCAGAATCCTCGTGTATGGTCATGTGATGCACCGTGATGTGTGGTGCTGACCGGTACGTTACAGTGCTGCATGAGATGCAGTGGCAGGAGGGCAGTTGAGCCGCGAGGCGGAATCTAGCAGTCATGCAGCAGAGGGAGCTTGCGGCATTTTCTTGCGCTTAAATACCGGCTGGTGTCTTGCAGATTCGTTTAGGAGAGCAGTCAAGACGCAAGGCAGAGGCTGGCAGCCATCAGTCTACTCCCCTCTTCCCATCTATGGCATGAAGGAGAGTAGTGGGGAAGTGGCGTAGAAGCTAGCAGCCATGGAGGAGAGGGCGCTGGCAGCACTGCTCAGGCAACTGCAGGGAGTTTTTGAGAATTCTCAAAAACTCCCTGCAAAAACTCCCTTTTTGAGAATTCTCAAAAACTCCCTGCAAAAACTCCCTTTTTGAGAATTCTCAAAAACTCCCTGCCATGGAGGAGAGGGCGCTGGCAGCACTGCTCAGGCAACTCAGAGGTGGTCTCATCTCATCTCTCTTGGATCTGTCAAGGCACCTCTTAAGCCGTCTCCTCCCTTCCTTTGTATCGCACAGGAGAGCAGTCGGGACGCGCGGCAGAAGCTAGCAGCCATGGAGGAGAGGGCGGTGGCAGCAGAGAGGTCAGTCAGTGGGGCACGTAGTCATGAGGTAGACTTTCAATCGCAAAGTATGAGGGAACTCAATCGCCACTGGGCATGCGGTGCTGTTGCAAGCAGAGAGGTAGATTCCAATGTGCGAGGCAGAAGCTAGCAGCCATGGAGGAGAGGGCGCTGGCAGCAGACAGGTCAGTCAGTGGGGCATCTAGAGCTCAGTTTATCTCTTGAATGTGTGAGATAAAAACGTCTTCTTAAGCGCCTTAGAATCTGATAATCGTGAGGTGCTGAGGTAGGTTCTTCACTGGGCAACGGGCAACGGGTGTGATAACCTTCCCTGCTGCAGCCGCACCTTTCTCATCCACTGAATCTGCCTTCTTGCTCTTCCCGCCATGCCTGCTCTCCTCACCCTGGCTGCTTCTACCAACCTGTCTGCTCTCCATTCGCCCTCTCGTGCTCATTTTCCGTCCTCCCTCGCAACTTCTCTCCCTGCTGCAGGATGGTGGAAACCTTCATGGAAGCTTCCTCCCTGGAGGAGGTCCAATTGATGGTGGATGACATGCCAGCTGTGTCTCCCGGGTCTCTTGACACGTCACCTTCTGTATTCGCTGACGTCAGCATGAGAAGCAGCCAGGCCAGTGTGACTAGCAGCAGCAGAGTTGCCACGTCAGACGCTGAGCTGGAGAGAATGACAGCGGCGGCACTTGCGATTGGGAGCGGTAACAGAGGTAACGCACGGCAGTACATTGGTAACCACCATCCTTCATCGTCGAATTATTTAATTGCACAGGGAGACTCGCAGCAATCGGTGCAACAGGGGGAGCAGCAGTACGGGAATCATCGGCCCCGCACAGCTCCCCCTAGTCGCCAACCGATAGCTGTCAGATCGCTTTTTGAAGGAATATCGGGAGCGTTTAGTTCTAGAATGGGGGGTAATGTGCTAGGTGCAACATCCCTACCAAGGACTCAACCCTGACAGAATGAGTGGAATTGTGCAAGCAATGTGGAAGGGTGACGCAAGCACAGTATTTATCAGATGTTACAAATTTCGATTTTACCTTCAATCTCCCATATTCATGTGAATCACGGTTCGGAACTTCAGGTCTCATCACAATAACGCGAATGCTCCTCACGAGCCCCAGATTCCATGTGCACTGAATTTGTTCTGCGCCGATTTGTTGCGCCTGAGCCACCACCGGGCTTCCGCCCTTGCTCGCATTCAGCGCATTTCTCCTGCCGAATCAGAACCAGCCCTGCGCGCATTTTCACTTTCCCCCGACGCCCCATTCACCGCCAGCTTTCGCTGAATCTGGACCACCCATCGCCGGCTGCTGTACAAGAGTTTCGCTTGTTACCACTTTGAATACAGGCTGCTGTAAACCAGCACACAAAATTTCGCCTGCGCGAAGATCTTGCAGACACCGCTTGCAGAAGGGGGGAAATTCAATTTTCAGAATGGTTGAGCTGGGCCCCACGTTTCCATGTTTTATCTTCCTTTTCCTCTCATCCGAGAACGAAGAAATTCGGAGTTTCAGATTCTCGAGAGACGGTCTATTGCGGAAATCCTCCTTCGCCCCTTTCGCACGCGCGCAGGATATCTCTCGCCACTCTCACTCTACATCTGCGCGCCACCACTGCCGCCGCCGCCGCCCCGCAATCGCCGCCATGGGCTTCTCAATCTGCGCCCGTCGCGTCGCTCTCTGCTGCCTCTTTCTCGTCGTCGCCGCGCCGTGTCTGCTGACGTCAGCGCAGTTCCCCATCCCCTCGCAGTACGACGGCTTGGTGTACGGTGCTGACGTCAGCGAGCGACAGCCGGTTCTGCTGGAGGCCTTCTTGGATCTGACGTGTCCGTCCTGCCAGAGCGCGTGGCCCGTGTTGCGCCACGTGGCGAAGTTCTACGGGACGAAGCAGCTCCGATTTGTCGTTCATCTGTTTTCTAACGCGTGAGCTTCGACAGCCTCGTTTTGAAAATTCGTCAAGGTTCCAAAGCAGTCAGTCGGCCCCTTACTTCCCCTTTCCCCAAGCTTACCATCCTTCCGCCTAGTCCCCTCGTTCCGCTCCTTCTTTCTCCCGCACCCCCCCTCACTCCCTCCCCTCCCCTCCCACGCAGCTTCCATCACAACTCCTACTTCGCCTCGCAGGCCACCAACGCCGTCGCCGCCATCAACGGCTCGCTCGCGTTCGATTGGATCGACGCCGTCATCGACGCGCAGGACGACCTATCGCTGAGCGTCACGTGGCAAAAGACGCCCGAGCAGGTCGCGGCGCAGCTGGCGCGGCTCGCGTCGGAGCGCCTCGGGATTGACGAGGAGAGATTCAAGGGGTCGTTTTTGGATGCGGAGGTTGAATGGCGCACTCGACTCGCGTTCAAGGTGTGTGGGTGAGAGATAACTGAGTGAGTGAGTGAGTGAGTGAGAAAGTGAGTGAGGGCGACCGAGTGACTGTGATGTAGGGAAATGGGGAGGAGGATGAAGAACGAGAGGGGGGGGCGCAAAATATGAAAGCACGGGCAAGTGTTAATTATTTCCCGCCCGGATTATAACCATTTGTTGTTGTTCATTCGCTTAATGATATCAGAATAGGTGTGGATGTTGGAACTGGTCCCACCCAAAATAGACATTTGAGACGTCTCAAAAATACATCACAATTCTCCAGCGAGCTGACTTCAACCACAGACGCTTGAGACTCATTTGGTGATCCGTTTCACAACAACCCCCCGCCCTCTCCACCCACCCGCGCCCCCCCCCATGTGCAGTACGGGTGCTCGAGAGCAGTGGTGGGAACACCAACCTACCTGGTGAACGGAGTGGCAGTGCCAATCGCTGCAGCCGAGTGGACCATCTACGACTGGCGCGCCCTCCTCGACCCCCTCGTGGACTCGCCCGCCCTGCCATCACACCCTCACTCTCCTCGGAAGCTGGCGCTCGAGTGATGATACTGCCCGGCACATGCTGCTGGGAGGACACCGGGACCTCCTCTCGTGTCCCCCTCGCACCTCCTCGCACCCCCTCGCACCTCCTCGCACCTCCTCGCACCCCCTCCTGCCCCCTCCTGCCCCCTCCTGGCCCCTCCCGCCCCCTCCTGCGCTTCTCGACACCTCGTGGCTTCGCCAGGCCTGGCAATGCACTCTCGCTCCCCTAGGAAGCTGGCGCTCGAGTGATGCTAGTCTCTCTCTCCTGCCCGCACCGAAGTGAAGCAGATGCTCTGTTCCTCTATTGTCCTTTTCGCTGCCCAAAAAGTGTGTTCTGCATGGAGCGACTCGCTCCTATCCTTGCAAGACTCAAAGCCTGAGAGAATCTGGAGGGAGGATGTGATGGGAGAGGCGACAAAGGGCTGTGGAAACACCTGGAGGGGGTTTTTCCTGTGGTGGGTTATGGTAGGTTATGGTAGGTTATGTTACGAATCTGTGGTGTGCTGTGTTTCACTTCTATTCTATTCTAGTGCCTTTGGTATGATGCTTGATTCATTGAGAACAAAGTGGCACCTTCAAAGGCTTGGCTACTTACGGTATCTTCTAAAAACAGGAGCACTTATGCGCTACTACTGGAAGACGTGGGGAAAAGGCACTGGTACTGTATTTCTGGTATGCCTTGTTTATATTCTGCCTTGGTGCAAAACATGTACCGGTACATGGGTGCAACATTATAAGTGGGGTCACATTGGATCTGCCAGCACCAGTCGCAGCAGGTTGGGCCGGTCCTGCCGAACCTTGGTGCCAGCTCCGTACGAGGCTCGGCAAGGGCGGCATTCAGGCCAGGGGGTCCAAGTGTGAGTGATGGCGCCAAGGAGGGCTGCACCTGTCGGGGTGACCAACTCGCCCTTGCACCCTGCAGCGAATGTGGGGATAGATGCTCTGTTGTGGGACCGAGGAGGGGGGGGGGGGGCAAGGGAGAGGGGATTCAGGGAAGGGAAAAGAAGAGCTTGACAGCAAGAAAAAAGAGAGTGGGACGGTGGGGAAGAGAGTTGTGCTGCTTTGACCACCAGCAGAGAGCGTCGAGTTTGGTAGATGAGTCTCGAGTTTGTCCACCGGTAGATGAGTCACGCGGCGACTCCAACAGCAGGGACAGACTGTGGATTCTGTTGCTTGACTGGGTTGAGGTCGTGGGTTGACTAGATTGACTGAGATTGACTGGGGTTGACTGCATTGACTCACCGACAAAGGATCTCGAGGGTGGCGGGGGCGGGGGAGGGCAGGGGGCCGTGAGCAGCGCCAGTGATGATGCCTCGTGCCATGGGTAGGGGCGAGGCTGCTATGTGCGATGGTGCGATGAAGTCTATGGCTGCTGCTGCCGCCACCATGTCCACTATGCTGTCCACTGCGCCCACCTGTGGTAAGCAAGGGCAGAATGTTCATGCAGGTTGTGTTGTAAGCGTATGTGGGTGAGTGAGTGCATGGGTGCTTGCACGGTATCAATGGCTGCTGCTGCCGCCACCATGTCCACTATGCTATCCACCGCGCCTACCTGCACATAGGGGGTATGGGTTATGTGGGTGCATGGGTTTACACAGACGTGTATGAGTGCATGGGTGCACATAAGGCATTCACTGCTGCTGCTGCTGCCACCATGTCAACTATGCTATGTTGTCCACCGCTCCCACCTGCAGCAAGGAAGCATGCAAATACAGAGGCATGGGTGCATACACGCCGTCAATGGCTGCTGCTGCCGCCACCATGTCCACTATGCTGTCCACCGCTCCTACTTGCAGGATAGGTTTCATTGGTGCATGGGTGGTATGGGCATGTGGGTGCATGAGTGAATGGAAGAAGAATCCACACACATCTGCTGCTGCCGCCACCATGTCCACTATGCTGTCCACCGCGCCCACCTGCATGTTAGGTGTCATTGGTGCATGGGTTACATGAGCATGTGGCTATATGAGCGCATGGAAGACGAGTCCACACATGTCCACACATGTCCACACATGTCCGTGTTCACTGCTGCAACCACCTGCAGGAAAGAAACACGGGATTATGGATGCATGGGTGCATGGGTGCACGGGTGCATGGGTGCATGGGTGCATGGGTGCATGGGTGCATGGGTGCATGGGTGCATGGGTGCATGGGTGCATGGGTGCATGGGTGCATGGGTGCATGGGTGCATGGGTGCATGGGTGCATGACTATGCATAATACTATAATGCTGCCACCATCACCATCACCACCTCATGGAAATGAACATCATCCACGGCCATGCCATGCACACACGCCTCCATGGGTGAATGGGTGTTGTGATGCATGCATGCCAACGCGGGTGCATGCCAACGCGGGTGCATGCCTGAATCATGTATGATCATGTACATAATACTGCCGCCCCACCACACCACCATCACCATCCCAGCCATCACCTCATGGAAGTGCACGTCATCTACCGACATGCCATGCACGCACGCCTCCATGGGTGAATGGGTGCACGCCTGTATAATGTATGATCATGAACATAAGACTGCCACCATAGCCATCACCTCATGGAAGTGAACGTCATCCACGGCCATGCCATGCACACACGCCTCCATCCACGGCGCAAAGCCTGCTTTTGCTGTGTGTGCACCCACGGGTGCATGCACTCACCTCATGGAAATGCACGTCATCCACCGCCATGCCATGCACACATGCCTCCATCCGATTATCACGCTCTGTGTGGTGGTTTGGTGGTGGTTTGGTTATCACGCCGTCATCCGCCGCCATGCCACACACACACACAACCATCAACATTCACCTCATGGAAATGCACGTCATCCATCGCCATGCCATGCACACACGCCTCCGCCTCCGCTAGCAGCCGAAACGCCCGGCTGGCAATGTCCCTGGCGCCACGTGGCAGGCTGCTATTGGCCAGCAGATGGCGGATGGCCGCGTAGTCCCTGTAGGGCTGGTTCGCCCCGTCATCCACCGAGAAGCTGCCAGGAAGGTGCGAGAAAGGGTAACCGGAAGGTTTACGGAAAGTGGGAAGAAGAAAAAATGGTTCAGCTCTTACAGCAGAGCAGCAATAGCGGATCGTTGAGTCGCCTCCACCCGGCATGTGAAATGAGACAGCCCCATGGCCTCCACTGCCCCCTCCACCACTGTTGATGGCACGCCCAGGCCCAGCAGTGCTGCTACCAGCATGTCCCCTGTGTCAATTGAGGTGACCTTTGGGCCCCCAAAGAATCAGCGCTGCTACCAGCATGTCCCCTGCGTCAATGCTATTATCACATGAGACAGCACTTACAGCGGGGCAGTGATAGCGGATCGTTGAGTCGCCTCCACCCTGCAAGTCACATGAGAGAGCCCCATCGCCTCCACTGCCCCCTCCACCACTGTTGATGGCACGCCCAAGTCCAGCAGTGCTGCTACTAGCATGTCCCCTGCCGCACCTGCCACGTGTGCGTCTATGAACAGAAGCTTCCCCGCTCCTTCCCCGCGTTTCAGTGGGGGGTTCCGCGGGCGCCACGTGGATGGGAGGAAGAGCGGTTGATGCGGAGAGGATGGGTGGGAATGCGGTGGTGGTTGGTGGGAATGCGGTGCTGGTGGGTGTGTTGGTGAAAGTTGGGTGTGCGCAGAGGTGGAGGATGGGGAGGAGGAGTTGGAGTTATGGCTACGGCTGTGACTGTGGCCAGGGGTATGGCTGTGGGCTCGTGAATGTGATTTAGGATCATGGTAATGTGAATGGTCATGTGAATGGTTATGGGTATGGCTGTGGGCTCGTGAATGTGATTTAGGATCATGGTAATGTGAATGGTCATGTGAATGGTTATGGGTATGGCTGTGGGCTCGTGAATGTGTGTGATGGTCATGGTCATGGTCATGGTCATGGTCATGGTCATGGTCATGTGAATGGTCGTGGCCGCGGTCATGTGAATGTGTGTGATGGTCATGGTCATGTGAATGTGAATGTGTGCCATGCTCATGGTGATGATCTTGATCATGGGTATGATTCTGGTCGTGAGTGTGTTTATGAGCATGGGCGTGCTCCTGAGCATAAGGCCCGTCGAGAGTGTGACTATGCCGAATGGCGGGTGCGCGTGAATCTGAGTCATCAACGTCTTGCCCCTCCACAATCACGACACCACGGAACCCCACGCCCTTGCCTTCTGGTTCCTCCTGAACTTGACTTCCATGCCCTCGCGAATTCCCTAGCTTATGTCCCCTAACGAGCAATTGCTTATATCGAGTACCCTTCGCATTATTCCCATGCTTATTCCATTTCTGGTAACAAATGCCTGGACGAACGGCGCGCTGCAAACCGCGATGAGTGCCGGGAATTCTGGGATCGATTGCCACTAAATTCCTAGAAACAATCCACGATCGGCTCGCGTCGCTAGTTAACCCTAACGACGCTCGCGACGACGGCCTGTGTAAGCTCGATGAGGTCGACGACCGGACCGCGTGTATCCGCGAATCGAGTACGACCTTTGCGTCGCAATGACGCCAACACGGTATCGAGGTGGACCCCATTTCGACCAATCGCAGAGTTGCGTGGCCAATGCGAGTAATGTGCAGCTTAGAGACGTGATAGGCTGCTCACAGCTCAGAGCATACTCAGTTATCGTGAAGATAATCTCGATGTCAGTGCCATGTCATCCGAGATTCAACCGTGAAAAGCAAAAAGCCATGTCTTTATGCTCTGCATTACAAATTCGGCAATAAGTTTGAGATAAAACAATCAAATTGTCCATTATTCAAATTCAAACAGTACGGTACAATGTTCCTCTTTTCAGACCAAACCCTTATCCACCACACAACCTGAACAGCTGTAAATGAATTTGGACTAGCGTTTTTCCTTTCTTAAACCGCTTCGTGCCAGCCAACGTAGAGATGGTAAGAACTCTAATATGCAACATCCACTAATTGATTCTTGAACATATTCTCTAGTCCCTTTCCCTTGCCCCGCGCTCCCCCCCCTCCACACACTTTACCCCGCCCTGCTACATCATAACCCTAATTCTATTCACATACCGCCCACTAACCTAAATCCCATCCCAACAATTCCATTCCACCCCGCCATTGGTCCTGAGGGCAATTAATCCAACATCTAGATTCCTTTAGGTTCTGGGACGGGGAGGAGGAGGGCGCATGGCCCTGGCAGGGCAGCAGGAGGAGGTACTCGGGGGGTTTGGGCCGGTCTTGAAGACGACGCAGCGGCGGGCCTCGGGGTACGTGGGGTTGTTGTCGCCGGGGTTGATGTTCAGCACTGTGCCGCCCTGGGGGATCTGCGCCGTGAGGATCGGCAGCCACACCCACCTGTTCTGAAAGAACGCCACAGCTTGCTGCATGGAGGGAAAGGGAGGGGGAGGGAGAGAGAGACACACACAGGCAAGAAGCATGTGGAAGGAGGTTCTGGGTGGGTTGGGGCTGGTCTTTTGAAGACGACGCAGCTACGTAGGGTTGTTATCCCCGGGTTTGACGTTCAGCACTGTGCCGCCCTGCGGGATCTGCGCCGTGAGGATCGGCAGCCGCACCCACCAACGCCACCGCTTGCTGCAGGGGGGATATGGGGAGGAGGAGGACACACACCCACAGACAAAAGTGCACAGGGAAAAATCCTGGAAGCACATGGAACGAGGTGTGCAGAGAGGAGATTGTCACCACGAATCGTTCACTGGCATACATCAGAGGTAGATCTTTCTTGAAATACCGCCGAATTCTGCAAATTTTCCAGAAGACAAGAACCCCACCTGGCTGAAGGAGCGCACGAAGACCCGGGAGCTGTTGCCTTCCGAGGTGACGTAGAACTGGTTACCAGCGTCGCACGGGCCCGTGAGCGCCGTGGTGCAGAAGAAGGTGGCGATGCCGGTGCTTGAGATGGTCACCCCGCTGCCCTCCTTCACCACCACTGCCGGGCTGATCGCAAAGTCGCCCGCTGTAGCGTTGGGTGGCACGATGCTGGTTTGGAAGGATGCGCAGTGCGTGGGCGGGGGAGGAGAAGGGAAACGGGAGGGCAGAGATGTGAGTCACTAGGTGGCGATGCCCGTGCTTGAGATGGTCACCCCGCTGCCCTCCTTGACCACCACTGGCGGGCTTATCGCGAAGTCGCACACTGTGGCGTTGAGTGGCACGATGCTGGATAAAGGAGCGGGGAGAAAGCGGGATAAGGTGGGGGAGGGGAAAGACTTTTTCAGGTCTTGACAATGGTAACAGCTGGTACGAGATATGGCTTTTGATTCGGCCCCAGTGACAGTCTGAAACCTTAGCCGTCACAAGAGCCCTCCTTCACAGCATGGACGGGCTTATGGTAATTCGCCCCCAGTGGTGTTTGTGCGGCACGATGCTGAAGGGAGGGAGGGAGCTGACCAGAATCTGTAAATACGAAAATAATCCTGTGGAGAAATTGTTATGGGAAGAAAGCAAGCTCCAGTAGATACCTTTGCTACAAACCAGGGAGAATATCACAGTTCAAAGGGGCATCACACGAAGTGCTTGAATGCAAGTGGAAAAATAAACGGTGAAAAGGGACTGCAAGCGTATTTAGAGAAAATGAAACGACCATTTCAGACCAAGAGGTTCTATTCGGACTACCAAGGGATCTCCAGCAGGTCAATTGGCCAAGCAAGCGTGCAGGGAGCGCTCACTCGAAGGTGGGGATGGATTCGAGGGAGCCCTCAAAGGCGAAGTCGCAGCCATCGAGCGGCCCTCGGGGGCCCACCTGGCACTGCGCAGGGCACGTCGGCTGCCCCACCTGCTGCAGCCCTCGCCTGCTTGACAAACCGAACGTTCCGGCGCCATTTGCGCTGCCTGAGATGGATAGGAGCAGCGGAACCATGAAAACGAGGAGGAGAGCCATGGTGGAGCGGATGATTGCGAGCGCTTTGCAGATCCTTGGGCCACGGATTGCAGAAGGATCACTAAGGATGAAGGAAGGGAAGACGGGTTAGTGGGAAACGGCAGGCCTTTTCAGCGGATATGACAGCCTATGATAGGAAATAATCAGGTCCACGACGCGATAGAACTAAGGCGGCACGCAATGGGGTGCTCTTGTGTTCCGGTCGGTGGCACAACTGGCGGCCATAGCTGTGAAATTAGGTGTGAGAATGAGGTAATCCGCATGGAACAAGTGTCGCTTTGCAGCTATTCCAGACTGGAAGCCTGGTTGAAATTTTGGTGATTGTTTCCGAGTCGCACATTTGACGTTCGAGCCGCATGCTGCTGGAACGAGGCGGACAGCCATCACCCGAATCTGTTTTTGCATAACAGAAGGATATGATGGTTGGAAGGGAGCACCGAATAAGGGCATCCTCGTCTTATAGCGCGTCCTGTAACACAGCATGTGGTCAACCACCATCCCAGCCCCCAATTCCATTTTGTGACGCACCAACAATCTCTTCTTTTCGTCTACACCCCAGAAGCCATATACGCATCTCTATTAAAGACGAAAGTGTGCTAGACTCATTCTGGGTCCTCAACCGTGCCTTTTATCGAGTACAAATTTGCCCACCTTCGCCTCCAGCTTTCTCCTCGCAGCCCCCCTCCCCTCCCTCCCAGCCTCCAACTCCCTCTCCGCGCTAACCCTAAAATCTCCTCTCCCACTTTCTCTTTCTCCTTTCCCGCGTAGTCTCGTCCCTTCTCTTCCTCCTCCCCACACGTCACCATGGTGAGCAATGCGTCAGGAACGGCATAAGCCGTTAGTGTGAACCGATCGAATCGCATGTTCCAGGTCTTCTAGCAGAGTGCCGGCAGGAATAGCTTGCTTTCAGAAGTGATGGTTGAGAACGAGTCGTGGGCCATGTTCCTCCTCTGACCACAGCCCATGCTGATTGCTGTGCCGTTGCCTAGAGATCGCCTCCTTATCCGCAGCTCTGTATCTGTGTTCTTATCGTTCCGTTTCGTATCCGTCTCATACCGACTTCGTTCGTCTCATCTCGATGCCATTCGTCTCATCTCGATGTCATCCGTGGCTTCTCGTGTGCTCCCGTTGCGCAGGTGAAGTACGCGAGGGAACCCGCCAACGCCACCAAATGTACGTTCCATCTTTAACCTCGGCAAGTAGCCTTCACGTCAGCGCATCACGTTTCGCTGCAGCAGTGTTCCTCCAAATTCACGCGACTTAGGACTAGCGGGCGGTTGATTGGCGTCGCGCGCTTCTGATGTAGCATTTCGCCGCCGCCTCCATCGTTCCACTAGATCAAGTACATTTCAGCGCGCCGCGTTTGATCATGTCGATAGCGCCTCTGGCTCATCGTGGATGAAGAAACCAGTTAGTATTTCCAGCGCAAAGTTCACGGAGGGCCAAGTGGGCGATTTCAGTCGAGCGCGTTGCGATTCGGGGTTTCGGCTGATCCTTACGTGATACGCGCTCGTTAAGAGTCGGCGTGCTTGTTGAAACGAGATGCGCGTGTTTCTTCACAGGCAGTGGTCTGGCACAGGTCTAGACTAGAGCAATTCAATCCAGAAATTTCGCATGCGTTCTGGTGAAGGCAAATCAAGCCAGGCCTATCAGTAGAGACAGGTTGACTCAGGTTGAGTAACGTAGCTGTTGTTGCGCGAGACAGGTGGGTGTGATACGACTTAGAAGCGGGTGATTTTCTGCGTCTTAGAAATTTCTGTCCGGAGGACGGTAAGTACAAACGTTCGTGGACTGGCCGCGCACGGAACGGAACTTTGCCATGTCAATCCGCAAGGAATGAGCGATCTTAGTCCTGGAGCCGCGCTCTTTCGTCCTCTTCTCACATCTCCCTGCCGTTCCCTCATTCGTCCTTCTCCCTCCCCCCTCTCTCCCCCATTCTTCCCTCCCTCTGCTCGTCCCTCTGTATCTCTCTGCACCCTTCTGCGTCCCTCTGCTCGACCCGAATTGCAGCATGCAAGGCGAGAGGCTCATACTTCCGCGTCCACTTTAAGGTAATACCCGTTTCTCGTTATAATTGTCCTCTAGCATCCCCCTCGGGTCTCGATACATTCACACCTCCTGTTGCGCGTACTGGACAGCCATCGCCCTCCCTCTCCCTTTCCCTCATTACTCCCCCGCCCTCCCTCTTCCCCCTTCCTCATTCCATTCCGCTTGCCAATCGTTCAGTCGCGCAGGCCATTAAGCAAATGGACCTCACCAAGGCTTATCCTCCTCCTTCCGTTATTCCCTTTCCCCCACTCTTCCCCCCTCCCCTCACCTCTCCTCCCCCCCTCCTTCCCCGCCCTTTAGAACACGCGTGAGACGGCGCAGAATGAATCAAATGAACCTTACCAAGGCTTACCTTCCTACCCCTCCCCCTTTCCGTTGCCCCTTTCCTCCCCCCACTCTCGCTCCACTTGCTTTCTGCCCCCCCCCCGCAGAACACGCGCGAGACAGCCCAGGCGATCAAGCACCTGGATCTCACCAAGGCGAAGCGGTTCCTCGAGGACGTTATCGCGCACAAGCAGGCCGTGCCGTTCCGCCGCTTCTGCGGCGGCGTGGGGCGCACGGCGCAGGTGAAGCTGGTGCACACCAACGGCCAGGGCCGCTGGCCCGCCAAGTCCGCGCGCTTCCTGCTCGACCTGCTCAAGAACGCCGAGAGCAACGCCGAGGTACGTCGCTGCCCGGTGGTACCCTTCGGTGCTCGTCGGTACTGAGGATGTTTGTGGATTCGTTTGTAGCCCAAGTCCGCGCGCTTCCCGCTCGACCTGCTCAAGAACGCAGAGAGCAACGCCGAGGTCAGTGGCGCTTAAGGGGCGCATTGAAGGCGTTTAACTTACAGTCTGCTATACGCTCGCTCGCTTCCTGCTGAACCTGCTCACGAACCCCCGAGAGCAGCCCCGAGGTCGTAGGCTCTTATTTAAGAGGAATTCAGTACAGGAGATTGGGGTTCAGGGGTTGTTCTGCAGAGGAGCGGGCCTAGTGATCGGAAGCTGTAAACCGTTCGATTCGTAGTTCGTGACGTCAGTGTGTGGAGTCACGCGCCCTGTCGCGCAAGCACATTTGCAGACTAAGTTTTAGGGATGTTGGTAGAGTGCCGTAACGGTTCTGTTGTTACTGGGCGTGAGAGCGGCGGAAGCGTAAGCGGAAGCGGTAGCGTTAACGGAAGCGGAAGGGAACGCGGCACCGCTAGCGGGATCGGAAGCGGAAGCTGTAGTGGGGACAGAGGCGAAGCGGACGCGAAACGGTGGTGAAAGAGGAACTTGGAGAGTGGTTGCCGCTTCGGGTTTAGAAACGGAAAAGAGGGAGCGTGGGACTGATGGTTGGAAAAGAGGTTTGAGACGCCTTAAAGTGGAACTGAGTGGAAGCGGAAGTGGGAGAGTGGGCGCCTAAGCCTGGAGGCCTTAGAAACGGAAGAGGAAGAACGGGACTGGTGGAGGGTGGCACGCGGGGCGACTCGAGAGGGGCAGGTTTTTAGAACGTCTGGAGTCTTATGTTTCAGAACGTGACAATCTCGAAGACGTTCCAGGATCTTGCATGCTTATTGTACCGTAACACGTGAACATTGGTCAACCAGGACTCGAAAATAACCCCTCTTTTGTACTTCCGAGTCCGTTCCCCCCTTCACCCCCCTTTTCCCCGCCCTCTCTCCGCCCTCTTCGCCCCATTCCCCCCTTCGCCCCTCCCCGCCGTCTCTCCGTCATCAGGTGAAGGGGCTGGATGTCGACTCACTCCACGTGAGCCTCATTCAGGTCACTCAAGCGAACCTTCCTTTGCCCTGTGTCTACCCCTCCCCTCTTTCCCGCGCTCTTTCCTTCTCTTGCCCTCTCTCTCCCCCCCACCAGGTGAAGGGGCTGGATGTTGACTCGCTCCACGTGAGCCACATTCAGGTCAACCGCGCGCCCAAGCAGCGCCGCCGCACGTACCGCGCGCACGGTCGCATCAACCGTGAGTGCCAAGCCCCTCCCCACTGCGCCCCTCCCCCACTGCACATCCCCCCTCTCCGTGCCCCTCCCCACTGCGCCCCTCCCCCATTTCACATCCCCCCTCTCCGTGCCCCTCCCCACTGCGCCCCTCCCCCACCGCGCCCCTCCGCGACTCGCGCTGCCCCTTCCCAGCCTTTTTTGCCTTCCACAACCGTACCATCATCCTACCCCCCACACGCTCGTCCCTCCTCCCACCCGCTCTTTCCATTGCCCAGCCCTTCAAATGTGTGCAGCCTCTGCATCCCATCCCTGCCCCACAGCCCATACAAGCCGATTTATGCCACCTTCAAGCCTTTGTTTTTCAATCTCTAATGCATATGTCCAAGTTTTTTGCCATTTCAAATTATGCAGCCCACAGCCCTGTCCGTCCCTGCAATCACCTGAAAGCTCAACTGTTAGTTAAACCCACCCCTCTTAGTTATACCCACCCCCTTTCCTGTCCTTCCCCCTCCCCTTCCTTTCTGTTTCCCATACTTACCGTCTCTTCTCTGCCCCTTTGGTTCTGTGCAGCCTACATGTCGTCCCCGTCCCACATCGAGTTGATTCTCTCAGAGAAGGAGGCGGAGGTCAGGAAAGAGGTGAGTCTCCATTCACATTCACAGAAAGTATGCTGGAGTATTCACATTCACAAAAATATAAGGTGTTGAGATGGTGTAGAGTTTCTTCATAAGGGGAGTCAATGAGGTGGTTTGCAGCTCGTTTTGGCTTCTGGTTAATAATTTCTCCCCTGTTTTTTTTTTCCGAAACAGGCTGAGGAGGGTAGCCGCAAGACGAAGAAGCAGAGCAGGCTCGCAAACTAAAGCCTTGACTAGATGTGGCCAGCATCTGCAGCAATGCGTCTAGGTTGCAACAAATGTATGGTGGTTGCGTGCTCATGTGCCTTAATGTCTAAATTTGTTGGAAGAAAATAATTCTGCCAATCTTCACTCACGCTGGCTTCGTCTTTTATGTAGATGCCACTGTTTCACAGCACATAGTCAGCCTGAACAGACAACTAAATCGTAAGCATCAGGAGGAAGTGGAAGAAATAGCGGAGCTGCTTATTCCGTGAATCCTCAGAACAACCGGACAGCTGGTAAATCTGTCGCTTTTGTCCCGGCCAGCCAAATGCATAGCCAGATTACAGCTATCCGCGGAGTACTGTGTATTGTGTATAAGATGGATTGCGGGCGTTCAACGCAGATCCCCTTTTTATTTTGGATGAAATGTGATAAGTGGCGGCCGACCCACACCAAGGGGGCGTCATAACCTCTGGTTGGCATTCTGTTTCATAACAAAAAGACTGCTGGACTGCTTAAAACATAACCGAAACCAAAACAATCCGTGTCGAGGGTGTTGTTGAAAAACAAAACCAGCATCGCACGTTGTTCTCCACTCGATTCCTGGGCGAGTCAGAGATGCCGAAAAGAGATAAGAATCACTGTCGCCCGACGCCCAGTTTTGTCAAAAGTTGCCCCCTAGCTGATTCAGCAGAGCGATTCCGCACAGTAGAGTAGTCCCACGCGCCAACACGCATTATCACCGCCAGCACATATGCGTAATCAACAACATAGCCGTGAGCACAAGCTATCCAACAATGAGAAAAGTACAGCAGTCACAGCCTTTGCCTCGCCAGCAAGACCACAATGCTGAGCAGCGTTACCGTGGTATCGGTTGACCTCCTCGGACTTGGGAAAAACGTGGCGCGAATACGTCCGTCCCCATGGCCGACGAAGCCAAACAGGAAAAAGGGCTGCTTTGGGAAGCGCCCGCCCCGCAGGTTCTGCCGCATTCGATGAGCAGAGACGACAAGCCACGAAACTATATGATCGCAGCTCATCGTCTCTTGGCGTATCATACTCCAGTAGTAGTACCTACTTTCGATCGAAACCATGGCTGCGACAACACCTGTCCCCGCTCTGTTGCTCGTCCTGGTGCTCACAACAACAAGCTCCTCAATCGTTCGCGCGCGATGGCTGCCGTCCATGCACAGCGGCTCCGAGAGAATACCGCACTTACCCGCAGCGGCAAGCACTTTTACTCCACCAAATGCGGGCACTGCCGCCAATCGCGGCGGCAATGTCGCAAAATGCGTCGCCGCGGGGTTGAGCGAGCTCTCCAGCTTCCACGGAGCGTCCAGTCGTCGCGTGTTCTCGACGCGAAGCATTTTCATGGCGCCCGGAGCCGACGAGTGGACGTCCTTCGGGCCTCAGGATAAAGCGGACGCCCTGAGACGCCTTAGCGACTCAATCCCTAATCCGTCGTTCGCTGTCGAGTCCGTAACATCGTATCGCCTCCTCAACAGCCTCTACAAGCCCGCAGATCACGCGCTTGTTGTCCTTGGATCCGTCCATTCGTCCGCGCCTGGCGCTGAGTCTGGAAGTGACAAAATTGGGGGGCGGTTCCTCACTTTCTGGGACCAAGTTTGGCCGGCTGAGGACGCTTATAACGAGGATTGCTCCAAATGGGGTCTCAGCTGGCGCGACGAAAACGGCGTTCCCGCGAAAAGGGTTCCTTTCACTGCTAACGTTTCCGCCGATTCCCCCATCTCTCCTGACCTCGAAACGGCAGCGAAGGCGTCAGAACAACTGGCAGCAGAACCGACAGACGTCAGTCCAGACGTTCTCAGAATGGACGATGACTTCGGACACCTGGACGATGTCAAGTCGGCGCAGAGCAGCAACGAGGAAGCTACAAACGGGGACAAGCACGAGGAGCTGAATGAGCCTTCGCAGGTGAAGGCGACGCTGGGGCAAGGTGAGGAGCCGCAGCAGTCGGATGTGATCTTCTACGTCCAGACGGCGTGGAGTGCGTTCGTGTCTGCTCTCGCGGCCGATGACGTGGCATCAGCCTCGTCTAGCCTGTTCGGTCCCGACGTCGTGACGCTCATGGCTCCTGGTGCTGACAGCATGACTCTTGAGACAGAACAGGAGAAGACAAACCTGCTCAATGTAAGCCCACCCTCCCCATTCTGCTGTCTTGTCGTTACAAGCTCATCACACTAAGCTCCCTCTTATGAGGGATGCCAACCTTTTGTTCTCTTTTCCAGGAGCATTTGTGTCTCGATGTCTCACATAATTCAGCTTTGGACATGCAGGAATTTAAGGCATCGCACCTTTCACTCTCGGTGATGGTTGAGGAAGTAGCAGTGCTAAAAGGAAGTGAGTCCACGCAGAGATCGGAATCATCGACTATCAGTGCACTCGTCAGATCTACATACAGCATCGCAAATGCACAAGGTACGTGAGACCAGTCTGACAGCATACGTTGCACGACTTGAAACCCTCAAGCGGAATCCATTTTCTGACCCTGCTTATTTCATTGCTGGCTTCACCACTTGGCATGTGCAGGCATAGACGTGGAGCACGGAAAGAGAGTGGAACTATGGCGGGCAAGTGCTACCAATGGGCGAGAGTGGCACTTGTCATGGTCCATGTGGAATGGTGATGGCCGTGTGCTTACAAGGGAGGAGGCCATGGCTGCATACGAAAACGATAAGTTTGTTCCACACGACAACAACCAAGTATTTTCTAATCTGTAGGCAGATGAATCAGAGCCATTACAAATAGCTTATAGGGTGCGGAAGTACCTATATAGCTTTACGAGTACCATTTGTTTTATTTATAGGCGGAACATGATATTTAGTTATTTGATGTCTTTATTCTGAGTAAGTAGGTGTAGTGGGCGAGCTGAATTACAGCCAGATTTACGCTTTTTCTCCCAATTTCCACCGACATGGAAATGAGGATGGGTCAAGGAGAAATTGCCTTCAGAAATGGGTCAAAGCGGAAAGGCCCTCCCCAGGGTGCTGCCGAGCGACGGGATGGCAGACTCCCATCCCATCCCATGAATGCCGTTCCTGGTTCCCCCACCTCCACATTACTTGCTGGAGAGCGAGCGGGGGAGGGCTGCTCGGTTGATTTCAGGGCAGGCCACCCTAAACCTTCAACCACGAGATTTTATGCAGAAACCCAGAGAAATATACTACGCAGCTCACTGTATCCTACTGAACCAGCTGATGTACAGCAGATAAAGGATTCTGTCTGGTACGGAATGTGTGGAGTCAGAGTGTTTGCCGTAGGTGCTACCTCCGCGAGTTCCAGCCGTACATTCTAGACCGCCATTGATTGACCTTCACCCACAACGCGTTCCCGTACCCAGCCTGCTCTAAAATGCATGGCGGTGGGATGCATTCCAGAACCAAAGGCAAAGTGGGGAGGGAAGGGCGGGAGCAGAGAAACTGGACCTGCCGGCTCCCCAACTCCGTCAGGACTCCAGAATTTCCCGGCGCCGTGTTCGGCGAGATCGAACCTCATCTTACGATGGTGATCAAGCGCAGGAAAACACACGCCGCGAGGGCATTGTGTTGCATACAAACCATTGGCAATGAACAGCCGCACCAGAGAGTGACTCTTTCTACTCTTTCCGAATTAAATTATTTCCACTTTGCACAATGGCTGCGAGTTCGTTTCCCGCTTTGCAGCTTCCCTTACTAGCAGTGGTCATCTTCGCCAGCAGCTTCACCCTTTCCCATGCTCGCACCCTGCCGTCCGTGCATTCCGGCGAATCGCCTGGAAAACAGAAAGTCACGTCGCAATCTGTCGCCGCAAAGTGCGTTGCGGCGGGGCTGAGCGAGGTCTTACGCTTTCGCGGAGAGTCCAGTCGCCGCGTCTTTTCGCCACGGACCGTTTTAATGGCTCCCGGAAAAGACGAGCAAATTATGTTCACGCCCCGAGATAAGGAACACGCCCTTAGACACCTTCGCTGCGCGACGTTCACTGTCGAAACTCTTCACTCCTATCGCATCCTCAACAGCCTTTACAAGCCCGCGAATAACGCCCTCGTCGTCCTCGGCTCGCTCCAATCGGCGCCAAGCCCGGCAAATATTAAAAGTGACAACAACAAAGGGAGGTTTCTTGCATTTTGGGAACATATCACACGGACCGAGGATGATACAGACCAGGAGTGCTCTGAATGGGGCATCAGCTGGCTGATGTGGCAAACACGCGACGAGAAAACGCGAGGCGCGTCGAAAAGTGTTCCACTGACTGCTACTTCTGCGAATGCATCCGTAATTGCTGACGCCAAAAGAGCAGCTCTGGAGTCAGAAAAAACGGAAGCGGAAGCCAGGAATCGCATTCCGAGCGTTCTTAAAATGGATGACCATTTCGGCCACCAGGACGAAGTCAAAACGGCGAGGAGAGACAACGAGGAATACTTGAAGGCAGGTCGTGACGAGGAGCCGCAGCAGAGAGATGTGCGTTTCTACGTTCAAAAGGCGTGGAGTGCGTTTGTGTCTGCTCTTGAGGCTGATGACGTGGCGTCGGCCTCGTCTATCCTGTTCGGTCCCGACGCCGTGACGCTCATGGCTCCTGGTTCTGACAGCATCACTCTTGCGACGGAGCTACAGAAAACGAACCTGCTTAAGGCAAGCCCCCTATAGTTAATTGGTTTTTTGCCTGTCCGCCAATTCCCTGTTCTGATTCACATTCAGAACCCTAATGCTTTCTTACCAACTTCGTTCTTTGGACGCGCAGGAATTCAAGTGGTCGCAGCTGTCGTTGACGGTGAGCGTGGGGGAAATCGCGGTGTTACAAGATGCTGACACTAAGCTGATCTCCGGTTCGCGATCGTATGCCGCCCTCGTGCGATCGAACTACACGATCGCAGATGACCAAGGTGCGTAAGCATTGCCGATTCTACTCACACTCGGAATGACTGCTGGTTGAAGCCGGCGGCCAGAAAGCCAACGCCTTTTACGAAATTCTTTATACAGCGTCTCATACAGCGTTTATCTAACCGCAACCGCACTCTTGCTTCATGGCTTGAGCAGGTTTCCGAGTCGAGCACGGAAGGAGAGTGGAGCTATGGCGGCCGAGTTCTACTACCCCACGAGGGTGGCACCTGTCATGGTCTATGTGGAACGATAATGGTGCTGTATTCAGGAGGAAGAGCGGAACTGCTGCCTCATAGCACCGTTTACTGTATTCCAATATGTGAAACATCACGCTTTGTACATGTTATATGCAGTTGGTGACTGCAAGGTACATATAGATCCTTTATGAATGACATTTAAACGTGACCACATCATCCTCACAATCAGTCTTTCAACACCATATTTCTGATCACCCTCTTGTAACATATATATTGCAATACATTCGGCGAGTTTAGAGAGTTTATGAGTTTATATTGTTGTAGAATATATTTGCTGTTGCTATTTTAAAAATCATGAGCCGTTCTTATTAGGCACTGTTGGAAATACAAAGTATAAGAAAGTTATATGCTGTTAGGTTTTAGTGTAATCCTCCTTATAAGACTCCAGGTCCTACAATAATTGTACAATTATTGTAGGGGCTGCATTATTGGTACTCCTTTATTGGAGTTGCCATTATTGGTGGTACAATTATTGGAGTGGATGGGGTCATTCTGGAGGAGTAGCTACAGGCATAAATACCATGCTGTATGATGCCACAATCATTCCATTGTTATGAATCTTTTCAGTTACAAGTTTCTCTTGCTATCTATTCTACAATCAAGGCTTCCGCTACGACGGCACTATGCCTTTCTAGCATGGTATCAGAGCTACTCTAGGGGGCATGCTGCCAAAATTTGGTCAGAAACCTGTTACACTTCACATTGGACAGGCACATTAGCAAATTGGCATAGCAAGAAGCAACGATTGGATTGAAGGCATGGCACGGTTCGACGGTGAAGTCGATGCTGGATACGAGGCGTTTGAAGAAGCAATCTTGTTTCAACATGAACACCTGGAGAACATGATTGCAAGGGCACCACCGGCACTTCAAGCGTCATTAAGGGCGAAGTTCAACAAGCCAATCCAGTCAAGGACATCACACACTCCATCAAGCACTCTGCGTACTAACCAAACTCACGCTTCAAATGTGCATGCAGGAGTTGAGCGTGAAGGGGAAGGGAGCATACCTCAAGGAGGAGAGTCATCCCAAGAGGGGGATGCATCCTTCCAAGGAGAGGAGAGCTCGAACCCCGCACCTCAATCAACCATGCAAAGGGAAGCACGGGGGAGGAATGATGAGTATGGGAGTGGGCTGAATGAAATGGAGCATGGTGATGGGATTAGCGTGGGAATGCACATGAGAGGGCAGATTGGTGAAAAGAGTGGCACAATGAGTCATGTGGACGTGGAAGGTGTGGGATTTGAACCCTACACTATTGGTGCTCCCCCACTTCGACGATTGGCCACTAATACTCATCCCATTGGAGTTTCCCCAATGATCAGACCTCACCTCTTTGGCGGAAGTGCCATACCTCCTCGTGCACCGCGGCCTCAAATGGGAGCTGTACCTGCACGGAGCATGGGGCGCATGGGACACGGGATGCAGTCAAGTGGTGTTATGCGACGTGACCAAGTGGAAATGGTGGAACGTGAAGGCACACAACGCACGGTACAACTACCTCGACCGTCTACCGTGCCAACTCTCTTCGACCCGTCTCCCCGCGAGTACACGGAAGAAGACAAGGACCGGTTGTCACGCAAAATGGTAGGAGCAACGGTGGACAAGGCGTTCACCACTACTCCGTTCGACGGCACTAACTTCCGGGAGTGGGCTCTTCGGTTTCGTATGAACGCACGCATGACAAACCTGTGGGAGTTCTTTGTCACTCTTCAATACCCCGTTTCCATGGCAAATGGCGACGTGCGAGATGCAATGGAGCGGCTGGAAATTCTGCAAGCGGACTACTCACAACGTGCAACGCTAGCATTTTGGGTGCTATTGCACAGCGTTAGCGCAACGATTCAGCTGCATTGGACGTGTTTCAGGAATCGTACAGTCCGGCATTCGAAGCATGGGAGTACCTGATGGAGACTTACCAGGCGAAAGATTCGGTGGCAAAGGCGTTTCTCCAAAGGCAATTGGACAACCTGAAAATGGGGAGTCAGGAAAGAGTGGAGGAATACGTCAACCGCGCAACGGCGATTCGGGACAAGTTGGCATTGGCGGGGAAGATGGTGGATGAGGACACGTTCACGCTCAATCTTCTCACCGGACTACCAGCGCAATGGGAAGAACTAAATCATGCGGCTATGTTGCAGGACATAACGGACAGCTACACGTTGCAGCGGATGATGATTCAAGAGCAACGCTACCAAGATCTTATCACAAGGACTAACCGTGATCGACGTCCTCCACCCATGGCTGGACAAGCACGTGGAGACTCACCAGGAAAGGAGCGCACCGGGGACTACGATGACATGAATATGGAAAAGTCAAACGAAGGGATGCAAATGAAGAACACAAATGGCAACAATGGAGGAGGAAGACGCTCACCTCTCGTGTGTTGGTACTGCAAGCATTCTGGACACCCGTTTTCCAAGTGTCTCAAGGCACCTCCAGGTTGGGCACCACAAGGATGGGAACGAGGGAGAACAAATCAACGCACCGGGAACAGCCGTTCGACCTCGCCTCGAAAGAGTGGCAGCCCCAAGCGTGGTGACAACAATGAGTCAAAAGGGCAAGGGACAGCCGAGACAAGCACCAAGCGCACCGTCACATGTATTGC